GCTGGGATTCCACAGGAGATTGGGGGTAATCCATTCCTTCCTCTCATGTTTTGCTTTAATCTTCACAGGCTGAAGGCCAGGGCTGTTTGCTTGGTGTCAAAGGGCAGCTGGCTAGAGCAAAAGGTAGGGTGGTACATACGTGTGGGGGGTGGGTGTGGGTGTGTGCGGTGTGTTGTGCTCAGTAACTGGAAACAGCCTCATTGTCTACTCAGGAGGACTAATCAGATCACCCCAAGTGGACAGGAATGGGGGGGTGCTTTAATTAGGATTCTTTTTATGACCTATGTTTTTTTTTTTCCCAGATAAAAGTAAAGAAGGATCCCCTACCCAGTTCAACCTCTGTACAAGTCAATCATGTCTGGGGACACATCCTAATGTCACAAAGCCCTCATCCCCCCAACCTCTGCAGAAGTCCTCCCCGACCTTTGGCCACAGGAGTGGAACGAGAGCCTCTTTTTGAATGTCCGTCTCCAGGAGCTGCTTCAGCTGGGCCTGTGGTCTTGGCAGGAACCCATGAGCGTATTCAGGGCTGGTTGGTGCTTTCTGGCTGTGGTTACTGGGTGCCTCTTATGTCAACATTGCTCTTGCCTGGGCAAGGGTAGGCTTGCCAAGCGACCTTGGGAAAACAGAAGACCTCTGCCCAGGTCCTGCTCTGGCCTTTCATCCCCTTTCAACCCTGCCCTCCTTATCCTGAGCCAATGAACTGATAAGGCCACTCGGGTACAAAATCCAAGTGTTTTGCCTTGTGATTAGGCTGGAACTCAAACACCTCCTTGGTGTATTAAACATGAGCAGTGATATCTGGCCACCATAGAGTAGAAGTGAAAGGCCTGAACTCCGGTCCTGACTCTGACAGTGAGCTGCTGTGTGAACTCAGGCAACCCCGATCCATCTGCGGACCTGAGATTCTTTTGAGCAAGAAGGAAAGAAGTGGGTTGGGATCATGCCGCAGTCTGCTTTGGCTGCCATAGCAACCCACCGCAGATTGAGTGATTTAAGTCATCCGAAGTTATTTTCTCATGGCTCTGGAGGCTGGAGTGCAAGATCAAGGTGACACAGAGGGGGTTTTTCTGGAGGCTTTCTTCCTTGGCTTGCAGAAGTCTGTCCCCCTGCTGCCACCACCCCTGGGGAGTTCTCTGGTAACACAGGTGCCCTTGGGGTCTCTATGTTCAAATTTCCTCTTCTTATGAGGACCCTGGACATATGGGATGAGGGTCCACCACAATGTCCTCATTTTAGTGTCATCTTCTTTCTGTCTTCAAATACAGCCACTTTCTGAGTTACTGCAGGTTGGACTTCCACACACGAATTCCAGGGCTCACAACTCCACCTATAATAGTGTATGTGACTGTAGAACTAAGGGTGTTTTTCTCACTTTGGGTTTCACAGAAACAGAGCCCAGACAAGGATTCAAGGGCAGGTGGTTAATTTGGGGAGATGCAGGAAATAGCGATGGGGTGACACTGTGAGGTAGGGAAGGCACAGCTGCCCACAAGGGGTCCTTATGTGGCCACTTCTCACTGTGGCTCCTTGGAGCTCAAGCCTGGGAGAAAACTGGGGGAGAAGAATTTAGTTTTGAAAGTTAGTCCATCTAACAGGGGAAGGCGCTGGGTGTTTTGGACACCAAATCCATTCAGCTGTTGACTGACAGCTACTCCCAGGGGTGGGAGGGTCCTGGGGCCCTGGTGTCATTGTCCTGCCATGCACAGAATGGCCTTGCTCCACTTCAGGTCATCCTTCAAGCAGGAAGGAGCTCCTGGCAGGTGGCAGTCGTTGGAAGTCACCTGAGGCCACTGAGCTGTGCTGTGAGGCCCAAGGGGAACGGCCAGCCATTGACAGTGGCTACTGTACACTCTGGTTCTGAAGGCCACGCTCAGGGCTGGGTGAGTGTGCGCACACCTGCTTGGGGAAGAAATAGAGACCCAACTGGCAAAGTCCCCGTGTCACAGATTACAAATTAATGACAACCTTCCTGCATCTGTCCCAAAGCTGTGCAGGGGGCTCAGACATGATAGGAATGGGTTTCTTACTCATGTGACATCCAGGACGCTGGTGTAGATAAGGGAGAAGCTGTCACCCAAGTACAAATCAGAGTGTGTACCTTCCTAGTCCCTGAGGGCCTCCAAACCTTGCCTCCTCTCTGAGCTGACCCGACCCAACCCCTCCTGATGCCGCTCCTATGCCATTGGCCAAATACCAGGGCAACTGGGCCACTCAGTCATTTCTGGCTGGGCACTGCTTTGGCAACAGGAAGACTCCACCTGGGAAGGGAGATTGTGGAGTCTGAGTGGTCTGCAAGTACCTCTCCCTCCAGCCTCTGCCTCCTCTCTGGACCCTGGAACTCTTGCTTCCAGTCACCTGCCACCTTCAGGACAGCTGCACAATCAGCCACTGCCCATCCTCCCCAGCAACCAGGAGGATCCAGAGGGATCAGCAGGAAGTTCTGAGTACTTCAAAGGCATCAACGTGTGGAAGATCCCTGGAGAGAAAGGCTACCCTGGATCTCCCACAGGCCAGGCAAATGGGTTCTTGATGCCCCACAACATTGATTGGTCAAAAACGTTTGGCACCACAGCAGAATGGTTAAGAGCAAGGGCTGGTCAGCACACAGGTTCCGTCCAGCCCTCAGTGGTTCTCTTTGTGATGTGTGACCTTGCCCTACCTCCTCAACCACACTGAGTGACACTGGACCCTCCATTCTTGTCCTCAGAGCCCATCTAATAACAAGAACAAGGTTTTGAGAGAAAAGAAAATGAAGTGTTATTGATTTGCTAGCAAAGGAGAATGCAGCAGATGTGGGTCTCAAAGCATGTGAATCTCACTGGCAGGGAACACAGGGTCTTCAAAAGAGTCATACAAGGGCTGGCATCCAAATATTATCAGTAGATAGATCCAGCTATTGTCCTTGAGTTCCCAGGTTTGGAGTTTTTATTTTTGTGGGCGGTGAAGGGCAAGATAGCTTGGCCTGGCATGGGAAAAAGGTTCATCTTGTCTTCCTGCTGTTAGGGAGGAGAAGAGGGGAAGGAGTTTTAAGATAAGCCACCTGATGCTGAGCAGCAAGTTTGTACTCAAATCATAAAGTAGACCTCAGTTACATCAGGAGCTATGAGTACCCACCTCCAGGGTTATCCTGAGTGTCAAATGCACAGTTCCCTGAGCCCAGTGCGTGCCTCACAGTAAGCGCTCAAGAATGAATGTGTGAACAAATGTAAGTGGAAAATACTAGCAAGTGAACATTCAATATCACAGCCAAGAAATTGCTATTGTAATACCAATTAGAAGTCAATCTTCTAGCTTTATTCCTATGCAAATAAAGACGTATATTATTTCTAAAATGGGATCACTTTATACATAACTGGAATTAAAAATCTTATTTTATTAAACTACATTGAAAAAATAAAAGCTAGTCAATCCTCACCAGGGAAGACTATTTCACCAAGAGAACACATGGGCTCTCATGCATGAGGCCCTGTCTTCCACTCATAGCACTGCAAACAAACAAACAAATATTCAACAGTAACAGAACTGCATGCTACTGTGTACATGAAGCATCCAACAGCAGGTGCAATCAAAGATGCCAGGCACAAAAAGCCACAGGTTGCATGATTCTATTTATATGAAATTTCCAGAGTAGGCAAAATCCACAGATACAAAAGTAGACTCATGATCACTTGGGGGCAGGGAAGAGGGAATGAGGCGACAGGGAATGAGTGTGAACGTGAAGAGGTTTCCTTTTGGAGCGATGAAAATGTTCTAGGATTGGAGAGCGGTGATGTTTGCATGGCGTTTTAGCATACTCAAAACTGCTGAACGGTAATTTTAGCCCATGTTTTCAGTTTTCTTGGGTACCCACCTAGGAGTGCAATCCCGGTGCCACGTGGGAAGTCTGTCTCACTGTAGGAGAAACTGGCAAACGGGCTCTGAAGCAGCCTTCAGTTTTATAACGTGTGCTTTCTCCCTTCACAATGTATTCTGACGTCTTTCCATGTGTGTCAACACATAGAGATGGAATATGGAGCGATTCCTTAGCCAGCTGTACCCCAGTGCATTTACATAAATCCCTAACATTGGGCGCTCAGTGATCCAAGAAAGAGGCCTTGAGCATGTTCCTTGTGTCCCCAGCAGTTTCTAAACAACATTCCCAGGTGCACCCAAAGCCTTTTGTATCCTCCTAATTCAGTGTTTTCCCATGTGTTGCAATGATTGCTCCCCTTCCCTGCCCCACATCTGTCTTGCCTGTTACCTGGCCAGAAGATGGACCATGTGTTCATTCATCTTTGTGTCTACAATACATAGGCAAGGGCCAGGCATCTTAGTAAATGTTAGAAGAGTGAAAAAACAAGTATATGGATGGATTTACTATCAGAACATTCTGCCCCAAATCCCTGCTCTGAAAGGTAGTGAATTCCCTGGTCTTGGTTTTGTTCTGACAGGAGGCTGGGAAGAAATATTGGCAGAAATATTGTAAGCTAATTTAGGCATCAGAAAGAGATTGGATAAAGTGTTGGACCACTTCTAAAGTTGAAAGCCTAGAACTCTAGGAAATATAAGCCTAGCAAAGCCAAGGGATCTGTGCTGATTTCCCAGCTGAGCAAATCTGGGGCTGTGAGTTGCTCTGTGTGTTGCTCTAAAATGTCCCAGCTTGTTCTGAAGACCTCAGACCAGATCTTTGCCCTGTCGGAAAATCTCTGCCTGCTGTGTCTGACCATGGGAATCTCCTAGTACCTGAGGTTAGAAGTCTATAAGGGAGAAATTCTCCCGTAAGAGATTATTGGACAAATTTGTTGCTCTGTGTAATCTGAGGGTTGGGTAGGGAGTGTTAGATAAGAGAGGACCAACTCCAAGTGGGAGTGGCTGGGAGGTCTCAATGGATGCCCTAGTGGCTTTTTGTCATTTTAGACTATGCAATTGGGCTGGGTAGGTGGGATTAGGGCAGGTCTTAAGTGCATTGCCTCCAAATGTCACAGAGACCTCCTTGGCCCCAGAGCTGTCCTTCCACGATGTGGCTTTATACTTTGGTGTTAGCCTTTTCATCTGCTTGCACAACTTGGGGTGAGTCCTTCTGAAATACAGATACCAAGGGCCACAGTTGGAAATCCCTTTCCTGCATGGAGGTGGGTGGAGGTGCACTGGGGAAAAGGCATGATAGTTCCCGTCCCGCAGTGGTGCTCACACTCTGGACTTGGAATTAGACTTGGAGCAGCTGAGCCCAGCCAGCCTGGGCCAGCCAGCTGCAGACATTAGGCACGGGGAGGCAATGGCCAACCTCAGGCCTCACACATGAGGAATGGAGAGAACCTTTGTCTTGATTATTGGTCCACAGCTGGATAAATTGTGACGCATGACTTCACACAGTATTAAAAATGTCAACTCAGGGATGGAGTCAGGGTCTGAATCCCAGCTCAGCACTTTCAACTGGGTGTCCTTGGGCTAGGTACTTAACTTAGCTGTGCCTGGGTTACCCTGTCTCTAAAATAGGAATGAAATTGTCCCCACCTTTTCAGGCTCTAGTGAGGATAAAATGGATAGTTCTTTCTAAAGCACTTAGGATGGTGCCTGGTCTAGAAGGCGTACAGAAAAAGGATTGATAAATAGAGGGGATGGTTTGAAATGCAGTGTTAAGAGGAAACTGGACATAGGGTAAAAATCAGACCAGGAGCTCTTGACCATTGCAAAGATAGTTTGTCACTCTTAGTTCCCAGGGGGTTGGCCACACCACTGAGCTCAGTCAGGAGGCAGAGGGCAGCGGGGGATGCAGGTGAGGCCTTTGTTGTGATTTCCCTGGAAAGAAGAGATGAGGCAGGGTAATCAGGGTAGGGTTGGTTCCTTGGGGTTCTTTGGGGGATTTGGGGACACAGGGGCTATCTTTGGTTATCTGGAACCTGGCTCGTGGTGATTTGGGAAGGTGGATTCTAGCCCACGGTACGAGATATAGGAGGTGATTGAGATGTGGGGACTGGATTGGTTGGAACCTTAGAGTTCCTCTAAGATGAGCAAGGCCTCTCATTAGAGGCACCAGGTACAGAAAATAAATCCATGGTTAATACAGAAGTTCAATGAGGGATTTCACTGAACTACAACAGTGCCAAAGAAACTGAGATTCAGAGGGCATTGTACTCTCCCAAAATCACCTGAAAAATCATGCACTGGTCTATCTCTGGCTCCTGAATCCAATGCCAGTGCTCTGGAAACCAGTGCTCTGACAGCCCAGGTATGTCTGGATTTTATCTTCTCTCTGGCCTGGGACTGAGTGTAAGGCAGAGGAAGGAAGGAACTGAATTTGTGATAGAATATTCCTTTATGCTGGAATTACCTATTTCCATCTTTAGAAAGTTCACAGAGGCCTCTTTTGCACATCTGTTTAGTGGGAGTATGAACACTTACCGGCAAGATTTATTTATTTTTTGTGTGGGGGGGAGAATAATGTAAAGGAACTGGAATGTACATCTGGAACACAGTAAGTGCTCAATATCTGCACACTGCATAGAAAGTAACTTTCCATCCTGGGTAATCTGGCGTCTAGCCACTATATCTGGGTTGAAGGTCATCATTGAGGTGACAGATCACACGCAGCAATTTCTGCTCAGACTTCACCCTCCTTCACTTTCTTGAAGCAACCATCCAGTCCCTCCTCCCTGGGCTCCTGACACTCCACCCTCCTCCTGCCACCTCTCCGGGGTGGGTGCTCCCAATCTCAGCTGAAGCTGCCTCTGTGCTTCACCTCAGCTCCTGCTCTCCTCTCACCCTGGTCCCTGCAGTGAGTCACACACATCCATGGTGTGCACTCTCGCCTTCAGGGGGACGATCCTCCGCCACTCACCTACCTCCTTCTAGTCTGGAGGTGCCCTGGTCTTGTGGCCTCTTGCCAGGACATCTTACTGACGTCCCCAGGGACCCTGCCTAACACAGAGCCATGTTCACACACCTGCTCTTCAATCTTCTTTTCTCTACAAACACCCACATTTGGTTAACGACCAAGTCCTCCCACAAATTCCTCATTTATATCTCCATCAAAATTTTCTCCTAATTATAAAAAAAGGATCTATCTTCAGTGTAGAATTCTTAGAATGCACCAAGAAAAAAGAAATGTGTACTGCACATCCATGGACATTTCCGTGGACAAGCTTCCCGAGGGAAGAGACAGCTCCCTAATAATTAGTGAAAGAAGCATGGGGTCAGCTGTCAATAACGTGAGGCATGGACGTGGTTTTGTAATGTGGTTTCCATAACAGTTTCCAGTGGTTTGGGCTACTACTCTAAGATGCTCTTTCACTTATGGGGAAGGGATTATGTTCTGATAAACTCATGATCTTAAATGTAAAAGAATCATAAGTCAAAATATCATAAGTTGGGGACTAAATGTCCATGTCCTCACTGATTTCACCCTGGTCCTATTGATAATGCTTAGCCACAAGAACAAAAACGGCCCAATTGTGAGATATGGATACCGTCTTGGAAATTGATTTCCCATAAAGACTTTACAAGGCCATTAATTCTGCTTCTGTTACAACAAGTCTGGATTATTCTTTTCTTTTCTGGCCACAAACTTTGCGGGGATTGTAGACATATTGTCTGTATCCAAAGAGGAGCATGCTGGGGGACAGGAGGATAGTAACCATGTCCTATGAAGGGTGCCCTTAGAAACAGAGATTATTGAGGACAGACAAGAGAGGACTTCAGAGTGGCCATGGTGGGGTGTCTGAAATCCACCTGCCTCAGGGAGGAAGATCAGGTTAGTGCACTCTGGTTCCACAGCAGGTGGAACCAGGTCAGGTGGGAAGTCGCAGGGAGACGAGGAGCACAGGTCTCCTCCATAAGAATAGAGCAAGGGGAGAAGACAGGAGACTGATGCTCAATCTTTCCTTATATATGGCCCTGATAAGAACTAGAAGAATATTCTAGAAGAGTTTTGTGTCCTTTACTCCAGAATTGTTCTTGCTGCTTTTTGTCCACTAAATAAAACCCAATCTTTGAGCCTGGCATTCAAGGCCCTCCATGACATGCACCTGCTCATTTCGGAGTTTCATCCCCTCCTCCTGGGCTCCAGCTGTCACATGCCTAGAATGTGGCCAACCAACCAGGTCTGGCCTTTCCCCTCTATTGTCCTCATTGCTCCCCATGTCCATCAGGACACCCGTCCTCGCCCCCCGTGGTGGACACGGTGCACGGCAAAGTCCTGGGGCAGTACGTCAGCCTGGAAGGATCTGCGCAGCCCGTGGCCATCTTCCTGGGCGTCCCCTTTGCCAAGCCCCCTCTTGGGCCCCTGAGGTTTGCTCCTCCGCAGCCGGCAGAGCCCTGGAGCTCTGTGAAGAACGCCACCTCCTACCCTCCTATGTAAGTGGTGGCCTGTCCCAGGGGGTTTGTCCCTCGGTGCAGCAGGAGGGGGTGGAGGCTGTCCTGGGCTTGGCTCTGCTTTCTCCTGGAATCTTCTAGAACATTGCAGAGCCCTGAGGCCTTCTGGACCTCTCAGGGGTGTCTAGAGCCCTTTGTTCAGCACCAGTTCTTGGGCACCTATTGTGTGTCAGGCATGTTGTGGGTTCCTGGAATCCATTAGTGAACAAAGCAAAGATCTCTGCTTTATGGGGCTTACACTGCAGTGGGGAAAGAGATGACAACATGCAAGTAAAAAATGTGTTAGGTAATATGTTAGAATATTAGTGCTTTGGGGAAAAGGGAGTTGAGTAGGTGAGGGAGATGAGAAGTACCCATCTTATCTACACTGAACTGTGGCGTGATCAAGGGGCAGAGAGGTAAATGTGTGTGTGAGGGGCTATGCTTTGGAGGGTTGACACGGCCAGTTCTCAACTCCCAGCTGCGTCTAGATACCTCGTCATGGGCAGAGCAAATGCCGGTGTGCTCAGGGACCCTGGTCACCTGGGTATAAAACCCAGTTGTTCCTGATGATCAGTCACCCTGGAACACACAGACAAGTACAAGTGTCAGTCCTGACATGACTCATCTCCTCAGCAAGGTACTTCTGAGGATGTCCAGGAGCCCACTTCTGAGTGCACTCTTTCTTTGCCTTTTTAAAATAATGCACGCTTCTTACCCCCTGATTGCGAGTGTGTGTGTGTGTGTGTGTGTGTGTGTGTGTGTGCACGCATGTGTTCATGCTATATTTCAGAGAGGTTAGGGAATACAGAGAAGCAAAGTAGAAAACTACAATTGTGTACTTTTACCACCCAGAGAGAATTGCTAGTCCTCTTAGAGATTATTTTAATCAGCCTTTCCATTGCTGGGACCAAACTACATATGACAAACACAACTTAGAGGGGGACAAGATCATTTGGGGCTTATGTTTCCAGAGGTCTCAGTCCATGGTGGCCAACTCCATTGTCCTTTCCCCAGGATGAGGCAACACATCAGGGCAGAAGGGTGTGGCAGCCAGGGAGCAGAGGACTGAAGCGGAAAGGGCAGACGGGGAAGATTCACCCTTCCAAGGTTGTCCCCACTGACCCACCTCCTCCAGCCATGCCCCACCTGCCACAGTTACCACCCAGTCAGTCCACTCAAACTAGGATGGACTGATGAGGTTACAGCTGTCACCATCTTGTCATTCACCTCCGAACATGCAGTGCATTAGCACAGGAGCTCTGGGGTCACCTCACATCCACACCATCTCAGAGATCATGTTGCCCGTCTTCCCCCCTTGACAGTCGAGCATGCGTACTCATGATGAGCTTGACCACAGTGCTCATGGATCAGTACATCATCAGCTTCACTTTGTGCCCTCAATCTCCCAGCCTGACATTAAGTAGCTGTGTTTATTTGGAAAGAAATCAATTTACTCAATCTCTTATTTAGGGTCATTACAGTGTTTTGATATTCCTGAAATTATGATCAACACTATGATGATGAGGTTGTAAATAAATCATCACACATATTCATGGATATTTTAGGATCAGTTCCAAGAAATCAAGAAGATGCATATTTTGGTAATTTTTCTGCCAGATATATTTCTGCTGTGTTTATTCCTTCCACTGATGTATGAAAACCTCCACGGAGCAGACCCCTGCCAATCTCGGGTTCACTAAATGAACACTTTTAGACTATTGGGTATGCAAAATAGGAAGATAATAATTATTATAGGGACAATCATAATTTCAGCCTTTATTTGAAATTTATCTAAATGCTAGTGCAATTGGACTCCTTTACCTCTTTTAATTTTGAATTTCTGTCATTATGACTCTTATGCCCTTTGCTCTTAGTGGTCTAGGAACAATTTCCAAGGATGGAAATCTTGAGGACATCTTTTCAGGCTCTACTCTGCCCCTTGACAGCTGTGACCTGTTGCCTCCTGAGTGTCTGGGTCACTTCTACACACTGGGGAAGCAATGCCTGCCTTCTGGGTCCACTGAGATCTGAGAATGTTGCCCATATTATCCTTAGAAATCTACATACTACATAGAGGGAGATTACTGGCTATGTGGCTATGGGCAGCTGGTATAATGTCTTCATGGCTGTTTTCTGATCTGCGATTGAGGATTTTAATATAACCCAAGTCCTAGGAATAATATGAGGCTGAGAGAAGTTAGTAAATGACAAGAATCCAAATCAGGGCCCAGCATATGGAGAGAACTCAATAATGTTACCAATTCCATTCTAAATTGAATCTTGGAGACCTCTGCAACCACCTGCAACCCAGCAAAGATGCACCCAGGTCTCAGTGCAGCACAAAGGATTGCCTGTGTTAAGCTGGTGATGGAGTCTTACCACAGCAGGTTTGCCAGGGTCCAGAGAAAGCACTCCCCTCACTTAGACCTGGCTGACTGGGACCCAGGGCAGCAAAGGAAGTTACCCGAGGTCAGCCAGCACTCCAGTGGCTGAAGCAGGAGAAGATTACAGCTCTGCTGAGGTTGCCCAACAGCAATGCCACTTCCCACCTTCTGCATTCTGACTGTCTGTTACCTAAGAGAGGTCTCCTGGTTGATGAAAGTCTCCCACGTTTACCTGGTGGTGAAACACAGTAGCCCTGCAACCCAGCAGAGATGTACCAGGTCCCAGGAGGGTAGGAGATGTCATCTCTTAGGGCAGGTCAGCTTATGGACAGCTCCCTTCTCTTAGCCCAGAGCATCTCACAGGCTCGGGATGGGAGGAGGTCTCAAGTCCCCGTCACTCTGCATGATCTGGGAAGACCCAAGGGAGTCCCACGGTTCCCAACAAACCCCAGTGAGCTTCTCACACATGCCAGTGTCTCAAGTCCTGCGATAGCAGCTCCACACAGAGGCTTAAACCCCAGTGCAAGGTCCGGCCCCAGGTGACACTTTATGCTTCCATGTCCTTGAATCTCTGAGCCCTTCTTTCTTCCCCTCCCAGGTGTTCCCAAGGTGCAGTGGCGGGGCAGTTTACCCGAGATCTCCTTACCAACAGGAAGGAGAACATTCTCCTCCAGTTCTCTGAAGACTGCCTTTACACTCCTGCAGACCTGACCAGGAGAAACAGGCTGCCGGTGAGCACAGGCCCCCAGAGAGTTGTGTTTCAATATCTGGGATTTCTGGGCACAGGTGGGAAGGAGATGAGGGACACCCTGGGCCATGATGAGTCAGAGGTCCTGAGCTTCCTCTCCCCAAAGAGAAGACGAGTTGTCCTTTATCTTGGTGAGCTCAGCGTCTGGGGAGAGTGCACTAAATCCGGAAAGAGCATCGTAATCTTTCCACATTCTCTCACACTCTCAGAAGCCCAAGATGGTTACTGTTAGTTTCTAGGTTAAGAATCTGATCTCCAGAGCAGCTAAGACGTGATTTCAAATAAGTTAGAGTTGGAAGAAATCTTAGAGAAAATCTACCCATTCTTTAAGGTAGACAAACTGAGGCCCAGATGGGGGAAGGGAGGCCACACAGCAGGGTGACAGGACCAAGCTCAGGGCCTGTAAACCAACGTCCCTGAGCACAGACTAGGAAATGGCACACACGTGTGTCGTCTTTCTACAACACACCACGTGTGACCACTTCCACTGTCCCCTGTCACTGCCCCTTTTTTGGAGGTGGGGAGGCAGAGCTTGGGACAGCCTCAGAAGCTCTTTCCTTGCCTTTGGTCGAATACCTGGGGTTTTACGGTAGCTCATCTCCCCCCCCCCCCACTGCCTATGGCACAGGCTGATGCCCACGAGTCAGCATTTCCCCTGGGACAGGCTGCCAGGTGCAGGTCAGAGTGTGGGAAGGTTCTTCTGGTTAATTTGGGGAACCCTTCAGTAAAAGAAGGAGCACCTGGAAGACTACCCAGGTGCTGGGAAGGGGGTTGGAAGCTGGGGCTGGAAGCTGGTCTTCAGGTGTAAGGCAGTGAGGACACGAGCTCTCCTCCTCCACTCATTCCGATGCTTACACTCAGCGTCTCAAAATACACAGTTAGACTTGGGCTTAGGGGGAGCAGGGGCACGGCGCCTTGCCCAGCAGCCCCTGCCCTCCAGGTCTTGCCATCTGGCGGCACACACGTCCTGGCCTCTCCAGCTTGTCTGTGCTGACCTGTCCTTGAACTCACCTTCACTCAGGTGACCCCGACTCAGTCCCTCCCTGGGGCCAGCAGGGATCAGAGGTGCAGGAGAAACAGGGCTCTGGGAGCCTGGAGGCAGGAGACCCCCAGCTGTGGACACAGGGTCTAGATCTCCAGGGTCTGGGTTTGGATCCTGGGTCTGCCTTGGCCTGGCTGAGAGTCATGGGCACGTCCTCCACCTCCCTCAGCCTCTGCTTCCTCTCGTGGGAAGAATCCCGTGTGAGTGTCTAATGATGGCGGTCGGGCTTCATCTCAGGGCTGGCTGAGTGCGCAGAGCGAGCCTCCTGGAACACAGGTCAGAGCTGCAGCAGGACCTTCCCCCTTCCCCAAGGGCTGGCTCACTGTGCTGGGGCTGGACTGCAGGGAGTCCGGCAGCTCCGCACATGGACTCTGGGACTGCCCGGGCCAAGTCCCCCTCTGTCACTTATTCCCGTAGGATCTTAGGCTCTCCTGAAAATGACTCAGAGCTGCAGGAGGATTTTCCTCGTGCCCTAGCGGCTGACTGTGCAGTGACCAGGGCTGTGGGCTGCAGGGAGTGGCCTGCGGTCTCCAGGGCCAGCTGTCTGGGTCCAATCGGACTGTGCCACTTATTAGCTGTGTAATATTGGGAAGGTGAAGTGCCTAGTTTTCCTGTCAAATGGGAAAATACCAGCACTTGCCTTGTGGATAGTTTATTTCAAAGTACTTGAGTTCTTGATGCGAATGTTGTAGTGTGGGGTCTTTATTAGCAATGCTGGCACAACATTCCTCGGCCACTCTCGTTTCTTCCTGCTGCGTGAGTTCTTTGTGAGAACCATGAATTACAAGTTGCCATATCCATGCTCATCCTCAGTTCTTATCACAGGCCCTGGCACAGGGCAGATGGTCAGGTAATGTGAAGTAACCTCCAAAGACTTGCTGGAGGAGGTGGTTGGGATGTGGGCTTGTGGAGGAAGGGCGGGAGCCTTTGGGGGTGCAGAGGAATCAGAGCAGGCACAAGAGCACTCACACCCTGAGGCCCGTGTCATTCCTAAGACAACCACACATGAGCCAGGAAGCTCAATCCCCCACTAAAGAGTTAACTGAGTCGAATCTGAAATACAAGCGCGGCCCCTTGCTTAGGTCCAGCTGGTTGAATGGCCCAGGTGTGAGGACCGTGGGAGTCCAGGGGAGAACACAGTATCCTTGGCCTTTGCTGTCCCCATGATGTCATTCCCTGTTTTAAGGGCCTTGGGAGGACATGGCATGTGGGTCCAGGTAGAACGGCAGGTGCATTGGTGGGGGGGGGCGTGGTCTGGAGTCTTCCACTAGGGAGACTGCATTTCACAACCTGACTGGGTTCTGTGGTACTAGGGGCAGTGGCCTTCGTCACAGTCAAGATGTAGGTGACCAAGCCAGACAGCTCGTGTCTTTCCCAATTCTGCTTCTTCTAACCACTGTGTTTGTTCCCTTCTTGTCCAGGCGATGGTGGGGATCCACGAAGGTCTGGTGGTGGGCAGGGCATCCACCTATGATGGACTGCCCCTCTCTGCCCACAAAAACGTGGTGGTGGTGACCATCCAGTACCGCCTGGGCGCCTGGGGGTTCTTCAGGTAAGGCGCTGGACTCTCCTCTCTGCACATTTGCACATTAGCCCCCGCATTGGTCTGTTTCCTATTGAAGAAAATATCTTAGGCTGGGTAAGGACAGAGCAAAAAACTGTATTCAGCTCAGTCCCAGATTGGGTGGTCCCATCGGAGCAGCCTCTGGTGAAGGCCCAGGGAGGCAGAAAGGGAATGCACAGGTTCAGAGGAGGTCACACGACTAGACAGGAAGCTGAGCAAGGGCAGGAGGGGACGTCGTGCTCTTTTGTTATCTCCTTCTGCAAAATTAACCAGGGTCCCACAAGCTCTATGTAAATCCCTTCAGGACTTCAGCCCAGTGACCAAATAGTCTTCCACCAGATCTCATCTTTTGCAGGTTCAGTCACCTCTTAATACTGCCAGATTAGGGACCAAGGATACCCACAGAAACTTCGGGGGACAAACTACATTCAAATCATTGCAGTCACCAAAGCAAAGATACGAGACCCAGCTGGAGTCATGTCAGCCCTCTTGGAGTCTTTTGTTCAAGCCTTCATAATGCATCCAAAGCCCTTCATCATTGGGCCCTGTTGTGGGGCTTGGTGACGGCCAGTGTGCAGGCCGTAAGAAGAACTCGCCAGGACTAAGGGGAACTAAGAGAGATTATTGGAAGAAGATACACTGCCAGGGTGCAGCAGGGACGTGACAAAGACATCTGCCTGTGGACTCAGGGGACCTGGACTTATGTGCACTCGTGAGTTCTTTGCCTGACTTTGGCCAGTTTCTTGCTAGGAGCGGTTTAAGCTAAACAAGGGGTGATTGGCAGATTTCTTGCTTTGCCCAAATACCCCATGCAACAAATACTCGTTCCTGGGTTTTACCCTGGATGCATGAGATGCAAGGAATATGTGTGAGGTCTTAAGTAGGGAATTCTCCGTTCTCGGCTACTACTATAGGTCAGATTTGGGGGTCTCTGCACATGCTCATTGGGTGATCCCTCAATCTGCTTGCAAAATAGGATCTTGCTCTTTACACTTCAGGGAAGTCTGCTCTTCTGACAACTGTGAGGGGAGGCCCTTAGCCTCACATCAGCTCTGCTAATCAAGGTGGGGAGGGGCGTGGGACAAGGTCTCAAATCTACCCTGCCTCAGACCCCACCTACCTTCTCACTCCCCAGCCACACTTGCCCCCTGGGCTTTTTCGTGTGTGGTTCCCTCTTCCTGCCCAAGTCCTGTGCCCTGCCAGGCCCAGCCCTCAGGTTACCACCCCACACACTCAGCTCCTGCCATCTGCACTGGCCCAGCACGCTACAGTCCTCCACTTTGACAGGCAGCACACAGCTGCCCAGTTCAGTGCCACATGCTTCTCATCCGGGAGGAAGGAGGCAGCTGGATGAATGCTGGGCTGGCAGGGTCCAGCGGGCCATGCCACCAGGCTGTCTGGAAGAGGCCAGCCATGATCTCCGCTCGCACTCGGCCCAGCACCTGGCAACCTCTCAGCAGCAGCCAAGCAGGTGCCTCTCACACACCTGAAATGCCTCCTTCTCCTGGGCCCAGGTCACCGCCCACTCCCAGCTGGCTGCTCCCTGTCAGCTGCCTCGCTGGCCCCTCCTGCTCCCCTTGCTCAGGCCTCTGGGTCTCCCTCTCCCTCCACTGATTCCCTGAGTGAGCCCAGCAGCACTTGGAACCCATGTGCCACCTTAGCTGCCTCCTCCTGCTGCCCTGGCTGTGCACAGGGCACCTCCACTTCACAGGGACAGACCCCCCGCCCCAGCTCAGGCTCTCCTGCTGTCCCACAGCCCCTGTGCCTCTGCTGCAGCTGCCCCCTCCTGGGTGGTCAGGGTGAAGGCCTGGGGCAGCCTGGAGGCTCCTCTGTCCTCGCTCCCCACCTTGGTGGGCCAGCAGAATCCAGGGCTCCTGTAAAAGAGCTCAGAATCCAGCCCCTCTCCGCACCTCGCTTCATGGCCGTGTCTCTGGCTGGATTATGGTTGTAATCATATTCATAAACCTGTGACTCGGGCGTGGTGGCCACTCCACAGTGGCCAGAGATCACGAGAGGCACAGGGTGAGTCTCGCCCTGCCTCTGTTGAGGGCTCCCAGTGACAGAGAAGTCCCCTCCAAGGCCCCCAGCACCTCTCTAGTGCCTCTCACTCTAGCTACACTCACACTTTGGTGCCCTTGGCCTGGGGCCTTCGCACCTGCTGCTTCCCCTCCCCGGAATTTCTCCTTTGGACATTTACAAGACCTGTGCTCCTTTCATGCTGGTCTCTACCCAATGCCACTGCCCCACAGAGGCCTTCCCTGGTGCTGAGATCTGAAACACACCCCTGCCCCCTGCTGCCCCACCCTGCCTCTGTCATTACCTGTCATGACCTCAGATCATATTCACTCATGAACATTGTGTTCTCTTTTCATCTGTTTGTCTGTGCTCTGGAGTGTGAGCTGAGTGTAGTCAGGTTTTGCCTGTGTGGTTCCCGGGGATGCTGTAACTCTTAGACCAGTGTAGGGCACATAGTAGGTGCTCACTCAGCACATTTGTTCTGGAAGAATAAATGGAGACCCCATGTAGGCCAATGCCGCAGGGATGAGAGTCAGGTGGAGAGCCCTGTGTCATGGATGCAGAGCCCCCAGCTCATCTCTGGTCCTGAGAGCCCTGCATGACATCTCTAGCTCTACCTCACCCTGTTATCTTGCAGCACCAGGAATAAGCACAGCCCAGGGAACTGAGGTCATCTGGACCAGGTGGCTGCTCTGCGCTGGGTCCAGGACAACATTGCCAGCTTTGGAGGGGACCCAGGCTCTGTGGCCATCTTTGGAGAGTCAGCAGGAGGAGACAGTGTCTCTGTTCTTGTGAGTGCTGCGGGCACCTGACCAACTGTGAACCTCTTGGAGACGGGTGGATCCAGCCACAGTCTCCTTTGGTTATAAATCTGGATTCAGGGGTGACTCCGCTCACTGTCCAACTTCAAATGGTGGGGAGCCAAAGTCCAGACCCTCTTGGCCTCCAGGAAGCTCAGAGCTCAGCTTTATGTCCGCGGGCCAGCAACCTCTCTAGCTGGGTCTGTGACAGTGACCTTCCTCCTCCTTTCATGGGACTGAGTTCTCCGTCCCCTCCCCAATCATCTTAACACCAGGACTCAGCTCACCTCTGTCGGGAAGTAGGGGTACGTATAATTACAGGCGAGAAGGGCGAGGACAGGAGTGTGTAGAGGGTCCTTGTTCGTGTTGGACTCTAAGGCAGATCTACACGTTGGGGGGACTTGTGTACCAACAGAAGGCCAGGTTTCCCTCTGAGTTTTTCTAATGTCTTGTTCATGCCCAAGAGGGAGGACAACAGTCTCCGGGGATGAGGGGCATTTGGGCTGAGGGAGGTGGGGGACACTGAGGGAAGCTATCGAAGGTGCTGGGAGCCACCAGAAATCCTCCGTCTACCCCAGAGTTGAGCAGAGTATCCACAGGATTACTGTCCTTTTCAAACATCAATTGATCACATAGTTGAATAGAGTATTCAACTACATAAAATTTATATTTTTAAAAAAAAAGTAGAGAAAAATAAAAACTAAGGAGAAACTGAAGGAAGAAAAGCATCATCTGCATTTTGACCACCCAAGGGTAGTCACTGTAAATATTTGGATATTTATTTGTCTACTTTTTTTTTTTTTTACATTTTTATCTATCATCTATCATCCGATCATTCTCTCATCTACATTATTTTTAATACAAAAGAGTTCCTGCAATATTGCAGCATAACATCAATAGTTCCCTAAACATGAAACGTTTTTACACAGCACTATCTTTGAAGATGATCTAGTCGTCCATGATAAGAATGAAAAATTATTTTTTTTACCTCATCATATTAGATGACTAATTATATTAGATAATCAGACACTTGAGTTATTTAAAACTTTACTACTGTACACAGTGTGGGAATTCTTACAAATTTTTATGGGCCTCCACGATCACTTTGCTTATGCTAAATTCTGGGTCATGGAAAGGCCAATGTGGAATTGTGGGTGGGAGTGCCGGGTGTCTACAGGGGTTGGGTGGTAATGGTGAGCCTACGCCACACACTTTCTGTTCTGTCCTGTCTCTGGGCTCTGGCTTCATCCTGCTCAGGGTCCCTTGGGAAGCGGGGATGCAGCAGAGGCTGGTTAGCAGGCAGGACAGGTGAGGAGCTGCCATGTCCCCTCACCCACAGACTCTCCAGTGAGTGGTGGGGGAGGGAGCAGGTAGAGGGAGGCTGAAAGAGCGAGTGAGTTGCTGCCCCTCCCCATGAGCGTCAACCTCCTCCTCTCCACGTCCCTGCCAGGTGTGGTCTCCCCTGCCCAAGAACCTCTTCTTGGGCCATTTCTGAGGGTGGCGCTCAAGAAGAAATGATGGCCTCACCCTGGACAGTTCTTGGGCCCCTTCCTCCGCTCTCCTGGAGTCCTTGGGCGAGCTCTTCTTGTACCATATTTGACAGAGACGCTCCATGGTCACTGAAGTTCGGGCTGCTTTAGGGTCAGGTTTAAACCACATTCCCCCAGGGTTCCTGGAATTCTGCACAAGTTCTAGTGTGGGGGAGACTCGGATACACCTCAGCACTTCACAAATCTGAGCTCTTTTATTTTTCTAAGATAAGTGCAATCGTTGTCCCCATCTATGGGTGGGGAAACCAAGATACAAAGAGATTAAGTGGCTTTCTCTAAGCCAAATGGCTACTAAGTGGAGGGGGTGAGATTTGAAAGCAGAGGAATTTTGTTTTTCAAGCTCTTCACACCCACTTCAAATGACTCTCCTGAGGCATTCAGCCTTGAAAATATTGTGCCATTTTGGGGGCTGTTTATGCGGTTCTAGATGGCATTTGCCAGTTTTAACAGAGAGGAGCTAATAGAGGTACAGATGTTGTGTAACTGGCTCAGGCCACAGTTCCAGTCAGTAGGAGGTAGTTCTGTGCCACCCTGAGCCCCACCTGCTGGCCTAAAGGATGTGGGGCTACCCGCTGCTGCCTCCGGAAATTGCCCACCTCTGTCCACATGGTGGGAGGGAAGGGACCTTGCTCTTGAGCTCTGCTGGTTCCTCTGATCTCTGCAGCAGATGGCTGTGACTGCTGGGTGCAAAACCACCACGTCAGTGGTCATGGTTCACTGTCTGCACCAGAAGACGAAGACCAGCTCTTGGAGACCACGTCGAACATGGTAGGTGCCTCCATGCTAGTGGACCGCCTCTGTGTACTTGGTCCTGGGCATCATCGGGTCCCCTGACCTCCTGCCCAAGAGAAAACACCTGAACATGCTCTGACCTCTGAGGAGCAGTGTCAGCCAAAGGCACCTAGAATAAAACTGGGAATTTCATTTTTCCTTTTTTATTGTGAAATATCTCAAAGGTCAAAAATGTCCAATAAGAGCATTGTGAATAATCTCTTCTAAAACTTAACACTTTGCTCTTCTTGTTTTTAGATGTATTTTAGGGAGGTAAGCACCCCATGGATTCCCTCTTTAATCAGGTGGATGGGAGGATGAGCACAGAGTTTCAGAATGGTATCACAACTCACCCGTCTTGGTTGATTTGAAGCTTTCTAAATTACAACCACAACAATAGTCCAGTCTTTCAGGTTCTCAAGACTGTGTCTTCATTATGATCCTAGTATAGCTGTATGTCTACTGATCCATTCATCTATCCAGCTTTCCATTCATCCAATTCATTAATATCTTTTCGTTCATCTCTTGTCAATTCATCCACAAATGTTTATTCATGTATTTTCATCGTGTCCATCACCTGTGTGACATCCAGCCAGCATCTAACTATATTGCATACACACACACACACACACACACCACCACCACCACCACCACCACCACCACCACCACCACCACCAATGGGAACGATTCCCTTAGTGGGGAAAGCTGTGGCTGAGAGCTCAGGCATCACCTGTGCCCCGGGCTCTCTGTCTGCATCTTGGACACTGGAGAATACTTCTGCACTAACAGGGAAGTCCCCGAGCACTGGATTCTGCATGTGTCTCCGCGGGTTGAGTCCAGTGTGGCCTTGGGGCTTGAGTCCTGGGTTATTCATCAAGATCAAATGAGGTGACAAGACATTCCAAGAATTAAGACATGATTGTTTCTTAATACTTGGAAAGAAGTAAATATTTGAGTCCTTCTGTATATGACTCGGAGGACCCAGGGTATCTGGAAATAGTTGTCCCATCGGTTTAGAAACTGTGAATCCCATCAACTTCAGGAATAGGTCTGGGGTCGACCCTGTTGGATGGACACTGGCTCCCATCCACTCCATACTCATCTGTGTGTCGGGGACGTGGACCAGCCTGGTCACCTGCAGATGCCTGAACCCAGGAGGCGCCAGTAAAGAAGAGGGAAGCCCAGGCTGGGCAGTGCTTTCTCTCCTCGTCCATCCCACCTCCTGCTCCATCTCCTGGGAGTTGCCATAGCCCATCACCCAGGCACCATGGTGCCCCTTTCCTCAGAGGAAATGTGGGGGTGGTTACCAGAGGGACTAAGTGGGAGAGGAGGCCACCACTGACAGCAGGGTCCTCCCCAGGGCTCCAGGGCCCTGACTCTGGGGCCCAGGTCTGTCCTGCCCAGGCCGCTGCCTGCCCCTCCCCCATCCTACAACTCGACCTCTGCCCCTGCCCAGGGCAGCCCTGTTCCTCTGGGTCCAGCCAAGGAGGCACCCGGTGGGAGAGCCTGATAGCTACGGGGACCAGTCAAAGGATCCGTTTCTAAACCAAGAAGGCTTACCACCCACAGCCCTGTCTTTATCTTCTTTTGAGTTTTGATTTATTTGGAGATCCTGGAGAGGTAAGGACTTTCGGCTTCTTGATTACAGGTTTTGAGTCTTAAGGTCTTTAAGCTCCATTCACGATGAATGGAAGAATTCTCCTTTGTGGAGCCACAGTCCCTCTTTGTGTGTATTGCTGAGGCCCAGAGAGGGGAGGTCACTTTCAGGGTGACACAGCCAGGTGGACCAGAGGCAGGACTGAAACCCACTCCCCTGACTCCCAGTCCAGTGCTCCCAGTCAGCTCGTCTGTTTACATCTCCTGCTTCCCAGATGGCTCTGTGGGAGGAGTCAGCACTACCCTTCCCCTCTCAGGAGGCAGAGATAACAGGATAAGGGCAGAGGCGGCCTCACCGAGGAGGACGAGGACGGATCTCCTGGGAGGCTACGGATTTGACCAGCTGTGCAGGGAGGGATCCCAGGCGCTAGGTCCCGAGGACACGTCCTCCTCCCAGCCCTAAGGAGACCACCACTGTCTCCCCCATCTCCTCCTTCCTCCCCCCATCATTTGCCAGAGGTTGGTGGCATTAGCTGTGCATATCTTACCATCCTGTCCTCCCCAGATCCTCGCGCTTCCCTTAAAGGGCTGGGAAGATGGATAAGTGAGATCTGGTGAGGATGGAGCGCCATCTGTGTGGCCATTGAACCAAGTCATGGGAAGCACTCACCATGGGCAGACTGACCTAGCCTCTGGGATGTAGCAGTGACACAAGAGTCCCTGCACACTTGGAACCTCCTAGTCCAGTGGGGAGGATTGCAACAGAGAAATAAATATGGAAACTCTGCGTGTGTTGATGATGGTCAGAGTTAAGGGAAAAATAAAATGGGAAAAGGGCAGAGCTCGCCATTTGTCGGAAAGTAAATATGTGGGACAAGGAATGGCTTGATGAGCAGGTGACCTTGGAGGGGAGCTCTGAAGAAGGAAAGAAAGTCAGCCGTGGGGAAAACTGGGTAAGGAGTGCTCCTGGCAGAGGAAACAGCAATTGCAAAAGTCCTGAGGCAGAAGACTCCAGTGCGTGGAGTGGAGGCTGAGTGGAGAGGTAGGGTGGAGGCTGAGGAGGTCCTGGCAATTAGATTGGGGTGGTCTGAAACTCAGCAGGAGACAGGAGGCGCTCAGAGGGCTCTTTGTGAAGGAGTGGCTGGCAGCACCTGGTGGTGGACAGGGCTGAGGTGTGAGAGAAAGAGGAGGGCTCGATGCCCCTGTGTGTTTTCATCTGGAGCAAGGCAATGCACTTGGCCCTCACACATCAGCCAACGTCAGCCACTGGGTGGACGGCCGCAGTTACTGTCATTCCGACTTTGCCCATGTCACTGCTCCCGTCCCAGATGCTGCCCCATGTGGCCCTCCCTGTCCATCGCCCGGACTCTTATTGTTTCCTACCTGCACTTTCCCTCCTCACTCCCCTGACCCGTGGTGTCACAGACTTGCCCTTCCAGAGCATGTCCCCGTCCTTAAAATCTGACCTTGCTTACAACACAATATATACCTGAGTGCCAGCGCTGCTGCATGTCCTATAGAAAACCTGCTCCCCCACCTGCCCCTCTCTCCTGCTCCTCCTCCAGGCAGGGCTCCAAGCCCCGGGCTCTGTGACGTTCCTGGGATTAGCCCTGCATAACTTTATGCCTCTGCTCATGCCATTATCCCTGCCATCACAGTCATCCTGAAAGCCCATGCCAATGGTCAGCAGCTGTCCCGTGTGCCCTGCAGACTCTTCCTTCAGGAGCTGCTCCTCCTGCTGGCTTCTGGGTCACACACTCTGAATGGCAGTCTTGCCAGGGCAGCAGTAGTTGCACGCAAATCCTGCCCCCTACTGGCAGTCCACTGGAGTAGGATTTGGCTCAGGACTGGATCAATAAAAGATCAAAAAGGGAAACAAGTCTCAATTTCGGCACCTTGAGTGATGAGCTCAGTACCTCGTCAAAGCTGAACATTTAGCTAAAAGAGCTTAAATATGGTTAAACAGGTGCAACAGACCCTTACTAACTGCACATTCTGAACTGGTAAATGCAATTACTTGGTAAAATGTATTCAAACCACCAAATCAATAGCTGCAACATGGTGTGGTCATTCTCAACATATACTCAGAGCAATGAGAAGTCCAAGTCATGCAGCTCAGAGGGGTGAGACTGTGTCTCCACGCTCCTGTGTCCCTAGGCCCGAGGAGGTTGTGCCGTGCCCCGTGGAAGAAATAGCATGTGACGGATAAGTTTTGCTAAGGCTTCTGTTAGGGCACCCTGGCTGTGAGTCCAGGGTTGAGGCTCATCAATACTGTGCATCCAAAAATGGAGGATGGGTTTTACCTCTGTGTGGTGACCTCTGTGTTGGGTGATGCAGCTGGGGAAAAGACAGAGGAAGCTGAGTTCATGCATCCACGAGATGGTGCAGTTTGGAAACGCATAGTGGACCGTGGTGGGCAGGAGCCAGCGAAGCTGGGGTGTTGTTATCACTCAATGTTCCCTGTAACTAATCCTCATGAGAAAGATTGCTCCCAGGGTGTGTCTTTCAGTAGGAACCCATACATTCAAAAAAGTGATGAAAGTGTTGTGACCCGAGGGCCACAAGGACCTGAGTCTGGAGTAACCCTGGAGCAAGGACTCAGTATCCACTCATCCAGCGTTCAGTGCAACCTTCCAGACAAAACCACTGAGAAGAACCAGAATATATTTACTATATGACGTCAATCCTGCTTATTCACAGTAGTTACGTCCATGTATAAAATTTGGGTGAGAATTTGCCTCCCTATTTACCAGCCAACATCACCTCATCACCACCAGGTCCCCAAAGTCCTGTCCTCTGTGTCTCAAGCCATAGACCCCCTCGTTAGGACGCTGGGTTGTGCCCAGAGCTACAGGGTCTCTGCACTGTCCAATCCTGTACCAGGCAGGCAGGGGACATGGGTGTTATCTGTTCAGATAAAATCCAACAAATGAGCCTGCTTCCTTCACCAGAGCTACCCTTGCCTGTGCTGCCAAAGATGCCTGAAGAGATTCTGGCTGCAAAGAATTTCAACACCGTCCCCTCTGCAGTGGGCTTCAACAAGCAAGAGTTTGGCAGGAGCCTTCCAGTGGTGAGAATGCGCAGGCACCTTAGACCTACGAGGTACCCTCCCGAAACTCAGAGATCTCTCCTCCCACTTCTGAGCTCTTGCTTCTCCAAGCTCCACCTGAATCCAGGGCAGGAGTTCCCCCTGGGACAGTCATGTTTTCTTGGAAAATGTCTTTATTATTCTGTTCTGGGTGCATCCCAAGGAACCTCTCTCCTCAGGAAAGTTTTTATTGTCTTCCCATTAAATAATCCTGAACCATCCAGGTTGGAGACCCCTGGAGATCCTAACTGTGCCGACTGGAAAATGGAGGACATCTGGAAAGGGTAGGTGCTGGGGACTGGGGGGAGTCACATCTAGGGTCCAACAGCTTCCACCTGGGGCTTGGACTCAGAGTCCATGGATTGTCACAGCTGCTCTCAGACACCTCATTGGAAAGATTCAGAGGATGTTGCTTCTCCTTGAGTTAAATTGGCTTCTAAAAGGGAAGAAGAGCTATTCCTTCTATCAAAAACAAACAAATGAACAGCAACAACAACAAAAGCAAAGCCAGAAAGTAACTGAAGCCACAGGACAGGTTTTATTCAGTAATAGGATTGCAGTGGAGAAAACATCCACCACAATGTGCACTTAGGTCCCCGACAACAAGGGCTGGAGCCCTCTCAGTCCTGGGGAGTGCTCAGCAGGGCACTGTGGGTGGGAGGGGTGAGTCCATGTGAGCAGAACTTGCTCATCTGCAGGAAAACCAGGTTCCTCTTCTCTCCATCACAGGAAGTACGGGTTTGAGTTGAATTGAATTCAGCCCCACTCAAGTTCAGCTGTTATCCTTTTACAAGGACTGGGAGGGAGAGCAAGATTTTTCCCCAAATCTTTACATTTCAAAAAAAAAAAAAATTAAGAAAAGACACTCTCAGGTCCTTGCAGAAACAGTTCTGGATGGGGTCTTTGCACCTTAAAGGGCAGAGCAAGGGTTGATCATTGCAGGCCTCCTTAGGTAACTGTTTCTAGAAAGGGCTCAGGGGCCTGCTGGCCACTGACAGTCCTAGCTGAGGAGGACAGTGTTCCTGAAAGCCTGAGCTTCCCCAGCAGGCACCATAAGGGCTCTGGGTCATCCTAGGACATCCTAGACCCTGAGCTGCTAGAGGCCAGGCTAGCATGGGGTCAAGTCTCCGAGTGCTGTCACATGCTGAGCATTCTGCCGTTCTCAGAGGACTTCAGCTTACGCCAAAGGAAGGAACCGTAATGGTGAATTTCAGTTTCCTCAGGCACCGGGGTCTGGGGGTATCATCTGTTCCCCTCCTTCCCTGATCCCTTTGCTTCCACACTCCCTTGGTCTAAATTTCCCTCTCTGCCTGGATGACCGCGTGCCCCTAGTCTGTATATTTAAGCCACCCTCTTCCCGCTCCTTGACATTCTGAATTTAAGTCCATTTGTTTCACTGAGTTTCTTCAATCTCATGAAAGACTCATGATCACCGAGGCCCAGGGGGTGTGTTGGATTGGCTGTCGGCCAGTTGGGTTCTTTCTCGGAATCCCTGATGGCTCATAAAAGCTTAACCATATTTTGTCACAGATGATGGGCATCCCACCCTCTGAAGGCAAGCTGGACCAGAAGACGGCCACGTCGCTCTTGTGGAAGGCCTACCCCATTGTTGTGAGAGTCTAGGGAGGCGAGGAAGCTGGTGGAGACCAAGCCAATGGCAGAACAAGATGGGATCAGGGTTCTGTTCCCGTTTTCCTGCCTTTCCCACTTCACACCCCGGGAGGGATTCACACCAGATTCAGGAGGTTCATGATCAATGGCGCCTTCTGCACTGTCAGGGGCAACTGCTCAGCAGGTGGGGAGTCTCTTTCATGAAGCATTTCAGCAGCTCCCTGAGGAACGGGCTTCAGTGGCTTCTGAGAAGTATTTAGGACAACCCTGCCACAAAGAAAGACCTTTTCCTGGACTTGCGGGAAGATGTCATGTTTGCTGTCCCCTCTGTGATGGTGGCCCGTGGACACAGAGGTGAGTCCCGTAGTTGGATGTTAGAAGGACTGTGACCCACCAGCTTTGGTGTCTCACCTGACACCTCCCAGCATAGATGGACATGAAAAATGCTGAGGGGTCAGGCCTCAAGGGCTGGTTCCAGAAGGAATGTGCAGTTTTTCTTCTGTCTTTTTTTTTCTAGTAGTTTTAGAGTTGATTTTTATACCGTGTGAGATAAGGATCCATTTTCATTCTGATGCATGTAGAAACCCATTTTTTCTCAATAGCATTTACAGAAGAGATTGGTGCATATTCTTGGCCCCTTTGTTGAAAATAAGTTGAACATACAAGTCTGGGTTCATTACTGAGCTCTCTGTCCTGTTTTAATGGCCACCGTGTGTGTGTGTGTGTGTGTGTGTGTGTGTGTGTGTGTGTACATGTGAACCTGTGTGGTGTGTTTATGTGGCAAATACCATGTTGCTTTAGTTGCTATAACTTTCTCATATAATTTGAAATCAGGTAGTGTGTTACCTACAGCTTTGTTCTTTTCACTCATAATTTTTGTGATCAAATGGAATTTTTTTTTTAAATTTCATATGAATTCTAGGATTTTTTTCTATTGCTATATAGAATGGCATTGAAATTTGAATAGGGATTGCATTGGTTTGGTGTATCAATTTGGGTGATTAATGTTTCCATCCTAAACATGAGATGAATTTCCATTTATTTGTGTCTTCTTCTATTTCCTTCATCAATGCTGTTGAGAGCCACAACCAAGTCAAGATGGTGCCTGGCATTTTGCCAGAAGGGGTGGTTGAGGGGTAGCGCCAGCGAGCCATTAAGATGATGGTAATTAAGTTAAGCTGTGTATAATTATTAAGATAATGACTGATTGCTATACCTGGATGATGCTAAATTGAAACAAGCTGTGTATTCAGTTGTGTATATAAACCTCTGCTGTCCGGCAATAAGGCGGCTCCTGTTCCTCGAGTGCCCGCTACTTTTGAGTTCTCGCGGAGTTCCCGGTGAGTTCCCGTTGAGTTCATGTGGGTTCTGGAATAAAGTTCATTCCTGTTTGAACCTACAAGTGGCTCGTGACCTCCTGGTTATTTGTGCCCCGCCAGACTGTGGCAAATGCTTTATAGTTTTCTGTGTACCTATAATATACTTCCTGGGTAGCTTTATTCCTGTATAGTTTATATTTTTGTAGCTAGTAAAAATGGGGTTAGTATTGATTTCTTTTTTGAATAGTTAATTGTTAGTGTTTACAACTGCTTCTGGTTTTTATATGTCCATTTAACATCCTTCAGCTTTACTGAATTCATTTATTAGTTTTAATCTATTTTTGATAAGATCTGCAAGATTTCCTATAAATAAGACCAATTCATAAGCAGTTGGTGGTAGTTGAATGTCTGCTTTTCCTACCTGGATGCCTTTCTGTTCTGTTTTTGCCTGACTGCTTTGTCAAGGACTTCCACTACTAGGTTGAATAGAAGGGGTACAAGTGGGTAACTTGTCTTATTGCACACTTTATGGGAAAGGCTTTCCATTTTTCACCATTGAGTGTAATGTTAGCTTTTGGCTTCTTGCATAGGATTATTATGCGGAGGCACATTCCATTTATCCCAAATATGATGACTTTTTCAATCATGGAAGTATGTTGGTTTTACCACATGCTTTCCCCACACCCATTGTGATAATTATATATATTTTGTCCATCAGTCTGTAATCAGATGTATCACATTTACTGATTTGCCTTTGTTCAATCATTTTTGCCTCCAAGGGATAAATCCTGCTTGTTGAGTGTGATTATCCTTTTAATGCATGGTTGAATTTGGTTTGCTAGTATCTTCTTGAAGAGATTTGCTGCTATGTTCTGGAAGGATATTGGTCTCTAATTTTCTCTTTTTATAACATCCTTGTCCTATTTTAGTGTCAGGGTAATGTTGTCCTCATAAAAGGAAGTACTCTCTTTTCTTTAATTTTTTAAAGAAATTTGGGGAGAATTTGAGAGGGGTTGATATTAGATCCCTTTAAATGTTTGATATAATTCATTAGTGAGGCCCCTGGGTCCTGGACTTTCTTTGATGGGAGATTTTTAATCCCTGACTCCAAAGCCTTGCTCACTATTGATCCGTTCAGGTGATCTACTTCATCTTGAGTCAGCCTTGTCAGATTGTGAGGGATAAGGAATGCATCCATTTCCTCTGGGCTGTCCAGTCTATGTGCATATCATCATCTTACGTCTCATGACACTCTGTATTTCTGTGATATCATTTGAAATGACTCCTCTTTCATCTGTTGGGAACTCATTTCTCTAGGTCATTTTTCCTAAAGATTTGTCAGTTTTGTTTATCTTTTAAAAATATCAAGTCTTGGCTTTGTTGATCTTTTGTATTTCTATCCTCTCTAACTCGTCTCTTGCCTGCTATTTTTCTTGCATTCCTTTTGCTAAGTTTGGGCTTAGTTTGTTCTCCTTGTTCCCTGAGGTTTAACCCTGAGTTGTTTATTTGAAATATTCTTCTTGATATTGGTATTTACTGGCATAACCTTTCCTGTAACAATTGCTTTTGTTGTGTGCCATACATTTTTGGTGTGCTGCCTTTCTACTTTCATTTGTCTAAACATATTTTCAAATTTAAAAATGACCCCCTTAATTTATTCGGGATCATGCTGTTTAATTTTCACAAATTTGCCACTTTTCCAAAATTCATCCTATTCTTGATTTCTGCTTTTATTCCACTATAGTCAGAAAACATACTTTATTTAAACTAATAAACATTAATACATATTAATTGTCCCTATGAATTGATTTCACTGAGAGATTTCCATACATGCATATTTCATGCTATAACTCTCCCTTCTACCTTCTTACTCCCCTAAATCCCCCTTTTGGTCCCCCTTTTCCTTCACCACCAGTCCATCTTCTACTTTCTCTTCCCCATTATCTTTTTAATTTTTTAAAATTTTCCACCTACAAGAAGAACTTGTCATACTCTTTTTTTTTCTGTGTTTAGCTTCTTTCACTTAACAGGATGTCATTCAGTTCCATCCATTGTCCTGAAAAATGAAATGATCTCATTCTGATTATGGCTGAATAATATTCTATTGTCTATATAGTCCATATGTTCTTTATCTGTTCACCTGTTGATGGACATCCAGGCTAATTCCATATCTTCACTGCTGTGAACAATGCTGGGATAAATGTGGAACTGCAGATCTCTCTTTTGTATGCTGACTTAATTTCCTTTGGATATAGAAGCAAGACTAGTGTAGCTAGATCACACGGTTGTTCTATTTTCAGTTTATTAAGGAACTTTCATACTGTTCTCCATAGTGGGGATTAATCTACAGTCCCACAAACAGTATGTATGGGAAAGGATCAGGGTTCTTCTCTCCATAGCTTTGCCACCATTAGCTTTTATTACTTTATGGCTAAAGGTGGGGTATTGAAGTCCCCTACTACAATTGTGTTGTAATCTCTCTCTCCCTTTAACTCCTTTAATGTGTTTAAGTGCTTTGATTTTGGGTGCATATCTATTTACAATTCTCATAACCCTTTCATCAACAGGTCTTTGTCTTCTTTCAGAATATTTGACTTAATGCCTATTGTCTTACCTCCATTCTCTTTTGGTTTCCGTTTGTGTATGATATGTATTTCCGTTCCTTTGCTCTCACTGTGTGTCTTTGAAGGTGAACTGAATCTCTTGGAGGCAGAACATATACTGAGCTCTTGTTAGAAGCCTCTTTGTTTCTTTTTGTTGTTCAATTAAATCTGCATGTATTCAAAGTAATCATCTATTGATTTCTTAATGCTACTTTATTATCTTTTTTCTGGTTGTTTTCATAAACACTTGGTTTAATTCTTCTTTTCTTGAAGTCTTCCCTTGAAGCTTGATGGTTTTCTATGTGGTTTGCTTTGATTTCTTCCTAATTTTATTTTGTGCTTCTTCTAAAAATGTTTGCTTCGTGGTTGCCATAAAACTTATATAGAACGAACCTTCAACTTATAGCAGCCTATTTTAAGCTCACAGCAACTTGACATTGAGGTATTTTATCAACTCTGCAGTTTTGTCTCTCCGCCAGCATTTTGTTTTGACGTCAGAATTTACGTCATTTAGTAATGGCAAATTAGCTGTAGTCAGGTGTTTAGTCAGTTTTTTCATCACTGTGACTAAAATACCTGACATAAGAATAATTTAGAAGAGGAAAAGTTGACTGAGGGCTCCCAGTTTCAGAGATTCAGTATGTGCTGCCTTCATAGTAGCCAGGAAGGAGAGAGAGAGAGAGAGAGAGAGAGAGAGAGAGAGAGAGAGAGAGAGAGAGGTGAGGAACAAAATATAAACCCCAGTAGGATACCCCCAGTGACTTATTTCCTTCAGCCATACCCTTCCTCTCTCTAGCCATCACCCAGTACATTATTAGACTTTCCAAATTATTAATCCATGAATGCTCTCACCCAGTCATTAGGCTCCAGCTCACCTGATCTACTCATGAGCTTTCTGGGCACATGTCATAGCTAAACCATAATACTAGGTGATTATTTATGTTAGCTTATTTGTTAGTAATAGTTTTGTCTTTGACCCTTATATTGGAGATGACATCGTCTAGCTCATCACTATTACGTGCCCACAGTATTCTGAATATTGTTCTTATTTGTGTCATTGACTTTGTGTTTCTTTCATGTCACGAGTGTCTTTTTATTTCATTTTAAAGACATTTCTTTGGAAATTTTTACAAGGCAGGATAGAGGACAAATTCCATAAGCTTGGGTTTAACCCAAGACATAGATTGTTCAGCTTCTACGTATATGTTTAGTTAACTATCCTCACACCCAGACAAGCAGCTTGGATTTACTTCACTCTTCTCTGAATGGGTGAGAACAGCACTGGAAAAGTTCAAATAGGCCAAATAGAAGACACCTACCACCTTATAGTTATGCTTGAAATGAAGGACCTCTAGTGTGCCCTCGATGAAACCTAGTGTTTTTATTTGCTAGATTTTATTGGTTCATTCTGTGAGCAGCAGACACGTCTTGAGTAGAAGCACAGAATGAAAATGGAAAGGGTTCAAAGCAGACTACCAGAAAAACATCTGGCTGAGTCCCCACCTCCCCCTCAGCCAGCTGTGCAGCCTGGCAGTCACGGGGCCTTCCTGAAACTATTTCTCTCCTGTGCCGATACCAGCAAAGACCTTGGTACCATCCAGGTGGGTCTCGGGTCGTGCAAACTGTGGCATGAATCCATGTCTTCTCAGATCCCGGAGCCCCACCTACATGGACCAGTTTCCTGGCAGGAAGGGGGGAAAGAGAGGTGGGGGCAGGCACGCTCACCTCCTGTGCCCCTTCTGTGGTGGGCATCACTGTATCACCCTAACCACCTCACAGTCCCCTGGCCAAGCAGGAAGCAGGACATGCAGGGTATGAATCCAGGAGATTTGTGTTTTCTTGAAACCCAAGAGGCAGATGGCTCTGTCTGTGGTCGCATTTGTCTTTAAACCTCCTCATTTGCAGACAAGCAGCTTGGATTTGCTCCTCCCTTCTCTGAATGGGAGAGAACCTCAGAAATGCTCAAAATCAGAGGAATAGGAGGCACCTATCAGGTTGTAGAGTTTTTTGAAGAGAAGGAGCTCTAGTGTGATCTCAGTGAAACGTGTCTCAGTATTTATTTGATTCACTTAATTAATTCATTCTGTGCTTCAGTAAATATCTGGCTCAAATCCCAATTCCACTTTAAGCAGCTCTGCAGCCCCAAGCTAGTCCCTGGGCGCTCCAGGAGCTCTGTTCCTGTCCAAGGCTGGCACCCAGGGGTTTCCTGCACAGCCAGAGACCTTGAGACCGTCCAGCTGCGTGTCTGGTGGTGTGACCTGTGCACACATCCGTGTCTTCTCAGATGCCGGAGCCCCCACCTACATGTATGAGTTTGAGTACGGCCCGAGCTGCTTATCAGACGTGAGACCCAGCACGGTGACGGGAGACCACGGGGATGAGCTCTTCTCGGTATTTGGAGCCCCATTTTTAAAAGGTAACGGCCTTTGCTGGCTGTTGGTTAGGGGGCCTGGGTTCCAGTCTTGCTGTCCTGGCCTTGAGCAAGTGTCCCCTGTTCTCTGTGAACTTGGTGACTCACTGTAACAGGGCTGAGCAGCGCTGGGCGGGCCTCTGCTCTCACCTGCAAGAAGGGGGATGTGTATTCGTGATGGTCCTCGAGGCACAGAGTCTCAGAGTCCTGACCTGAGAGCCAGAGGGTCACCTGCAGAGCCCTGTGTGGGGGCCACTGCTTGCCACTGAGGGATTTTCTACTAACAACAGAATACAAGAATGAGGGGAAGTTAGATTGGGTGCTAACCTTGACCTGAAGGTCACGTGTATCTGTCTATATAATTATATTTCTTTTTTTTTATCTGTAATTTTTAATAATACTTCAGGAAAAGCTTTTGCAGTAGCTTTGATATGTGAACTCAGCAGTTGCAGATGACTTGTGACCAACCTCATGGCTGTTCGTGACATGCCAGTGGCTTTCACTTGGGTGACATTTTAGGATGGTGGCTTGTTTGATATTTTTCAGACTCTGAAAATGTGGATGCATGTAGGAGATTAAGAAAAGGTCCAAGAGTCAGCAGTCCCACCAAGTAGAGGGAACCCTGTGTGTGGCCTTAGGACCCTGAGTGGGGAGGGCCAGGGCAGGTGGGCCCAGAAGACAAAGGCAGTCGGCTTATGGATGGACAGCATGCCCAGTGCGGTCCTCGACCAGCCGTTCTCAAGCTGAAAGTGCACACCAAGGGACAGGCTCTTCGTAATATGCAGACCTGGACCAGTAGGTGTGGAGTCAGGCCAAGAGTCTGCTGTCCACAAGCTCCCAGCTGCTGCTGCTGCTGCTGCTGGCCCACAGCCCACTTTGAGCCACAAAGTGTTTTTCCTTTTTCCCCAACAGGGGGCGCCTCCGAAGAGGAGACCAAGCTCAGCAGGATGGTGATGAGATTCTGGGCCAACTTTGCTCGCCATGGGTGAGGCTGGTGGCAAAGAGGGAGCAGGGTGGATGGATGGGTGGCCATGGTTGGGGCCGACCCATTGTGAAGGGGTCAAAGTGTGGGTGACAAACCCCCTACCTGTGACTAGAGTCCTCTGAGAACACGCAGGATGCCCCAGGACAGGGAGAGCTCCTGACGCTGCATAGGGCTGGGCCTTGTGGGAGAGAGAAACCAAGGAATCCTGTCCGTCCCAAGACACGTGGGGCTCACAGTGGATCTGGGGAGTTTCTGTTTGATTCTGTTCCCAGGAACCCCAATGGAGCCGGGCTGCCCCTCTGGCCAGAGTACGACCAGGAGGAAGGGTACCTGCAGATTGGCGCCACCACCCAGGCAGCCGCGCGGCTGAAAGACAAGGAAGTGGCTTTCTGGACAGAGCGCAGGGCCAGGAAATGTCCCCAGAGAGAACTTGGGGAGCTGTGACGGGAGGCTGAGCCAGCCTTGGGATTCTGGAGCAGAGGACAGGGGTGCGCAGGCCACCGAGGAGTCCTAACGTGGAGGCTGGGGACTGTGGGGTGGGGTGGCAGAGGCCTGGGTGGGGAAGGTTTGCACTGTGGCCTCAACTTGGAGAATAAATGATTTTTGGAGACCACATCAGTGTCTGCGTCTTCTGCTAGAGTGAGTCCATCCTCTCAGATGACAAAGATGAAGACAGCAGCATGTGGTCACAGTTTACTTCTTCACTATAAGTGATACCTGTTGAAGATCCAAACTGCATAAGCTCATCGCCCCTCCCCGTAGCCATAGAAAATGCTCCACGCCACTCTCTGTTGCTCCTAAGGCCTTGTTGGATCTGCAGGAGAGGCCACCCTGCCCCACCCCTGAGACACGCCCTCAGCGATGCATGTTGCAAACTCACCCTCTGTATGTGGGGGAAGAGGGACATCATGTGGCATCCTTAGACTCAACGTCTAAAGCAAAATTTGGTTGGATGTACACTGTCAATGTAAGGATCTAGACAGGTTGAAAATAGAAAAAAGGTACTTTATAAAAAGTTGGGTGGCTATATTAATATTGGATCCTTGAATATAAAAAGGGAAAAGAGGGGCATTGTAGAATAATAGAAGGGCCAATTTACCAAGAGAATATGACAGTTCCCCATGTGTACACACCTATTAGTAATCACAGTGGCCTGGCATGTCTAGGGCTTAGGCCCCGGGAGCGGGCTGTGAAGCAAGAATTTGAGTGCAGTCATTTTGGGCAGGTGATGTGTAGGGCTCCTGCGGGGAGAGTGGAGAAGAGGAAAAGGAGGGGCGTCAGTGGACACAGGTGGGCTGTGCACAGGTCTTGGGGGAGGAAATGCAGTCACTCCACTGGAGACCCACAGGCAATGGAAGAAACCAAACATCAGAGACTCTGCAGAGCCGCAAGGAGGGCAGGTACATATACACTAACTCTCATCTGTGACTGCTCAGGGCTCTTTGGTGGCCCTAGGAAGAAGACCAGGCCACAGGCAGGCAATCTGGAAACTCTTTGGCTTCTGTGGCTGCAGCCGACCAATTTCTTCTTTTTATTTATATATGACAGCAGAATGCATTACAATTCTTATTACACATATAGAGCACAGTTTTTCAATTTCTATAATGACATTTGGAAAAATGAACAGCTAGAAAATGTCACTCAAATCATTTTTTTAAAGTGCTATCATATTAACTGGGCACAGTGGCCCGCACCTGTCATCTCAGCAACTCAGGAGACAGAGGCAGGGGGACCACAAGTTGAAGACCAGCCTCAGCAACTTAGAGAGAACCTCAGCAACTTACTGAGATCCTGGCTCAAAAATGAAAAAAATAAATATATAAATAAAAAGGAATGGGATGTGGCTACGTGGTAAAGGGCCCCTGGATTAAATACCCAGTACAAAAATAATACTGTCATCCTAAGTGACATTACACGCATGGTTTTTATATTGTGGCCCGTCCTGGCCTCCTCCCATATGTTTCTAATTTGGGCAGGTGTCGTGCTTGGTGGAGCACATTCCCAAGTCGTCCGGATCGGGGGCCCTTCCCTCTTTCTTCCTGTCATCATGCAATTAATTGGTTTATGGGTTTAAGTTAATATATGTGTGACAAGTGTCATCGGCCTCGTTTGTTTTCCTTTATTCAGTTTTTCTATCTGGGGTTTAAGTAAAAGAATCACTTGTAGGTTTTATTTCAAAATTCCAGTGGCCAACTTCCCAGGGCCACTGAAGGACAGTGTCTTGGAGAGGACCTGGACTCTTTCTTTCAGTGTTCGCATCCCGATGTCCACCACTGATTCCTAACCACTGCATCTGAACAGTGTCGCCTGTGTATTTTCCAAGTTTCTAGAATCTCTCCCAAAAGTCTATTTTAATATCCTGGACATTCGTGGACATAATTTGATGAAAACCTTTGGGAATGACTCTTTTTATTCTGTAGTGTTATTCCTGGCGTTTGGTTCTGCAGAGGATGGACTGAGTCATAGGCAAGGACTTTTGGTTTTGAGGGCCTTATAGTTATACAGAGTAGTTGGTCCATTATGACAAAACCATACACGCAAGGAACTTGACTCCGATCCACAGTCCCTCCCCTTTATCTTCCCTCCTCCCTCCCCTTAGTCTCCACCCTCTATGGAATTTCTTTTTGCACATTTATTTATTGATTTTTGATTGGTACTTTCCATATATCAAAAATAAATCCCCTTTGGTACATTTATATATGCCCGCAACATGAATCAGCCCAGATGGAATCAGCCCAGATGCCCCTCGGTAGATGAATGGATCAAGAAAATGTGGTCTGTATATGTAATGGAGGTTCACTCTGTCATAGAAAAGAATGAAATAATGTCATTTGCTGGTAAATGGATGGGACTGGAGACATCATGCTCAGTGAAATAAGCCAGACTCAGAAAATCCAGGGTCAAATATTTTCTCTCATATGTAGCAACTAGAGCAAAACTAGGGGAGAAAAGCCAGGACCTTTTAAAACTACTCTTCTCGTGCTCTGTAAATTTACTTCCCTAAAGAGCCACATCTCTTCATAGTCATCAGCAATCCGAGTCCATATTGCATGTCTCTGCTTTTCCATCCTGATAAAGACATAGAATATGCAATCATTTTCTAATCGTAAAATAAATGATTTACTTTTAAATAAACTTTGAAAAGTTTAATTAAAAGTAAGTTAAAAGAAAAGAAGTTTATGTAATTCAATATTCTGCCATTTACTCTCAAGAGTTTGTTATAGTTAAAGCTTCATCCTGGGGTTTCATAAACTGAAAGTTTACGAAAAGTAAATAATTTATTTAAAAAAAAAGTTTCATAAACTCTTTTTCTCCACCAAAAATATTGTACCTGATTCATTAAATCGAAGTGGAAGAACCTTAGGGACCAACCACACATCTTTACCTGTGTCAGAGGGAAACCTGCTGCTCTCCTTGAGAGGCCGTGGGGAGGCTGGTGATCCGATGCTGCAGAGTTTGAACTGATAGAAATGATAAATACTGAAATCAGAAACCAATGCCACTCCTTGGCTTCCTGCTTCTAATATTTGGAAAGGGGAAACGATATTATCCACAGGCAGTTTCTAGCTTTTCTTCTCTCTTCACTTCCTGGGCAAGTTTCAAAGGAGCCTCAGATAAGGCAACCCCTCCTCCTGGGGTTTCCTGCGCCTTCTTGAGGGCCTTCCTCAGGGCCCTTTGAACTCTGGACCTTTTGCCCAAACCCCACTTCTGTCTCTCAGCCTCTGGTTGTAGCTACAAGTCACCACTTCCATCCAGGTTCCCAGTGCAAAGGTGGAGAGAGAGTCATGCATTAGCCATGCACCTGGGAGCTGCCCCACTTGGGAAGCCGGGCAAGGGGAGAAAAGCCAGCCTTGGCGCAAGATTGTGTCAAATACAAGGGTGTCAATGAAGAAGTGCTCGCTGTGCTTCATGGGGGGTTGGAGCTCAATGCTGGACTCAAGGGTGGGATTGGGGATGGCCAGCAACGGGGAGGTGGAACTATGACCCAGAAAGTGCAGGGTGCTGAGGGTCAGCCCAGCTGGCAGCAGGGTTTATGTTGACAAGATTGCTGCAGCACATCTTGGGGACTTAGGGGACAGCTTTTATTCCTTGATCTGAGGAAACACTTATTTTTTTTTTTTTAACTGGGGATCATGTTAGTCCATTTTTGGTTGCTCTAGCAAAACGCCTGATGCTGGCTACTTTATAAAGAAAAGAAATTAATGTAATTCAATATTCTGCCATTTATTCTCAAGAGTTTGTTATATTTAAAGCTTCATCCTGGGGTTTCATAAACTGACTTCCAGACCACTCACGTATAATCGAATCAAGCCTTTATTGAAGCACACTAGTGGTGACTGACCAGAGCATAAAGCCGTTCCCCTGATCAGCCCTAGACAACTGCAAGGGCTCTTTGTCTAAGCCTGAAAACCACAAAAACGATGTTTCGGGGGTCCAGCCAATGCAAGCAAGCCAGGTTACAGAATCAGGAGAGTGCAGTCAAGCGGCGGGAAGCCTAACCAATCACAGTTAGCCCAGTCACCCCAGTTACAGAAACAATGCCCCCTTAGGTAGTTCTGTGTTCTTAAAGGTTTCTATAGCAAAAGGAAAAGAACATCTTGTCCCAGTCATGACCCTTCTACTTGGCATGGCTGCTTTACCGAATGGAGCCACAAAACAAAATGGAGTCACCTTTGCTTTTACTATCACAAGTTAATGGAGCGATAACATAGGACAGGAAGCCAGAGAGCTGGGAAGGGCCAGGCTGACTTTTTAATCACAACCAGCTTTTACAGGAACTATCCCAGTTCTGCAAGAACTATGTAAATATCTTCTGAAAATGAGACACGACCCCCTCAGCCGCCAATGATCTAATTACCTCCCACCAGGACCATCTCTGAAAAGTTCCACCAGCTCAACAAAGCTAGACCTTCAGCCCACAAACCTGTGTCCCCACACTGAGACCCTCTCCAAACCAAACCACAACTGTGATGATGATGATGGCCTGAAAGGTCCTTGCCGTCTGTCTACCTGACCATCTCTCTACGTCCCTTCATACCATTGTACCTGAAGCTCCCATCACCTCTCTGAGCGTTCATCAGGGAGAGGAGACTTATTCAATAACTCTCCTGGCTAAATTTAAGTCGGGCTTCTCTTAGTACCTGCGGTAGAAAGTACCAGTGTGCAGGCGCATACAGACAGTCTGCAGAGTGTTTCTGACTGCACTTCTACCAGCGGATCACACTTGTGATTGGCAGGTCAAGACTGGGGATGCCATGAGCATCGCGAGGGTCTCCAGAGCTCAGCTGCAGGCCCTGCCTTCTCCCTGCCCATCTACCTTCAGGGGTAATTACGGACTCTAGCAGCGTATGTTATTTTTTTCCCCTTGATTTTCGTGTTTCATGTTAACAGAACCATGTGTTCTTATCACTTGGCTCTGATCTCCCTACAGGATTTGTGACAGTCGCCTGTGCTGCCGTATGTGGTTGGGACTTGTTCATTATCAGTGCTGTAAAGCCATCCATGGTGTGACCGTGCCCGGGTTTGTCCGTCCTACTCCTGTTGGGCGTTTGAATAATGCGTTAACCTCCTGAGATCACCATAACCAAATGATTTTAGCAGAGTTTCTGGAGTCTAGAGGTTCCAGATGAGAGTGCCGGCTGATTCTGTCCCTGGGGAGGGAGCCCCTCCTGGCTTGTAGATAGTCACTTCCTCACTATGTCCCCATATGGCTTTCCTTCTGGGTGTGTGGTGTTGGTGGGGTAGAAGGGTCTGGTGTCTCTTCTTATAAGGACACGGATTTTCCTTGTCTAAAACCTGACCCCCGTGACCTATTTAACCTTGGTTACCTCCATGAACGCTCTATCTCCACATTCAGGCACCTTGTAGGTTGAGAATTCGAGATAGGAAGCTCAGTGTGTGGGGGGGCGAGTCAGGTTTCCATCCCTGTGCCCCAAAGACCTGACAAGGACAACTTGAAAGATGAAAGATTTATTTGGGCCAATGGTTTCCAGAGTTCAGTCCTTGGCAGGCCAAGCCCATTGCTCTGGGCCCAAAGCGAGGCAGAGCATCATGGCGGAGGGTGCAGGCTTCTCCAGAGAAGGGGTGCTTCTCCATTCACGGGTGCTCAGAAGCAGAGAGAGAGGGAAAGGGCCACAGAAAATCTGAGCCCTCCCATGGACCACCCCAGGGCCCACCTCCTCCAGCAGTGCCCCCACCACTCAGTTAATCCATTTGGGTTGGACTGATTAGGTTACAGCTGTCCCAATCTAATTATTGCACTTGTGAAATTTTCTATATGAACACAGGTGGTTTAGGGGACTCCTGGTACACAAGCCATAATGGGGGACATAATTCAGTTCATTACAGATAGTGTTGTAGGGACAAAAGAGGCAAGGCACCAAAGACAGCAGTTTTGTTTGGCTGCAGCCAGGTTCAGAGCTTTTGCTGTGAACCCCCGAGTTCAGGGAGTTTCAGAGTTTTATACCCAGCATTTGAGGGGAGGGGCTCAGAAGTTCACAGTCTGCAGAAGTTCACATAAAAGCAGCTTTTTCTTTCACAGTTCTGGGCAAGTTCACCCTTCAAGGACAACTCCTGAGAAGGGGAGAGCTTCTTCTCCCCTTCTTTCCTCCCCCTGCCAGCTTTTACCGTGGCCCCCAGTTGTAACTTATCTTAAAAAAGTAGACTTCTCTGTGAAGCCCAGCTCAAGGCCAGAGGCCTTATTTGTTCATTTCTACAAACTACTAGATGGATACATGTTTGTGAGCATAGTAAGGGGGTGTCCAGCACCTGGAGTGCTCATATCTTCCTGGCCAGTGGCCAAGTAAAACAGGGCGACATGGAAATAGGAAGTTTATCTACATTGGACTCTTTTGCAGAGACTCTTTTGCTGACAGTCCTAAAATCAGCCATGGTGAAGGTTTTTGGAGATTTTTCTGTGGATAAAGGGGGTGCCACTTCAATAGTTTAAATGAATATTCTTGAACATGTCTTCTAATGAGAATATACATGCCTTTCTCCTTGATACCTACCCAGTTTGCTTTCCTGCCAGAAAACAAGGATCATCCTGTATTGTTTTCAATACTAGGTGCTCTCAGCATAACTGCTGTTCATTGATCTTGTTTTATACTGTACGTCTCCTTGGTTAGTTTTATTGTATAAAATGATTTACAGAAGTGCATGTCCCCAAAGAGGTCACTGATGGTTGGTTGGTCATTTAAGAGCCAGGACACCCTTATTCATCATCCTGGCCACCACTAGGGTGACCAGGCACGGACTTCATCAAGAGTCATCATTATTGTGGCCATATCCTTGAGTCTCAGGAACCTTCTTGGCTTTGAAACTCAGATCTCAATACAGAGATGGCATTCTGCTGACCCTCGCTGTGGAACATCTGATGTCCCAATGTAATGTTTGGAGTCCCAAGAGCCAGTCCTAGGACCGGAGAGGCAGAGAGCCTATGGGAAAATCTGTCTTGTGGTAGGTCTAAAGAGGAACCGTGCTTCTCACCCCTGTTGGGGGGTTGATTGCACCCCCATTTATATGGATCCCTATTACCTCCCAATCCAGCGAGTCCTTTGCCATCTCCAGTCTACACTCTGTATTTGCTGGGGGTCTCCCTCCTCCCACTCACTGACTTCTACCTTCTGTGCTACTAGAGCACTTCTTGGTTTTCTATCGACCTTTCAGCTTCCAAATTGCAGTTGTGGTCTCCTCCAGGGTTTGCCCAGATGGGTTCGTACTCAGGAAAACTTTAGTTTGCTGTCTTTCTGAAGAATTTGGGGATAGAATAGAAATCACCAGATCGCTTTCCCTCACAGGAAATGGTAAATTTGTTTTTTAAAAACTAAGTTTTTCAAAATAATGTCTCTCCATGTTTGACAGCTACGTTGCATCCCAGAGTGTAAATAGTGAATTATCTCTCCTGTTGCTGGTCTTTCTGATTTTTTCACCTTTAATGAGGTGACCATCTCTGGATGTCCACTGCACAGGCAATCTCTGGAATTACTCCTGGAGAGCGGTGTTTCCAAATGTAGATCTTGTTATTGTTACTGAGGTATGAAAAGGCCAAGGTCATCAGCTGAGGAGATGACGGCTTCACAAAGAGTTTGCTGCTCCATGTTCCCAAGTCTAGGAACAAACACTTTGTGCACATGGGGAGGGGGTCCCACGGGGAAGCACTGGGGTCAGACAGCAGGTGGGGGTCTGTGAATAAGAGGCTTTATTTTGGTTTTCGTGGGAGGGAAGAGGAGATGGGGGAAACAGGGCTAGGATTGTTAGTTTGAGTGATTTCAATGGGCTCTGGGGCTCTGGGGCTGTTCCATCTGGTACCGGGCCCAGGAGTGAATTGGGCCCAGGGAATGCTGAGAGATGGGTTCGGATCCAATTGAGCAGTTCTAGGGCTGTGAGTGGCTTTAAAATTTCCCAGCGTGTTGTCAGGACTCCAGAAAAAAAAAACTTGGCCTTGCCTGAAGGCTCAGCTTGCTGGTGCCTGCTTTGGAAAGGTCACCGTGCAAAGTTTAGAGTCCCGCGAGAGAAGAAAGCCTTATGTAAGACATTGTTGGCTGAGTCTCTGGTCATCTGCACTCTGAGAGTTGGTTGGGGACTATTGAGTTAAGTGGGTCAACTCTGGGTAGGAGTGGCCTTCCCAAAGACAGCCCGATGAAGGCTTCAGAAGAGAGAGTTCCTCTGCCATTTTGGATTATGCAATTTGGCTGGGTGGGCGGGATCCGGGCAGGTCTCCCGTCCTGGGACAGGACCAGGGCATTGCAGCTGAACAACTCAGAGTCTTCCCTGGCCCTGGAGCTGCTGTCCTTCCAGAATGTGGCTCTATTCTGTGGTCTTGGCCTTTCTGTCTGCGAGCACTGCTTGGGGTGAGTCCTGGGGAAAGACAAACATCAGCGGGCACATCCGGAAACCCTTCTCCTGGCCGAGTTGGGAGGAGACGTGAGTAGGGAAGAGGCATGCAGGTTCATTTCTGCGGTGCTGCTCACACTCTGCACTTGGCATTGCACGTGGAGTTGTCCAGTCCAGCCAGTGCGGGGAGGACAAAGACACTGAGACCTCAGCTGCAGCCACCAGGCTCAGGAGAGCACTGAGACAACCTCATACCTCACACAAAAGGAGTTTAAAGCTTGGTTTAATTTCCCCCTTGTTATAAGGCCAGATCTCGCCAGATCATGGAGGGTGACCAGCACAACGTTAAAAGCACCATCTCAAGAGCCAAGTGCAGGTCTGAAGACCAACTGAGCACTTCTGAGCTGGGCATCCTTGGGCCAGGTACTTAGCTGTGCCTGGGTTACCCCATCTCTGAGATGGGGATGAAAGAGTCCCCACCCCATCAGGCTGGAGAGGGGATAAAAGGAGTGTTGTTTTTTTTTTTTTTAAAGCACTTAGAATGGTGCCCCATATAAAGGGGTACAGAAAAGGGATTGATAAATAAAGGGGATAATTTTAAGTGGAGTGAATCAATGGGATATTTGATGCATGGTGAAATAAGACAAGGCGCCCTTGGTCATTGAAAAGACAATTTGTTACACACAGGTCCTAGGAAGTTGACCGCCCCACTGTAGTCGGAGAGGGACACAAGAGGACCCACAGAGGCCAGTCAGGATGCAGAGGGAGAGTGGGGACTGTGGAGAAGGCTTTGGTAGTGGTTCTACCAGAAAGAAAAGGTGAGGCAGGGCAAGCAGGCGTAGGGCTGCCTAGTTGGGATTACTTTATGGGACTTTGGTTTATAGGAGCTGTCACCGTTGTCTGGTACCTGGTTCTGGGTCATTAGGGCAGGTGACACTGGCCTGGAGTTGGAGAACCATATGTAGGAGGTGGTGTGGACGCGGGTTCTGGATTGGTTGCACCTGCAGGAGGTAGTTCCTCCAGGATGGTCGAGGCCTCACAGGTCAACACTTCAGATACAGGAAATAAAAATGGTCGTTACAGGGTTATAGGGAAGGATCTCAGCATATAACTGTGCCATTTTATGGACAGAAAAACCGAGACTCAGAATGAAATGTACTCTCCAAAGTTTACCTGGTGAGTCATGTACTGGTCTATCTCTGGGTCTTAATTCCAGAGTCAGTGCCTGGAACAGCAATAGTCAAAGCCCCCATACCTGGGATTTCAGCTTCACTCTGGCTGGCCCTGGGTTACCCCATCGGAGGCCTGGAACCAAGTGTAAGGCAGATTAACAAAGAATCCAAAGTTCAGAGGAACCATTTGATTACTGCTGGTGGCCTCTAGTGATATCATCCTATTTCCATCTTTAGGAAGTTCATATAAGCCACTTGCAAATCCTGTTTGCCCATCTGTTCAGTGGGCATATGGACACTCACCTGGTGAAGCTTTTTTGAGAAATAATGTAAAGCAGCTGGAATGCACATCGGGTACACAGAAAGCGCCCAGTATGTGCACATTCCACATGACCTAAGAGGTGCCTGCTAATTATTGTCACCTTGTATGCCTCCCACCCCGTCTGCCCATATTCCCACCCTGGGCAATCTGGCTTCTACCCACTTCATCTGGGTTGAAGGTCATCACTGAACTGCTACAGGACACACCCAGAGATTTCCAATTTCTGCTCAGACTTTGCCCTCTTTCACCTCCTTGAAGCACTCGCCCAGCCCCCTCCCCCTCTCCTCCCTGGGCTCCCAAGGCTCTGCCCTCCCCCACCCCCCACTCTGGAGGGTGCTCCCAATCTCAGCTGAAGCTGCCTCTGAGCTCCCTTCTCAGCTCCTGCTCTCCTCTCACCCCGGCCTCTGCAGTGAGGCCACATGCACCCTTGGTATGCACCCTCACCCTCAGGAGGACGATTCTCTGCCCCTCACCAACTCCCTTCCGGTCTGGAGGTGCCCTGGGCCTGTGGCCTCTTGCCAGGAACATCTCCCTGACCTCCTCAGGGACCCTGCCTAACACAGAGCCAGGTTCACACGCCTGCTCTTTGGTCTTCTTCCCCTTCCACTGCCCCATCATCTGGTAGCTCCCAGGTCCTCCTTCAATATTCATATACATCCCCATATTTCTTTATAAAAGTTTTTTCTAAGTCTAAAAAAGGGGTCTATCTTCAGTGCAGAAATGTGAGCATGCACCAAGAAGAACGAAAGCTGTACTGCCTGAATCTCAATGCATGAGCTTCCCTGGAGGAAGGCTTGGGGCATTGACAATAATTAACCACAGGCCAAAGGAAGCCAGCTTGAGGTTGCCCTTAATCACACAAAGCATGGGCCTGGTTACGTATCCACGAGTTTCCAGTGGTTTGGGTTATTCCTCTTGATATTCGTTATTTTAGTTTAGTTTAGTCTATGCCTGGTGACCTTAGGGTCTTATGACCACGTGGGACAAATAAGGCTGGACACCCAAGAGACTTTCAGGAAGCAGGTTTATCGGCTGCAGCGTCCAGGGGGGCTACCACTTAAAACATTCTCCTCTGAAAGAATCTGGAAATTCTTTGAACTTCGTACCTAGTGGGAGGAGGGATTTGAAGGTTCACATGACAAGTGCTCTCTGTTTCATTTTTTTAGACTAGTCAGACCTCAATGCCCTTTGCAGAAGTTTTTGCTCCTGTACTGTGTAAAAAGCTTTCTGACAAGAAGAGGAACTTACATGTTATAAATATGGTGGGGGGTTTTGCTTCATGGTAAGGGTCTTGTGGGTCGAGGTCTCTGGTCAGTTTCAATGACTTTTAGTTAGGTTGGACACTTTCCTCATCTCTATTTTACATAAAAGGAATCTGAGGTCCAGAGGGTTTAGGTCACTTATTCAGTGTCACATGCCTAGAATGTGGCCAACCCCCCTGGAACCCAGGTCTGGCCTTTCCCCTCTAATGTCCTCATTTGCTCATTTGCTTCCCATGTCCAGCAGGACACCCGTCCTCGCCCCCCGTGGTGGACACGGTGCACGGCAAAGTCCTGGGGCAGTACGTCAGCCTGGAAGGATCTGCGCAGCCCGTGGCGGTCTTCCTGGGCGTCCCCTTTGCCAAGCCCCCTCTTGGGCCCCTGAGGTTTGCTCCTCCGCAGCCGGCAGAGCCCTGGAGCTCTGTGAAGAACGCCACCTCCTACCCTCCTATGTAAGTGGTGGCCTGTCCCAGGGGGTTTGTCCCTCGGTGCTGCAGGAAGGGGTGGAGGCTGTCCTGGGCTTGGCTCTGCTTTCTTCTAGAATCTTCTGGAATCTTCTAGAACACGGCAGAGCCCTGAGGCCTTCTGGACCTCTCAGGGGTGTCTAGAGCCCTTTGTTCAGCACCAGTTCTTGGGTACCTATTGTGTGTCAGGCATGTTGTGGGTTCCTGGAATCCATTAGTGAACAAAGCAAAGATCTCTGCCTTCCTGGGGCTTCCATCAGAGATGAGAGACATCATGGACTACATGAAAGGTGATCAATGAATTATGTGATCTATTAGAATGCGGTTAGTGCCCTGGGGGAACATTAGTTGAGCCGGTGATGGAGGTAAGGAGTAGGTGTCTTATTTCTTCTATGTGTGTGTGTGTGTGTGTGTGTGTTCACGTGCACCTTGGTGTGGTTCAGGAGTGTGATAGAGAAATGAGGGGCGCCCTGGAAGGTTGACTTGACCTTATCTCAACTCCCAGGTGTGTCTAGATACCTAGTCCCGGGCACAGCAAAGGTGGTGCCCAGTCCCCTGGGGACCTGGGCACAGAAGCCAAGTCTCCAGTCAGCCTCCTGGCCACCCCCAGAGCACTTCCCACACCGACCTATGTCATTTCATGATCCATCTCCTCCTCGGCGAGGTACCTCTGATGTCCGGGATCCCACTTCTGGCTGCGTTCTCTCCTTTCTTTAAGAAACGGCGTTCACTGTTTTTACCTCCTGATAAGCAGAAAAGTTAGGGAATGCTGAGAAGCAAAGCTAAGAGAGGAACTAAAATCACATGCAGCTCTGCTGCCCAGGGGGCACTGCCACTAACACTGGAAGTCACATTTCCAGACTTTGACCTGCTGCCCTCCGCTCCCTTGGGAATGGATCATGCAGACAGAGTTTAGGGGAGCACCTTGCTCATTGATCCCCGTGTCATCTTTATCCTATTTCATATCCCACTCCGAGACTTAATTGTCACATGAAATGAGTTATTAAAAAGTAACTGATGGCCATGCATGGCTCGGGAGGCTGAGGCAGGAGGGCTGCAAGTTCAAAGCCAGCCTCAGTGAATTAGCAAGACCTTGTCTCAAAATAAAAAATTTTAAAAAGAGCTGAGGATGCAGCTCAGTGATGAAGTACCCTGGGTTCAATGCCTAGTACAAAAAAAAAAAGTCATTTATGGACTTTCTCTCTTATTTGGGCTCATTAAGATAGTTTTTATATTCTCGGCATCATAAATGACTATGGTTAACAGGCTATGGCTGGATCGTTACACACATTCATGGTTCCTGGAGATGAATGATCTAAGAAAAATTCCCCAGAATGGAAATTTGGAAGTGAGCTTTGCTGGGTCCACTTCTGTTAGTGGACATCTGTGTCCTCCCGCCACCTGATATTCTCAAGGATCTCTTCTGCATTCCAGGGTCTTCTGGTCTTTTGAGATTGGGAAATATTGTTCATAATATACTTGGAAATCTGAGCACTGTATAGCATGGATGTTCCTGGTTATGTGACCTTTGAAAAGTCTCTACCCTCTTTGTGACTTGGTTTTTTTGACCTGCAAAATGGAGATAATCATAGAACTCATGCCCTGGGGAAAACCTCAGGCTTGAAGGAGTCAGTACAGGAGAATTTAAATCAGTGCCTGGCAACTAGGATAACCCAGCCACTCTGTATTGGGTTTTGGAGACCTCTGACCAGGGTAGCCAATGGGACAGCTAGCTGATAGATCTTAGGGCTGCAGGACCCTTAGGAAAGACTCCCCTCACTGAGACCAGCGAGATCAAAGCCCGGAGCAGGAAGGAATTCCCCCAAGGTCACATCAGTGGCAGGGCCAGGATGCAGTTCCTCTGGGGTGGTCTCATGTTGATGACACCCCACCTGCTGCGGGCTGGGCATCTGTCATTGAGGGTCGGGTGGGAGGAAGTCTCCCACAGACGAGACATACCTACCAGGTGTCAGGTGTGCTGCAGCCACGACACAAGGCCCCGCAGAGAACGGGGCCCAGTCCTGGAACTGTCATCTCTTGTCAGCGGAGGGGCAGCCTCCCTTCCTTGGCCCAGGGCATCCCTCAGTATCCAGGAAGGGAAGACATTCCAAGTCCTTGTCACTCTACAGGACGGGGCCTCCCAGCAGGGCCCTCAGAGAGCCTCCCCTGACGCTGGCGTCTCCAGTCTCACGATGAAAGCTCCATTGACAGCCTTGTCACACCCAGTGCCAGGTCTGGCCCCCGGTGACACTGAGCTTCCATCAGGTGGCCCCTCAGAGCTCCCCCTTCCCTTCCCAGGTGCTCCCAAGACGTCCAGAGGGGGCGGGTCCTCTCAGAGCTCTTCACCAACAGGAAGGAGGACATTCCCCTCCAGTTCTCTGAAGACTGCCTCTACCTGAACGTCTACACTCCCGCACACCTGACCAGGAGAAGCAGCCTGCCGGTGAGCGCGGCCCCGCTTGTCAAACCTTGAGCTCCAGCGTCAGGGAGCAGCCGTGCAGAGGAAGGGGCAGAAGGCTGCTGGAGCAGGGGCACTAAGACCAGGACTAAGACCAGGATGGCTCGGGGCCCAGGGTCCCTTTTGCCACAGGAAATATGTGTTTCTCTTCTCTCAGTTTCCACTAGTGTGACCTCATGCATCTGGGGGAGATGGCTGTACATCAGGAATGCACATCTTAATATTTTTCAAGTTCTTTCGCCACAAAAGAGGGACAAAAAAGGTTACTCTTAGTTGCTAAATGAAGGCTTTGATTCTCAGAGAAGCCAAGACATCATTTCAAATAAAGAAGAGCTGAAAAAAAAAATTAGAGAAAATTCGCGCTGCCTTTATAGGGAGAGAAACCGAGATGGGGAAAGGGACAGGACGTGAGCTGAGGTCTTCTCATCTGTCACCCAACGTCCCTGAGCACAGACCAGGAAGTGGAGCACCTGGGTGGCTTTTCTTCAGCACACCACCTGTGACCCCTTCCACGGTCCCCTGGAAGCCCCATGTCCTCTCCCTTTCCTGGCCTTTAGCCAAATATCTGGGATGTTCCTGGAGCCATCTCCCTGCCTGACGGCCCTGGGCGCAGGCTGAGGCCCACAGCATTTCCCCATCAAAGGGAAGGGCCCAGGTGGGGTGGGCTGCCAGGCGCAGGGAGAAGAGCACCTGAGGGGAAAAGAGGCCACACCTGGGGTGGCAGAGGGAGCATGTCAGCCCCCCGCCAGGAACACCTGGAAGGCCACCCAGGGGTTGGGAAGGGGTGTGAGCTTGGGCTGCAAGCTGGTCCAGTCCCACCGCCCTGTGCTTTGTACGAATGATGACGTGAGGACAGAAGTTCCCTCCTTCATCTGCTCATCCTGCTGTGGTGTGCTCAGGGACCCATCTGCCCAGCTGACCTCTGGCCTTAGGGGGAGCAGGGGCACGGCGCCTTGCCCAGCAGCCCCTGCCCTCCAGGTCTTGCCATCTGGTGGCACACACGTCCTGGCCTCTCCAGCCTGTCTGTGCTGACCTGTCCTTGAACTCACCTTCACTCAGGTGACCCCGACTCAGTCCCTCCCTGGGGGCAGCAGGGACCAGAGGTGCAGGAGAAACAGGGCTCTGGGAGCCTGGAGGCAGGAGACCCCCAGCTGTGGACACAGGGTCTAGATCTCCAGGGTCTGGTTTGGATCCTGGGTCTGCCTTGGCCTGGCTGAGAGTCTTGGGCACGTCCTCCACCTCCCTCAGCCTCTGCTTCCTCTCGTGGGAAGAATCCCGCATGAGTGTCTAATGATGGCGGTCGGGCTTCATCTGGGGCTGGCTGAGTGCGCAGAGCGAGCCTCCTGGAACACAGGTCAGAGCTGCAGCAGGACCTTCCTCCTGCCCTAAGGGCTGGCTCACTGTGCTGTGCAGTGGGCTGCAGGGAGTCGGGCAGCTCTGCACATGGGCCCTGTTACCAGACAGCCTGGGTCCAATCTTACTTCTGCCACTGATTAAATTAATTGCAAGTCCTTGGGTTCGTGGATGTTCTGTTTTCCTGTGAAAAGACTACGTTGCTTTTAATGCTTAAAAGAGTTCTCAGTACATAGTTTCTGTTGTGAGTTCCTGGTTTTTAATTGCGATATTATTACAAATTATTTTATCCACTCCCATTTCTTCCCTATATGTGAGCTTTTCCAAATAAGAGACGTGAATTTTGAATTGTGATATCCACTCTTATGCTCAATTGTCCTCCTAGTCCCTGGCATGCAGCGGGCTTCCAGATGATGTTAGTTGAATGATGGAAGACTTCCTGGAGGAGGGGGTCATGAGCTAGGCTTAGGAGGGCAGGTAGCCTCTGGACATGCAGAGCAGGCTGAGGAGGCTGTTAGGTAGTGGCATCAAAGGGCCACATGTGACTCCTGAGATAGTCAATTCCTGCCCAGGGAAATCTCTTCGTGAGAATTAGCATTGAAGTACAAGAGCTGCCCCTCACTTATCTCCAGCTGGTTGAATGTTCCAGGAGTGAGGACGGTAGGGATGTTGGAAAGAACACAGTGTCCTTGGCCTTTGCTGTTCCCGTGATGGTGTTCTCGGTTTAAAGGCCCTAGGAGGATGTGGCCCGTGGATGTGGGGAGAAAGGCAGGTGCGCTGAGTGGCGCCCAGCTGGGAGAATGGAGAAGGGATGCTGTCTTTTGCAACCCTACTGAGCACTGGGGGGATCTGCTAATGGCCACCTTGACTCACAGCCAAGATATCCGCAATGAAACCAGACATCCTTCTCTATCCTGCTGTCTGTAATTAGTGTGGCTGCGTCTGTTTTCTCCAGGTGATGGTGTGGATCCACGGAGGTGGCCTAGTGCTGGGCGGGGCATCCACCTATGATGGACTGGCCCTCGCTGCCCATGAGAACGTGGTGGTGGTGACCATCCAGTACCGCCTGGGCATCTGGGGGTTCTTCAGGTAAGGCGCTGGACTCTCCTCTCTGCACATGAGCCCCTACATTGGCCTGTTTCCAATGGATATAACCACGTGCCCAAGGCGGGATAAATAGAAAGAAAAAGTCATAAATCAAATTATAAAGAAATCTATTTTGCTCAGTCCCAGATGGGGTGGCTCCATCAGTTGGGCCTCTGGCAAGTGTCCTTTAGCTGAAGTACAATCTTCTCTTTGCTTATGTCCAGCGGGTTGAATGGCCCAGGTGTGCGGGTGATGTCAGTGCTGGGGCGAGCTCAATATCTAGCCTTTGCTAGAACTAACCAGCGTTCCATGAGCTCTACATTAACCCCTTAAGGGCTGAACCCCAATGACCTCATTGCCTTCTGCTAGACCTGACATCTTACAGGTTCTGTCCCCTCTTAGTATCGCCACGTCATGGACCCACACCACAGCACATGAGCCCTTGGGAGACAAACTACATTTAAACCATTGCAGTCACCAAAGCAAAGACACTTGAAGGGTAGCTTTGCTTGATACAGCAATCATGGTTGGTAGATATTTTCTTTCAGGACTCAGAATACCTTATTATAAGTTCTCCTGGCTTTTAGAGTCTGTTCTTTTTTGGCTTGCCTCTAAATGTAAACTGACATTTTTCTCTGGAAGCATGTAATATTCTTTGTTCTCTGTGTTTTTATTATAGTGTGTCACAGGGAGAGGTTTTTTATCTTGTTTATTTCTGGTTTTGAATACTTCCTATATTTATATATCTATTCCTTTCCCAAAGTTTGGAAATTTTTCTGATAGTATTTCACTGAAAAGTTTATCCAGCTGAGTACGGTCACACACACCTGTAATCCCAGTGTTTGGGAGGCTGAGACAGGAGGATCAAAAGTTCAAAGCCAGCTTCAGTAATTTATTGAGGCCCTAAGCAACGTAATGAGATCCTGTCTCAAAATAAAACATAAAAATATATTTTAAAAAAATGCTGGGGATGTTGCTCAGCGGTTAAGCACCCCTAGGTTCAATCCCTGTTAACAACAACAACAAATTATCCATACCCTTTCCTTGTATCTCAGAGCCCTCTTCCATCCCAGGGATTCCTGTGTTGGTCTTTGAGTGTCGTCACACGTTTCTTGAATATTCTAAGCATAGTCTGTTTTTATGTGATTTATTGAGTCTTTCATTCCCAAGACTTCTGATTGTTTTTTTTTCTCAGAATCTTTCTTTTCATTGAAATGATCTTTCACCTCCTGTAATCTCTCAGTTAGTCCTTCCTTAGATCTTCTTTCAGTTTGTTGCTCATTTTAACTGTCAACTTCTTTGATTCTTTGTCCGGGATTTCAGCCGCTTTGATATTTGCGGATTCAGTTGTTGGGGCATGATCGCCATTTGAAGGTGTTGTGTTCCCTTGTTTTCTGTACTTTTTATATTGAGATTTTCCTATCTGGTGGAAGGCGTTTCTCCCACTGTTGTGGGAGTACTCTTTAGTAGGCTTCTTTCATTTTACTATGTGTCCCAAGCCAGGAGAATATCTCCTTGTAAAAGACCCACTCAGTGTATCACAGTGTTTGATGAGTTGCTTACAGCATTTTGAGGGGGAACGAGAGTCACTTGTAACTGAAAATATACTTACTGGCTTTCAGAGTGTTGAGTATTCTAATTATGGATCTTCCAGCACCCATAGGACAACAGGGTGACAGATGATGCAGCAGAGTAACCCAGACCTTCAGAGATGGGGGGCCGGGGGTTAGAGAGGGATTGCAAGAATGGCGGGCTCCAGAGGCAAAGGTCTCCTCCTGCCTCTTCTTTTACCCTCTTTTATTCTTCCTCAAATCACTTTCATTGACTGACATTCTCTTCCCATCTCTTTGCTTGTGATCTGTGGAGTGACCCGAGTGCAGCCAGATTTTGCCTCTTTTGTTCCCAGGTATGCTCTAGCTCCTAGACCAGTGTTGGACACAGAGTAGCTGCTAAGGAGTCCTTTCTGGAAGAATGAACACAGACCCCACATGGAACAGTGCTGCAGGAATGAGTGGCAGGAGAGATTCCTGTGTCAAGGATGCAGAGTCTAACTTTATTCTGGAAGGTTCAGTGAGGGCCCCCAGCCCATCGCTGGACCTGAGAACCCTACCGTGACACCTTTGTCTCCACCCCACTCTGTTCTCTTCCAGCACCGGGGATGAGCACTGCCCGGGGAACTGGGGTCACCTGGACCAGGTGGCTGCTCTGCGCTGGGTCCAGGACAACATTGCCAACTTTGGAGGGGACCCGGGCTCTGTGACCATCTTTGGAGAGTCAGCAGGAGGACAAAGTGTGTCTATTCTTGTAAGTGCTCTTGGCACCTGCCCCACCCCTGGGCTTGAGGAGGCTGATGTTGGAACCTCTTGGAGACCAGCCAATTGGGCCACAGGCACATTTTCCTGGGAGACCGGGATCACTGAGCAGTATTAGATGGTGAAGAGTCAAGGCATAAACTCTCCATGGCCTCCAGGGCTCAACTTCATGTTCTGGGGTCATAGCTTCTCCAGGTGCCTGTAACAATGGCTTTCTTCCTACTCTTATGATATTCCCTTTTTCCTACCTTATCATTTTAACTTTGAAGTTACCCCGCTTTCTTGGTCAGGATGGGAGAGTACAAGTGACAATGAGAACAGGCAAGGACGTGATTTGGATAAGAGGTTATTGTTTGGCTCCAAGGCAGATCACTGCTTTGAGGGAATGTGATCATCAAGGGCAAGCAGGGGTCTCCCTGAGGTGATCGTGCCTAGAGAGAAGGACACTTTCCCTGGGACCACGGGACAAGTTGGGCTGGGGAGGTGGATGGAGAGCAGGGAGGGAAAGTGGAATGGGGGACAGATGGCACATGAGACGTGAATCACAGACACATCCTGGGACATTAGATGTCTTACTGGGGTGAGGAACAGGGCTGGAGATGCTGAGGGAAGTTCTAGAAGGTGCTGGAGACCCTAATAATCCCAACGATGACCTCAGAGGTGAGCAGAGGGTCGGCCCAATTGCTGTATTCTTGAAGCATGTGTCAGTTTCATCGTTGACTACTCAGAGGAAAATGCTCATATTTTTAAAGTAAAGAATAAAAAGAAAGGGCTGGGGCTGTAGCTCAGTGGTAGAGCACTCGCCTCGCACGTGTGAGGCACTGGGTTCGATCGTCAGCACCACATAAAAATAAATAAAGATATTGTGACCAACTACAACTAAAAAAATATTTTTAAAAAAGAATAAATGGAAAAATATACAAAAGTCTAAAGAAGAAGAAGTCTTTATAGTGCCCCAGCCCAGAGACAGTGACTGTGAATAGTGGACATGAACTTCTCTAGTCTTTTTTCCACAATTTTATCTATCTATTAATCATCCACTCCACACCACCCCATTCTCTGTCATCTATGTATGTGTTGGGTAAATTTTTACAAAAAAAAAAAAACCCATCTTTCTATTAGATTGTAGTATAACATTAGAGTTATATTAAATGTTAAACCTCCTTACGTAACACTATCTTTAATAATTGTCCAGTATTCCAAGGTAAAAATGAAAAAGATATTAATCAAATCTCATATCAGAACCTAAGTTGTTTCAAAGATTTACTATTACAAGCAACATGAACTTTTTTAGAAATTTTTGTGGCCCTCTGTTATCACATTTCTTAGACTAGATTCTGATTAATGGATATTCCAAAATATAATTTGTGACGTCGATGGGGGAGAATGTGTAGCCGGGACAGGCCAGGACAGGGAAGGAGGTCTCCTGTCCACTGACCCCAAACTCTTCACGTGAATGGCCAGAGCAGAGGAGCAGGTTGAGAGGACCTGAAAGCAGGAGGGGCTGACCCCTCCCCACGAGCACAGACTCTCCTCCTCCCCACGTCCCTGCAGGTGCTGTCTCCCCTGGCCAAGAACCTCTTCCACAGGGCCATCTCAGAGAGTGGCGTCGTCCTCACTGCTGCTTTGGTCAAGAAGAACATCAAGCCCGTGGCTAAGGTGGGTCTTGCCCTGAACAACTCCCGTAGCATTTCCTCTGCTCTGAAGTCTTTGGGGCACTTTCTTCTTGTGGGACTCCGGTGAGGTGCTCCAGGATCACTGGAGGAGGAGGGCTGGGCAGAAAGGTCTCCTTGGGGCTCCCACTTAACCCATGTTCCATGCTTTCTGAAGTGTGCGGCGTGCATGATCTTATCCAGTTCTCCTTCCCTCTGCACAGGTTCTAGTGCGGGGGAGACATGGTGCACCTCTCAGTACCTCACTGATTCTTCCTCTAAGAAGTGTAATCATTATCCTGATCTCGAGGGGCAACCAAGGCTTGCTGGAGACCAAATAGCGAGTGAGGGGAGGAGAAGGATTTGGAAGCTCTTAACCCTGACTCCAAAGAGCCTCTCTTGAATTCAGCTTTGAGGACACCGTGCCCTGATCACTTATTATTTACTTATGATGCTGGGGAGGAACCCTGCATCATTTTAATGGAGACAAGCTAGTTCATGCCACAATTCCAGTTAGTAACAGAGGCCACACACCCTGTGCAATCCAGAACCCGCACCTGGCGGTCTAGTGTGACTTCTGCTGTCCCCCTACTGCCCTCGGAGGTTGGCCACGAGATGCAACACTCCTTCCCATATTAATAGAGAGAAGGGACATTTCTCTTAAACTGTGCTAATTGCCTGTGATCTGTGCAGCAAATTGCTATCGCTGCTGGGTGTAAAGCCACCACGTCGGCAGTCATGGTCCACTGCATGCGCCAGAAGACGGAGGAGGAGCTCTTGGAGATGACAGTAAAAATGGTAGGTGCCTCATTTCAGTAGCCCCATCCTGTGCACTTGATCCTGGGTTTCATGGATTCGGCCCTCCTGAGTCAAACTATCCCATGGAACTGCCATCCTGAATGATTTGGGGGCTGGGATATTAAGTGCAAAGTTTTCAGGAAAGTGTCACAATTTTATCTTGGTTGTTTTAGAAGATCTCTAAGTTATGATGTTAATAGCCACATTCTCTAGATTTTTCTGAGACTGTGACTCAAGTAAAATTTTAAGATAGGCATTTACGTACCTTCTCATTCATCTGCCATCTATTCATCCATCCAATTCATTCACATCCTTTTATCAGTCTAGCTGTCAATCCATCTATAATTTTTCATTCATCTATTTTCAATCTGTCCATCATTCACGAGTCATTCACCCATCATATATCTATACTTTGTCACCCAGTCCTCCAAAATCAATGATCCATTCATTACTATTAGTAATCATCTGTTTATTCACATATTCATGCAGTTTTATCCATAGTAACTAGTAATGGCCAACTCCACCCATCTGTCCATCCATCCATTCATCCACCCATCTATCCATCCATGTGTCTATCTATTCTAAGAATATGGAACGGTGGTGTCATGGCAGAAAATCCAGACATAAATTGAACAAAGTATCTTCTCACGAAGGGCTCTCCAAGGAGAAACAGCCACATACATGTACAGTGAGTTAATTGTGGTAGGAGAACAGAGAAGGGACACATTCATTATGGTCATCAGGATGCTTTTCAGGGAGGGTGACATTAGATAGTTGATGGATGGTCATGGCAGTCTCTCATCATAGGGAAGTTTAGCCAGAAAAACAACAAAAGCAGCCTGCGTCCGGGACCTATGGGGAAGTGAGGAAAGCTTAATGTGAGCTCAGGTGACTGCTGCCCTCTCTCTCTAGACCTTGAACACCAGAAGCCATTTGGAGACCATGGGGCAGGCCACCCGCACTGTGTTCTGTGTATGATTCCGTGGGTTGAGTCCAGTGTGGCCTTGGGTCCTGGTCCATCATGATCAAATAAGGTGATCAAGGTGTTCCAAGAATAAAGACACCGCTGTCTTATAATACCCAGAAAGAGACAATAATACTCCAGTCATTCTCTGTGTGGCACAAGAGGACCCCATTTATGAGACCAAAGTACCCAAGATTCCAGGACTTCCCATTGAGATTTTTTGAGTTCCTATGGCAGTATTTTCCACGATTATGGACTGTCCTTGGTGCATACACATGTGCATAGTCACACACACACACACACACACACACACACACACACACACACTTCGTGATGGAGGGATTCCTAGGGGTCCTTTCCTACGTAAGCTCAGACCTGCGACCCAACGTACCCAGCAGTCATTGTAACCTTGGTGAACACGTGGCAAGGCAAAGTGTGGGGGTGGAATGTGTTTTGGTGAGTTTGGGTGTTTTTCTAATGGGAAATGTGAAAATCCATCTCAAGGTTCTTTGAACAGTAAAAACACTGTATTGTCACAGAATCCCCAGGTAAGTGAAAAGTTCATGGGCAGATGGCGTAGGGCGTGGCTGGGGCCAGGGACCCTGAAGAGGTTATCGAATCAACCTGGGTCTACCCCTCAGCTTCCACTCTAGTGGCTTCTTCCTGAAGAGTTGTCCCCTGGGGAGGACAAAGACAACCACATCTAGACTTGCATGCTCTCTGCTCACAGGCCATCTGTTCCAATCATTTTCCAGAGGTGGGTGGCATTATCAATGCAGTGATAGACTTGGGGTCTGTTCTGTTGGACTGACACTGGCTTTCACCCATCCTTGCAATAGTAGCTGTATGCAGGGACACGGAACATTCTAGGTCACACATGGTTTCCTGAACCCATGAGGTGGGAGCAGGGAAGGGGGGGAGAGAGGAGGAAGTGCTTTTCTCTCCTCGTCCATCCCACCTCCTGCTCCATCTCCTGGGAGTTGCCATAGCCCATCACCCAGGCACCATGGTGCCCCTTTCCCCAGAGGAAATGTGGGGGTGGTTACCAGAGGGACTAAGTGGGAGAGGAGGCCACCACTGACAGCAGGGTCCGCCCCAGGGCTCCAGGGCCCTGACTCTGGGGCCCAGGTCTGTCCTGCCCAGGCCGCTGCCTGCCCCTCCCCCGTCCTACAACTCGACCTCTGCCCCTGCCCAGGGCAGCCCTGTTCCTCTGGGTCCAGCCAAGGAGGCACCGGTGGGAGAGCCTAATAGCTACGGGGACCAGTCAAAGGATCCGTTTCTAAACCAAGAAGGCTTACCACCCTCATCCCTGTCTTTATCTTCACAGAAACGCCCTGGTCTTATTTTACACGGAGATCCTGGAGAGGTAAGGACTTTCCGGTTCTTGATTACAGGTTTTGAGTCTTAAGGTCTTTAAGCCCCAATTCACGATGAATGGAAGAATTCTCCTTTGTGGAGCCACAGTCCCTCCTTGTGTGTGTATTGCTGAGGCCCAGAGAGGGGAGGTCACTTTCAGGGTGACACAGCCAGGTGGACCCGAGGCAGGACTGAAACCCACTCCCCTGACTCCCAGTCCAGTGCTCCCAGTCAGCTCGTCTGTGTCCCCTGGGCCAAGCTTCCCCTTCCTGTTTACATCTCCTGCTTAAAACCTGTCCTTGCTTACAAGGCCGATCCCCTTGTCTCCACTGAGTCAGCTCCTTTACGCGTCCAGGTGGCCCACTATGTGCCCAGTGTCGTACGGGAAGCACACTCCACCTCACAACCGTCTCTTGTCCGTGCTGGGGGTCACCCCTCCAAGCCCAGGGCTCTGGGACCTTCCTGGGACTAGCCCTGGTCCCCTCTGCCCCGGGCTCATACCATGGCCCCTGTCACAGCCTTCACTCTGAAGGCCACTACCGAGGCCAGCACCTGCTCGAGGTCCCTGCGAGTGTCTTCTCACCCATGAGCTGCTCCTCTTCCTGGCTTCCCAGGTCTTGGAACTGCAGGACCTTCCTGCCTTCTGGATTCTGCTCTGTGCCGTCAGCCTTTCGGAGTAGGACTTGGCCCTGGGTTTGATATTTTTCCCTCTCAGATACGGAATCCAGGCTCAGCTTAGGCCCCTCCAGGGATGAGCTCAGTATACCCTCAAGGCTGATGATTTCTCTATATAAGCGCAAGCTTAAACCAGGTGACAGCTGGACAGACAGACAGACAGACAGACGCAGTAGACCCTCGCTAATCACAGATTCTGTATTCGTGAGTCCATTTACTAGCTGACACGTGTTTGTCACCCTTAAATCAATGCTTGTGACACACTCATGGTCACGTGCCCCAGATGCACAAGTCGGAGTCTCATGAAGCCCACATTCTCCTCTGAGGTCCCATGAACAAATGCTCTTCTTGCTCCATCTCATATGCTACCAAGGGTCCTTTGTGCGGTGGCTTGGATGCCACCTTTTCACTTTCTTGCCCTCTGCTGATGGTTTCCCTGTCGAAAGCTCTTCTGGAATACAGTCAGGAGTGCTGCCTGGTATTCCTAAGTACAAAGATGTGCCTTGTGGAGGACATAAGTCTCCGTGAGCTTCTTTCTGGCTTGAGTTATGCTGGTCTTGGCTGTGAGTTCAGAGGAAGAGGGGGGTCTGCCTCTGTGTGGCAGAGTCCCCTCTGCAAAACCGTGGAAAGATGGAGAAAGAGCTGAACGTGTGCCTTCGTGAGATGATGAAGTTCTGAAATCCCTAGTGCACTGTTGCGCGGCTGAAGCCAAAGACATTTCCAATGTTGTTACCCAGGGTTGGGGCAATAATGGGCCCTCCCCGGCTGGCGCTTCATGATGAATAAACAGCACACATAACAAGTTCTCTATAAGAAATGCTTGTTACATAACCTGCCTTTAGACAGGATCTCACACAGGAAACAAGAACTACGAAAACATTCCATTAGAGGCTCAGAGGGCCTAACTGCAATTCCCCCATAGGCAGGGCTCAGTTTTCATTCATTCAGCATTTGCTGCAGCTTCACAGGTAAATAAATATACATGCATATACAGGGTGTATGCTACAAATTCAAATATATAATGCACATGATACACATTTTCGTTTAGTTGAAGATCAGCCGCCATCATCATATCTCTGCTACCTCCCCAAACTTCGTTCCTCAGAGTCTCATAGACTTAGACCTCCTTGTTAGGACCCTGAGATTCTGGGAGCACTGTCCAAGTCACAGGGGTCTGTGTGCTGGCCAAGCCCTCCGACAGGCAGAGAGGGAGCCCTGGGTGTCCCCCGGGGCGGGGTGATGACACAGTGTGCCACTGTCTTCCCCAGGACCAACCTTCCCTGCTCACTGTGGTTGACGGAGTGTTGCTGCCCAAGACACCCGAAGAGATGTTGGCTGAAAAGAACTTCAACACTGTCCCCTACATGGTGGGAATCAACAAGCAAGAGTTTGGCTGGATCATTCCGATGGTGAGGGCGTGCAGGCCTCTGAGACAGAGGCACCCACACACAGGCTCACCAGCTTCCCTCCCTCTCGGCTCCTGTTTCTCCATCTCCAGCTCCTCTGGGCTGCACTGGGACCAGCTGACATTTTCTTGGAAACCCTCTCCAGGATGACCAAGCTCTCTCCTGAGTAGAGTGGCCCTGGGAACCCCTTTCCCCAAACACCCACTCATTATTTTTCCTTAAAGAATCCTGAAATGTACGGGCAGGGAGGGCCTACCTGGAGAACAATTGTGAAAGTGGGAAAACCGAGTATTTCCAGAGGGAGGAAGGAGCTGGGAAGTTCAGAGGAATTAGGTCCGACACACAGTGGCTTCCACCTTGGGCCCCACAGATCCCCACACGAGTTCTCAGGCACTTCATTGGAGAGATTCAGAAAAGTTGCTCCTGTCTTGTAAAAGGGAAGAAGGAAAAAAAAACATAAATAAAATAAAAAGGAAAGAAAATATTTTTTTCCTCTCAAAGCTGACCACTAGTTAAAGCAACAGGACAAGTTTCCTTCAGTAATACAACAGCAACAGGGAAAAGATCAAGCATGACCTGAACTCCGATCACCGACAGCTAAAGCTGGAGAGGTCTCAAGGATGGGGTGTGCCCCGGGAGGCATTGTGGTGTGAGGGGTGAATCCATGAGGTTAGACCACGGGACTTCTTGGTCCGTGATCAGCTGTGGGAGAAGCAGTCTTCATGGGAGGAAGCAGGGGTGTATTGAAGTAAGGCCACCACAGAACTTAGACCTGTATCACAGGCAGACACCACAGGGGTCCTGGGGTCATGACCCCAAACCTCTGGAAGTCATGCTGGGTCAAGTTGGGTCAAGGAGTGCAGAGGTTGGGTGGGGTTATTTTTCATGCTGAGAGGTCTGCAGTGCTCACTTCAGAAGGATTTCAGAGGTTCTGCTAAACGGACAAACCATTCCGGTGGAGTTTGGCTTCCTTGGTTATAAGTATGTGGGGGATGTACCCTCGCTCCCTGAGCCGTGCACTTCAGCCCTACCCTGGCCTCGATTTCCTCCCTTCCTAGACGACCACGGTGTCTCTCGGCAGGACAAATATGGTTATTTAAGGCTTCCTCTTTCTGTTCCCTGAGTTTCTGTATACAACTCCTTTTGTTCCATTGATTTTTTTTTTCAAACTCATGAACGACCCGTGAACATAAGGACCCCAAAAGGACCTCTATCTGCCCTTGTGTCTCGGCCGGCTCATTGGGTTCTTCCTGTTGGTTGCTGGTGGTTTTCGGGTGTGCCATCCTGCTCTCTCTCCAACAGGTATTGCTGGGCTACCCGCTCTCTGAAGGCCAGCTGGACCAGCCGACGGCCACGTCGCTCCTGTGGAAGTCCTACCCACTTGTCGTAAGAGCCTCGGGAATTAGCTGAGAAACAAAGAAGGGCTGGGGCTCCCCTACGTCACCCACCAACTCGATAGCAGGAAACCCCCTGAGGCCCCGGTTCCAGCCCCTTTCCCCCCCTTTCCCTCCCCGCCACCCCAGGCGGGATTTGCACAGGGCCCAGGAGCGCCACAGCCAGGGAGCCTCTGCGTGGCTCTCAGGTGGGGTCTCTCTTGCTTGGTGACTTCAGAACCTCTCTGAGGAACTGACTCCAGTGGCCACTGAGAAGTATTTAGGAGGGACAGACGACCCTGTCAGAAAGAAAGAGCTGTTCCTGGACTTGATGGGAGACGTGCTTTTTGGTGTCCCATCTGTGATGGTGGCCCGTGACCACAGAGGTGAGTCCCAGAGGCTGCATCTGGGAGAGGACCTCACACCCCCCAGCTGAGGTGTCCGACGGGCCCTTCTCTCAGCACAGACAGATGTGGAAACCGCCAAGGGCCAGGGCTCCATGTCTGATTCCATGTCGCCTGGGGAGGGGCCCTGTCCTATCTGTCTCGGCCGGTAGCTGACTAAGAAAAGCGTCCAAACGCAGGTATTTAATTAGTATGGAGATGAGGACGTGACACAGGAAGAAACGGGAGCCCATCTTTATGCGCTGCCCAGCACACGTCCCCTGTGGACGGCTGGGGAACTCTGGGCAGCAAACAGCAGCCACACCTCAGGACTGCCCCTCAGAGCGGCGGGAGCTGGTTACTTCTCCAGCCTTTTGTCCCCGGTTGAAGGCTGTTCCCTGGGATGGTTTATTCTGCGGCATTTTGACCGGCTACAAAAGTGGGCAAAGTAGATTTTAGTGACCAGACAAAAGCTTGAGCAAAGAGCTCTAGAGGGTGGAGGACGCCGTCCAGGTGGCCTGCCCAGACCCGGGGACATGAGTGAGGCACAGACAGCCTCTGCTCCAAGGCTCCTTCCCTGGGTCCTGGGACCAGAAGGCAAGTATTGGAAGATGGGTCTGGGGAAGTTTTTCAAGGTTAAAGCTTGCTCTAAAGTTGTCAACTAGTGCAGGTGGGTAAGAGTAGGATTCAGTATAGGAGCAGGAGGGGACAAGGACAGGGCAGCAGGAGGCACACAGACCGGGCAGGGGGCAGTTTCCGCGTCCATGCTGGTTTGTCTTTCTTGCTGTGTGCGGTGTGGGCCAGCTGGGGACCCAAGGTCTTTACAGGACCTTCCAGCAAGGACCCAAGGCGGGGTGGTTGGAGGGTGTTCTTACGCTCACAGACAGGTGAACTCACCTGGGTGGGAGGTGTTTCGTATTCCAGGTACCTTTAGAAAGCCTCTCAGGCTTTGTTACCAGTCCTCATTAATCTAGCCTCAAGCTGGGAAATCATTATTTGGCCCAGACCTCTCTCCATAACGTGCTAAAAGAGTTTTAAAATTCAGGGCTCTCTATGCATGTCGAAAACCAGCTGAGCTATTCTCCTGTTTTAGCTGTCGCTGTTGTAGTTAACCTGCCAGCAACTACAGGTAAGGAGAAAAGGCACACTGAGTAGAGAAAAATAAGGTATTCTGAGAGCTACAACACTCACTCAACTTACAACGGTGACATGAACAAACTGTATTTAGGTAAGTTTATGGGGCAGGGAGTGATACAAAGTTACTTTGGCCGCTTGCTGCTGAAACTAAGTTCTCTGGTTCACAAGAGTTCCTTCCTCTCTGAGTGGGTTCTGAGCTCCTGTCTCAACTGGTTGGATGGCAGAGGCAAGGTTAAACCCTCAGTCCGTGAGTTCTGCCTGACTGGGAAGCAGATGTTAGTGAGTGGATTCGAGTCACAGAAGGACTCAGTCACACTCTCCCAAGGGGCACTTCTCAATGAGCCAAGGAGCAGTCTGCACAGGCTGGGAGGGGCGAGTCAATGGATCCTCCTTGTTCTCCTGTGGCGATGCCATATATTGTCAAACGCTTTGTGGGTAAATGTCTGATGGTGGGAAGCAATGATTATCATACATCCCAAGGTAGTATAGGATATTATGCCCATTTATAGACCTAAAAATCATATTTGCTAAAATGTTGAAGAAGCTTTCTCTGAGTGCTGTTGGTTTTTTTTTTCTCCTTATTCTGCATTTTTCAACTTTCCTACTGTATGTACCCATGGGGAGATTTCTCCACCAGCCTGATTTGGGGTCTGACCCTTCCCCTCCTAGAGTCTCCCTATGTGAACATTGTGACCCATGAAAAATGGTGAGGTCCCCAGTATGGGGGTCCCTGAGTTAGTCCTGAAAGGGCAGGGCTTGGTGGGTTGGATGAGCTATCCACAGAAAAGGTGGCCTCTTCTTGGGGCTTGGACAGCGGGGTTTGGTGCATAGAGAGCCTGGCAGGAAGCCGGGAAAGAGAGGTGGGGACAGGCACGCTCACCTCCTGTGCCCCTTTTGTGGTGGGCATCACTGTATCACCCTAACCACCTCACAGTCCCCTGGCCAAGCAGGAAGCAGGACATGCAGGGTATGAATCCAGGAGATTTGTGTTTTCTTGAAACCCAAGAGGCAGATGGCTCTGTCTGTGGTCGCATTTGTCTTTAAACCTCCTCATTTGCAGACAAGCAGCTTGGATTTGCTCCTCCCTTCTCTGAATGGGAGAGAACCTCAGAAATGCTCAAAATCAGAGGAATAGGAGGCACCTATCAGGTTGTAGAGTTTTTTGAAGAGAAGGAGCTCTAGTGTGATCTCAGTGAAACGTGTCTCAGTATTTATTTGATTCACTTAATTAATTCATTCTGTGCTTCAGTAAATATCTGGCTCAAATCCCAATTCCACTTTAAGCAGCTCTGCAGCCCCAAGCTAGTCCCTGGGCGCTCCAGGAGCTCTGTTCCTGTCCAAGGCTGGCACCCAGGGGTTTCCTGCACAGCCAGAGACCTTGAGACCGTCCAGCTGCGTGTCTGGTGGTGTGACCTGTGCACACATCCGTGTCTTCTCAGATGCCGGAGCCCCCACCTACATGTATGAGTTTGAGTACGGCCCGAGCTGCTTATCAGACGTGAGACCCAGCACGGTGACGGGAGACCACGGGGATGAGCTCTTCTCGGTATTTGGAGCCCCATTTTTAAAAGGTAACGGCCTTTGCTGGCTGTTGGTTAGGGGGCCTGGGTTCCAGTCTTGCTGTCCTGGCCTTGAGCAAGTGTCCCCTGTTCTCTGTGAACTTGGTGACTCACTGTAACAGGGCTGAGCAGCGCTGGGCGGGCCTCTGCTCTCACCTGCAAGAAGGGGGATGTGTATTCGTGATGGTCCTCGAGGCACAGAGTCTCAGAGTCCTGACCTGAGAGCCAGAGGGTCACCTGCAGAGCCCTGTGTGGGGGCCACTGCTTGCCACTGAGGGATTTTCTACTAACAACAGAATACAAGAATGAGGGGAAGTTAGATTGGGTGCTAACCTTGACCTGAAGGTCACGTGTATCTGTCTATATAATTATATTTCTTTTTTTTTATCTGTAATTTTTAATAATACTTCAGGAAAAGCTTTTGCAGTAGCTTTGATATGTGAACTCAGCAGTTGCAGATGACTTGTGACCAACCTCATGGCTGTTCGTGACATGCCAGTGGCTTTCACTTGGGTGACATTTTAGGATGGTGGCTTGTTTGATATTTTTCAGACTCTGAAAATGTGGATGCATGTAGGAGATTAAGAAAAGGTCCAAGAGTCAGCAGTCCCACCAAGTAGAGGGAACCCTGTGTGTGGCCTTAGGACCCTGAGTGGGGAGGGCCAGGGCAGGTGGGCCCAGAAGACAAAGGCAGTCGGCTTATGGATGGACAGCATGCCCAGTGCGGTCCTCGACCAGCCGTTCTCAAGCTGAAAGTGCACACCAAGGGACAGGCTCTTCGTAATATGCAGACCTGGACCAGTAGGTGTGGAGTCAGGCCAAGAGTCTGCTGTCCACAAGCTCCCAGCTGCTGCTGCTGCTGCTGCTGGCCCACAGCCCACTTTGAGCCACAAAGTGTTTTTCCTTTTTCCCCAACAGGGGGCGCCTCCGAAGAGGAGACCAAGCTCAGCAGGATGGTGATGAGATTCTGGGCCAACTTTGCTCGCCATGGGTGAGGCTGGTGGCAAAGAGGGAGCAGGGTGGATGGATGGGTGGCCATGGTTGGGGCCGACCCATTGTGAAGGGGTCAAAGTGTGGGTGACAAACCCCCTACCTGTGACTAGAGTCCTCTGAGAACACGCAGGATGCCCCAGGACAGGGAGAGCTCCTGACGCTGCATAGGGCTGGGCCTTGTGGGAGAGAGAAACCAAGGAATCCTGTCCGTCCCAAGACACGTGGGGCTCACAGTGGATCTGGGGAGTTTCTGTTTGATTCTGTTCCCAGGAACCCCAATGGAGCCGGGCTGCCCCTCTGGCCAGAGTACGACCAGGAGGAAGGGTACCTGCAGATTGGCGCCACCACCCAGGCAGCCACGCGGCTGAAAGACAAGGAAGTGGCTTTCTGGACTGAGCTCAGGGCCAGGGAGGCCTCAAGGAAACGTCCCCAGAGAGAACATGGGGAGCTGTGACGGGAGGCTGAGCCAGCCCTGGGATTCTGGAGCAGAGGACAGGGGTGCACAGGCCACCAAGGAGTCCTAACGTGGAGGCTGGGGACTGTGAAGTGGGGTGGCAGAGGCCTGGGTGGGGAAGGTTTGCACTGTGGCCTCAACTTGGAGAATAAATGATTTTTGGAGACCACATCAGCGTCTGCGTCTCGGGCTGGAGGTGAGTCCATCCTCCCAGGGAGAGAAGGATGAAGAGAGAGGTGGATCCAGGAAGCTGCCCCTGCAGAGAGATCTGATGAACGGAAGCCTGAAATCTGCCGGAGGAGAGGTGCCCCCTGGACCGCGGCTCATGTGCCGGTGGAAGGTGTCATCGCAGGTGTGCGGAGAGCATTCGGTACAGTGCTGCAAGCCACGTGTGGGCCAGGATGCGAGGATAAACTCGCTGGGAACCACAGCCCCAGGGGCAGCTCACACCCACGTAGACTCTGACCCCTGGATGTCTCTTGGGTGCTCACGGGAGATATTGGGGGCAGGTGGAAAGGCTGGAGAAAGCCTGTCTCCAGGGGCTGCAGGGACAGAGCCCTATTCAGACCCTTTCCCACCAAGGAACAAAATCCTACAGCCACTGGGAAAAAAACAGTAAACCTGGTCTCCCTCAGGGCCCCGGTGAGCACCTGCTGAGACCAAGGAAAAGATCCTTAGCGACTTTTTGTGCTGGAGAAGGGCAGCATCATGGAGATCGTATCTCCAAGACTGAGGAACACAGGGTCCCCCTTAGACCGAGGCTAGAACAAGACGCAAGAGCCACAGGGCACTGGGCCAGCAGGCATAAGGTCCTAAGCCCCAGATATCTATTACCAAGGTCAGACGGAAGTGCAGAGAGAGGGCAAGTGGCCAGGGCCAGCAAACACCACAGCCATCGCATAAAAGATGCGCCCTAACAATTTAAGACCTGAGGTTGCAAGGTATTTAAAACCTCATGGGACTATTATATTATTTGAAGATACATATTATAACATAATTATTCAAAGGTGGTTACTGTCTACAAACACTGAACATTTCTGAAGAGATCTGTGTAATAATCCAATCCTGGAGATTAAATGGGATCATAAAACCTTTTCAACCTCAAAACAAGCCAACAGGAATAAAAAGGAACAGGCGAACCAGTTTCCATCTAAGATGCCTGAGTCCATTCCGACCATTTCATAATTCTATTAAATAAAAATGATTCAAACTCATCAATGAAAAGAGATTCTCAGGTGGGATTTAAAAAACAAGGGGCTGGGGTGGGGTGGCACAGTGGTAGAGCGTGTGCCTAGCATGTGTGAGGCACCGGGTTCGATCTTCAGCACCACATAAAATAAATAAAACAAAGGTATTGTGTCCAACTACAATTAAAAAATAAAATATTTAAAAAAAAGCAAGACCAACTCAGTGGTGCATAATGAGGAGCCTACTCCACTCCTGGATACGGGACCTCCCAGTATCCAGCTTAGGAGCCTCGCCCCTCCCCCACCCATCTTGCCCCTTATCTGGTAAAGCTGATAAGCAAGTCAGGTGCTTTTTCGTCCGATGCCAGTGGAAGATGCAAACCTCACTAGGCTCACGATGGCCCCCTCCCCCAGCCACATACAGCCCCCAGGTTAGTGTCCTTCCCTTGCTCTCTGCTTGAGGGGCCTGCCCTGGCCGGCACAGACCACCGCACACGTGGGGGGTGGGGGTGGCATCATCAGTGTCATCTTCCAAAGCAAACTGGGAATGAATGAAATGCCCTGTGAACACAGGTTGTAGAGAGTTTGCAAGCAGAAGGACAAGACATGCCACTCAGATACACAAAAAGAAAGTTGGGTGGCCACATTCATGTTGGGTGGATGAATATTGTCAGGGAGAAGGAGGTGCGTGATGTAATGACCAAGGGGGCAATTCAACAAGAAGACGTGACAGTCAGAGGCCCAGTGACCCTGAGCTGAACGAGTGCAGTCGTTTGGGGCAGGTGATTTCTAGGGAGAGGAGAGCAGAGGAGGGGAGTCGAGGATACAGGTGGGCTGTGCACAGGTACCTAGTGGCCCCTCCGGGGACCCATAGGAGATGGTAGAAAGCAAACATCAGAGAAGAGAGGAAGGTGGGTCCCTATATACCACCTCTTATCTGTGACTGCTGGAGGCCACTCCGCGGCCCTAGGCAGAGGACCTGGTCACACGCACGCAATCTGGAAATTCCTTGGTTTCTGCTGCTGCTAATTTCAACGTTGATATGTGGAGAAATGAACAACTAGGAAACAGAGCTCAACTCACATTTCAAAACAACTCACATCACACACATCCATATACACTGCAGGCAGACTCGGCATCTCTGGAGATGGTTCTGATTTTGGAGGTGTCTTGCCAGGTTGAACCCATTTCCAAGGCACTCAGACCAGGGCCCTCTGCCTTTCTTCTGCTTCCAATCTATATGCCATCAGATGGTTTTTGGAGTTTAAGTTGATAGATAAATGACACTTGTATCATCTTTTTTTTTTTCTTTCACTTGATTGAAGATTTTCTATCGGGAGTCTAATTAGAAGAATTGCCAGCCACTCCCCCATCCAACCAAAATAGAACCTTCTTAGATGGGATCTGGACAGCTATTTTTTGCTTATAGTCATTCCAACATATAAGGGCCACCGCATCGGAATAGTGTATCACTTGTATTTCTCCAAGTTACTTGATTATCTCCAAAAAATCTGCTTTAATGTCCCTGACATTTATGGGCATAATTTGATCAATGTTATAAATAAACATTGATATTTTTAAAAATATGATTTATGGCATAAGTTTATCAAGAGAAGATGGGCTGGATACAAAGCCAGGCTCTTTGTAAATGACTTCATATTCTACAAGTTCACTATTCTAGAGTTCCATCATTGTATTAGGCAAGTAATGGTCACATTTCATCACCTCTGCCTTTCTATCATTGTAAAAAAATACAGAATATCTAATTAATTTCCAATTGTAACATATGGTTTTGTTTTAACTGAAAGTCTCCCCCTAACCCCAAACAATCTTTGACGTGATTCCTTAAATCAGACCAAAGCAAAATTTAGGACTAAATGTGTCTTCACCTGTGAAGTTCCCAGAGTCCAGCAGAGGGCAGCACTGAGATGGGAAAAATATGCTGCTCTCGCGTGGAGGCTCCTGGGAGGCAGATCATGGATGAGATATTGTAGAACTTGGACGGAAATTATAACAAATAGCTAAATTGGAAACCGATATCATGCTCTGTTGTCCTTCTCTCTGTTACCTCGGACCTGACCTGAAAAGACTAAATTCACAGAATTTGAGGTTTGTAGTTTTTTTTTTTTAATACCTGTTTTGTTTTGTTTTAAAATTTCTATCAAGAGCCAGACATTTGGATAAAGAAGAAATGAACAAATGTATGGATTTCTGCTGAGAGTCAAGGATTTTGGAAAGGTGGAGTTTATTTACTGTATGAATATTCTGCCCCCAAAGCCTTGCTCTGAAATGTAGTGGATTCCCTCACCCTGGAGGGGTATGGCAGCAGGCTGGGTCACTTGGCTGAAATACTACAACGCTAATTTAGACATCATAAGGGGACTGAATGAAGTGTAAGATCACTTCCAAACTTAAGAGCCTGGAACTCTAGGAGACGGCAGCCCAGGGAAGCTAAAGCAGCTCCCGGGCTGTGAGTTGACCTAAAATATTCCAACTTAACCTGAGGACCCCAGATCAAAGCTGCACCTTGCCTTGAAGACTCAGCCTGCTGGTGCCGGCGCACCGAGGTTAGAGCTACCGAGGAGAGACCCATCTGCAAGAAGCTGCTGGACCAGTTTGTGGTCTTGTGTAACCCGAGCGCTGAGTTGCGGGACTTCAGATAAAAGAGCTTGAACTCAAACTACATCTGGCTTCCAGGTCCCACCAGTCGCCCAGGAGTTCTGGGGAAGAGAGGAGTTTTGGGTCATCTCACATTCGGACAGTCAAGCTGTGGGGACAGGACCTCAGGCTCTGGGCTGAGACCTGGGAAGCCCTTCAGAGGGACACGGAGAAAAGACCTCATTTGCAGAGAGCTGCCATCCTCCCGTGATGTGGCTCTATGTTTTGGTCATCCTGGCTCCTCTTGCCACAGGCACAGCTTGGGGTGAGTCCTGAAATATAAACACTGAGGGGTACTCTGGAGAACCCTACACCTGGGCAGAGGAGGGCTGAGATGTTGACAGGACGAGGCTTGCAGGTCTGGTTCTACACCAGTGTTCGCTCGCTGAACTAGGACCTGGAGTAGCCCAGCCCAGCCAGCCCCAGGCTCCCCGAGATTCAGGAAGAATAAGCTCCCTAAGGACGCTGCTGCAGGTGTCAGGGGCAGGGAGACAATGAGACAACCCCGTGCCTCACAGGCAAGGAGATAAGAGCTCAGTTTACTGTTTCCTTGATCAGCGGCTGCAATCTGGCCAGATGGTAGACAGTGGCTTAGTAGAGTATCCACTCCGGGGCCAAGGGCAGGTCTGAATCCTAGCTGAGCACTTCTGAGCTGAGTGTCCTTGGGCAAGGTCCTTACCTTTGCTGTGCCTAGGTTATCCCATCTCTAAAATAAGAATGTCAGCAGTCCCCACCTCATTGGGCGGTTGTGAGGATGAAACGGGTGGATCTTTCCAAAACACTTAGGATGGTGCCTGTTTTAGAGAAGCTTCTGGTAAGGAAAGGGTGAATATAAAGGAGGTGACTTAAAACAGAGTATATTAGTAGGAGTGTGAAGTATTGTAAGGCCAACGTACCAAGAGTCTGCAAAGGTAAGTTGTTATCTATAGTTTCCAAGAAGGGACTTACCTGTGGGGTTGGGGACACAGAGGGAAGGACCAGGGTCAGTCAGGAGGCACAGAGGTTGAGGACTGTGGGCAAGGACCTTTGTCAGGGTTTCCACTGGAAGGAAGAGGTGAGCGAGGTAAGTGGCTGTAGGATTGATTGGTTTGGATAATTTCGGGGACCCCTCGGGTGTCGGGGCTGTCCCTGGTTGGGTGGTTCTTGGCTCTGGGTGATTAGGGCAGGTGGATACCGACCCCAGGGTGTGAGAAGCAGATACAGGAGGTGGGTGGTGGGCTCTGGATGGGTCAGAACCTAGGAGGGAGAGTCCCTGTAGAATCCCCAAGTCCAAAGCCTTAGAGACAGAAAGTTACAGTCTTAGTAAATGCAGGGCTATCACAAGGGACCTCAGCATATATTTGTGCCACTTTGTCAATTGAGAAATGAAGACCCAGAGGGAGATTGCTTTAGTTAGCCTTTTATCCGTGTGGCCAAGATACCCAACAAGAACAATTTAGAGGAGGAAAATTTTACTGGGGGCTCATGGTTTCGGTGGTCTTGGTCCATAGATGGCCAACTCCATTTCTCTGGGCCCCAGGTGAGGCAGCACATCATGGAGCAAGGGCTCAGAGGAGGAGAGCTGCTCTGATCATGGGGGGATCATGAAGCAGGGGTGGGGAGAAGGGGCACACTCCCAGGCACGTCCTGCAGTCCCACCTGCCTACAGTCACCACCCGACCAGCCCATTCGAACTCGGGTCGGCTGATTAGGTTAAAGCTCTCCATCTGTTTCCCCTCTGAATGTCCCTGCAGTAACAGGGGGACAGCTCATAGCCAAACCATGACAGACCCCTCTCCCAAGGAAACCTGAAACATCGTGCTCGGCCTTCCTCTGGCTGCTAATGCAGGCTCTGCTCCGCACATCAGTGCCCCGACAGCCCAGGCCCCATCTGGATTGAACTTTGCCCTGGACGTGCCACACCCTGAGAGTCCTAGGACTGAGAATAAAAAGGAGGGGAAAAAACAGAGACCAAACCAGGAGTGGAACATTCCTCTACCCAGGGTTCCCCCGGCAATGCCACCTGATGTCCGTCTTTAGGGAGCCCATACACACTGCTTCCAGTTCCCGTGTCCTCATCCGTAATGTGGCCATGTGAATACCTACCTAGCAAGGTGCGGACAGTGGGTTTGTTTTAGGATTGCCTTAAAGGAACAGGAACCTAGTTCTGTTCCTGTGGAGTGTGCTCAGTATGTGCACACTCCACAGAACATCCAGGGTAACTAGTGTTCCTGCCCTTCTCCTTTAAGACTCTCACTCCATCCATCCTCCCGGGCAATGTGGCTTCTGCCCACTTCATCTGGGTTGAAAGTTCTCGTTGGTCGGACGCAGGTCAGACCTAGTGTTTCTGCTCGGACTTCACCTTCCTTCACCTACTAGAAGCAGCACCCAGCCCTCCCCCTGTCCTCCCTGGCCTCCCGGGGCTCCACCCTCCTCCGGCCTCCTCTCTGGTGGGGGCTCCCACTCTCAGCTGAAGCTGCCTCTGGGCTTCACTCTCGGCTCCTGCCCTTCCCTCACCCTGGCCCCTGCAGTGAGCGTGTGCACGCTCACCTTCGGGCGTGGGGGGATTACCCCCTGCCCACCACGCACCTCCTTGCAGTCCTAGGGTGCCCACATCCTTTGGCGTCTTCCTACCTGGACAACTCGCTCACTTCCCAAGGATGAGCCCTCTGACACGGAGCCGGAGTCACACACCCACTTGTTGGTCTCCTTTCCCTCCTGTGGCCCCCAGGTCACTGGCCCCAGGAAGATCATTTCTTCAGAACTCCTTGTAGACGTGACTGTGTTCGTAAAATCCTTCTCCTCATTCTCTAAAGGTGTCTGAGCGTAGTGTAGGGGATTGGGACAGAATAAAGAAAAAGTCTGCCTCCATGGCCACCACCTGGGGGCATGTGGCTGTACCCTGACTCTGACTTCAGACAGGGTTCTGCCCTGATCATCTCAAGATCTCAAAGTCAAAAAATTGTAAGTCAAAATGCCAGAGGTGTGAGCAATGCAAGGTGGGAACTGTCTGTCGATGTGCCCCGTGATAAATACCTCTTGGCGTTATTTATAATATTCAGTAACGACAACAACCAACCTAAGTGTTCACAGTAGGGAACTGGCCGTCAGTGCCGTGAGATGTGGACACTGCTGTGTAACCTGGCTTCTTGGTAAAGAGTTTCGGAGCCGGGTGGGGTGGTGCACGCCTGTAATCCCAGTGGCTCAGGAGTCTGAGGCAGGAGGGTCACAAGTCCATTCAGCCTCAGCATCTTAGCAGGGCCCTACGCAGCTTAATGAGACTCTCTCTCTGCAAGTCCCAGCTGCATGGGATCAGAAGGCCTGGCTCCCTCTTCTCCCTCCTGCAGCCCCTCCCTGGTCCCCCACCAGGACGTGGCCTCTTTCTCCCCGGCTTCAGGTCACGTAGGTCTGTGGCCCCTTCTCCCCCAAGGTCAGCCCTCCTGAGAACAGGGTCCCCACTTGTTCATCCTCTTAACCAGCTCAGCATCAGGACCCTAGTGGGTACCTGCTTCCAGAAGCTTCTAAGAGGGAGGGCAACATTCTCAGAAGCTCTCCTGTTTTCTCCGACTTTTGCCTGAATGCATTTAGACCTCCATTCCAATGGACTTCTTCTGTCAGAGCTTTGGGTCAGGTGCGACACTTTCCTCATCCCTCTTTTGCCAGAGAAGAAATCAGACTAGAGGGTCTAGGTCACTGGCTCATTGTCACTCTTGTCACTCGCTTAGAATGTGGCAAAACCCACCTGGAACCCAGGACTAGCATTTCCCCTCTAACGTCCTCATTTGCTGCCCAGGTCAACTTGAAGAAATGCTCCCGCCGCCCGAGGTGGAGACCCTCCAGGGCAAAGTCAAGGGGAAGGTCGCAACCCTGAAAGGATCTTCAAAGCCTGTGTCCATTTTCCTGGGCGTCCCTTTTGCCAAGGCCCCTGTTGGACCCCGGAGGTTTGCTGCCCCAGAGCCTGTGGAGCCCTGGAAGGATGTGAAGGACACCACGTCCTTCCCTCCCATGTAAGTGAGGGGGCTTGTTTCGGAGGGTGTTTGTCTCTCAGTGCTGCAGGGAGGGGTGGAGGCCGCCCTCTGCTTGGCTCTGCTTTATCCTGGAATCCTCCAGACACCGCAGAGCCCTGGAGCCTTCTGGACCTCTCAGAGATTTCTAGAGCCCTTTGTTCAGCACATAGTTCTCGGGCATCTATTGCACTCCAGGCCCGTGGTGGGTTCCTGGGTCTTCCAATCCTAGAGGGGGAGAGGGAGAATAAATAATACGCCAGGCAATAAATGAATTGGGTCATATGTGAGAACAGGATTCGTGATTGGTGCTTTGAACAAAGAACAGCTGAGCGGGAGGAAGAAGCAAGTGGCCACCTGTGTCTTCTGTCTTGAACCTCGTGGCTGGGCCTGGGTACGGGAAGGTGAGGGATGGTGCATTAGTGGGCACATGGGCATGGCAACTTCTCAACTCCCAGGCAGGTGTGTCTAGATCCCTAGGAAGGGACAGAACAGTGGCTGGTGTGCCCAGGCACCTGGTCTAGCTGGGCCCAGAAGGCCAAAGTCCCCAACTGGCCTCACAGATCAAGCATCTCGCTTTCATAGATCACCTTCTTCCCTCCTCCCTTTCTTGCTATCTTTCTTTGTGGTTAACTGGTTTTCTCTAGCAACACCTTTTGTTTGATCCCTTGCTTTTTCTTTTTGGCACATCTGATACACATTTTTGCTTTTTATTTACCATGAGGCTAACAATAAATATTTTATAGTTATAATATGTTAAACTGATAAGACCCTAACTTTGATCACAAAGAAAACAAACCAAAAAAAAAAAAAAACTCTACATTTTAACTCTGTTCCCATTTTTAATTTTTGGTCTCAAATGGGACATCATTTTTTGTCTTGCTTAATATTGACAAATTAACGTAGCGATTATTATTTTGAATAGTATTCTTTTTAAAGATGTAGGTGGCTTACCTAGCATCCCTACAATATTAAAATAATTATAATTGTATATTCACTTTCAACAGTGATGTTTTCTTGTGACACACTATCATCCTTTTCTTTCAATGTAAAGAACTCCCTTTTTTCGTAGGAAAGTTCTGGGAGCAATGAATTGCCTCAGTTTTATTTCTCCGGAAAAGGCATATTCTGTGCTGCATTGTCTCTGACCTTTGAGAGTTTGATTCTAATGTCTTAGTGTGGTTTTATTGGGCTGAATCAAATGCATGACCTTTGGCCTTCCTGTACCTGGAAGTTAACATCTTTCCCCAGATTCGGAACATTGTCTATTAGAATCTCTGCAGTTTGTCTCTCTTACCTCCCTCCTGAACTCTTAACAATCTGAGTATTTGGTCTTTTGAAGCTGTGCCCTCGATCTCATATACTTTCTTCATGTATTTTTTATGTTATTCATTGTATTTTTCAGCTTTAGATTTTCTGGATTTTTAAAAATGTCAATCTCCTTGTTAAATTTCTCTGATAAATTTATGAATTGTTTCTTGATGTGTTCTCGAAGTTTGCCTGGCTCCTGTAAAACAAATAAACAGACAAACAAAACCCCAGCTGTTTGGAATAATTCCTGGGAGACATTCTACATCTTCATCATTTCAGGGTTGACCTTTGCTGCCTCACTGTGTCATTTGTGGAGGTCCTATTTCCTGTAGGGTTCCCTGAACCTGTGACGGCTACCACTGTCTGAGCAACAGCTCGCACTCAGCCCAGGTTTGCCATGAATGTCAAAGGGCTGCAAATTTGCTGTGGCTTTCCAGTCCCAATGGACACAAGCAAGATGCAGGAGGGTACCCAGGGAGAGCTGACCTATTCTGGAAGACAGTCCCAGTCGCCACATAGGTTCACACCCTAGTACCTCTCTGCACAGGGGGACAGCTGCCTGACTGCAGCAGGAGCAGCAGGAGCCTGGAGTGGGCCACTGGACTGCCATGATGCAGATGCTCGAAGTCCTGTCTCATTAGATCAGATGGTGCTTGCCTGACCCCCAGCGGTGCCCTGAACAGGTACAATAGTTGCTTCACTGCAGCGGGAAGGGCCAGAGCCAGGACAAGTCCCCCTTGGCATCTGCTGTCTGATGGGAGGAAGAAGCCAAGGCCTTTGCACTCTGCATAGTCTTTGAGCCCCTACCCAAGATTTCCACCAGGACCTCAGAGAGCTTCTCCCTCTCTCAGAGTCTCAAGTCCGATAGTGACCCCTGCATTTACAGGATTAAACCATCCAGTCAAAGCCCCTTCCAGACTTAGGACGATCTTGTTAGATGTATGGACCTCAGGGACCCTTTCTTCTGTCCTCCACAGGTGCTCCCAAATCACGGGGAATGGCCCAACACTGTCTGAGGTCTTCAGCAACAAATTTCCTTCCTCCTCTCCTAAGCACTCTGAAGACTGTCTTTATCTAAATATTTACACCCCTGCTACCCGGAAGAGCAAAGAGCTGCTGCCGGTAAGCAAGAGATGACCCACCCGACCCGTCACCATGTGGGAATTCTAGCCCCAGCCTCCCCCAGAAAGAGGCGGAGGCAGCTCACAGCTCATCCATCCTAGACCAGGCCTCCCTTCTCCAGTGTCTTCAAGATGAAAATTGCTATAATTTGAAATGCACTCCTGAATTTTTTCAGGTTTTCTGACAGTCATAGCAATAGTGACTACCCTAAGTTGCTAGCTGGAGAGCAACAACGACATAATTTTCAATAGAATTAAAGTGCAGAGAATCTTAGGGAAAAGACAACAACCCAAAACGCCATCCTTACAGATACAGAAACTGAGGCCCAGGTGGAGGAAGGGAGGTCGCACACTAGGGTTCACAGGTCCAGAGAGCAGGTCTCCTGATCTTCAAAGCAATGTCTTGAACATGGGCTAGGAAATCAAGCAAGTATGTGCCCTCTCCCCAGCACTCCAAGATCCATGTGGGAAAGCTCACCGGCCCATGACAGAGGTGCAGGAGGCAGAGCCCGGACAACCTCAGGAACACTTTCCTTGCTTTAGGCCAATCATGTGGGGTCTCATCGAAGCTCATCTCCCTCCCTAAACTTTGGTGCAGACTGATGTCCAGAGTAACGTTCAGTGAGTCAGCATTTCCCAGCCAAGGAAGAGCCAGAGGTGGGGCAGCTGCCAGGGGCAGGCCAGAGGTGGGGGGTCTGCTGCAGGGGAAGAAAGGGCAGTGACAGCGCCTAGTCCCCCAGGAAAACCCTGACATTGTTCCCAGGGGTGGGGAGGCGGTTGTGAATTGGAGACTGGAAGTCAGTCTTACGCAAGGTACAAGGTGGATTGAAACTTGGGCTTAGGGGGAGCAGGGGCATGGCGCCTTGCCCAGCAGCCCCTGCCCTCCAGGTCTTGCCATCTGGCGGCACACACGTCCTGGCCTCTCCAGCCTGTCTGTGCTGACCTGTCCTTGAACTCACCTTCACTCAGGTGACCCCGACTCAGTCCCTCCCTGGGGCCAGCAGGGACCAGAGGTGCAGGAGAAACAGGGCTCTGGGAGCCTGGAGGCAGGAGACCCCCAGCTATGGACACAGGGTCTAGATCTCCAGGGTCTGGGTTTGGATCCTGGGTCTGCCTTGGCCTGGCTGAGAGTCTTGGGCACGTCCTCCACCTCCCTCAGCCTCTGCTTCCTCTCGTGGGAAGAATCCCGTGTGAGTGTCTAATGATGGCGGTCGGGCTTCATCTGGGGCTGGCTGAGTGCGCAGAGCGAGCCTCCTGGAACACAGGTCAGAGCTGCAGCGGGACCTTCCTCCTGCCCTAAGGGCTGGCTCACTGTGCTGTGCAGTGGGCTGCAGGGAGTCGGGCAGCTCTGCACGTGGGCCCTGGGGCTGCCAGGACCAAGTCCCACTTCTACCACTTACTCCCTGTAGCTTCTTAGGCAGGTGAAGTGCCTCGTTTTTACTGTCAAATAGGACCATATTAGGACTTACTTGTGCACATTATGGGTTCTTTTTTCACTAGCAATATCACATTATTTCACTCACTCTCATTTCTTCTCTGCTACATGAGCTCTTTAACGAAACAACCATGAATTTTGAATTGTGTCCATGCTCAATTCTTGGCCCAGCCGCTGGTCCACAGTACGTTCTCAGTGTCTCAGCAATGTCCGGAGGCTTCTTGGAGGAGGAGAATGTGAGCCTGGGCTTGATGGGGAGTGGGTAGCTTTGAATATGCAGAGGTGGCCGAGGGGTGGCACCCTAGGCTCATGCATGCCTCTTAAGACAGTCACCCCGCAGAGGGAGGTTTAAGCCCACTGGAGTTAACTGAGATGCAGCTGAAGTTCAAGTGCTGCCTGTTGCTTATGTGGAGCTGGTTAAATGGCCCAGGCATAAGGGCAACAGCGTTGTTGGAAGAACGGGACATCCCCGGCCTTTGCTATTCCCAGGCTGACCTTCTCAGTTTGAAGAGACTTGGAAGGATGTGGCATTGGGGGCTAGAGAGAAAGGCAAGGGCAGCCAGGTGGCACTCAGAGGGGTGGTCCCTGGGCCCCAGCTGGGAGAGCTGGGGAGGAGAGAGACTGTGTTTTGCAACCTCGCTGTGCACTGGTGGACTTGGGGTCCTGTCGTGGCCAAGAGGTAGGGGATCACACCAGGGACCCCTCTTCCCTCTCTGCTTCCTTTATCTGTAAGCTTGCTCCCTCCCTGCCCAGGTGATGGTGTGGATCCACGGAGGTGGCTTAGTCTCTGGTGGGGCATCAAACTTTGACGGGCTGGCGCTAGCTACCCATGAAAACGTGGTGGTGGTGACTATCCAGTACCGCCTGGGCATCTGGGGTTTCCTCAGGTAAGGCGCGGGACAAAGCATCTCTGTTTCCTAGTATTTGTATCCCGGCACCCACCTTCTCATGCCCCAGCCAAACTTGTCCTCTGGGTTCTGAGCTCTGGTGCGTTCTGCTCCCTTTGCCTGGGTTGCCTGCTCTGCCTGTCGAGGACCGGTTCCACCTACGATCACCCTGACACACTCCACCCCTCTCGCCTGTGCTGCGCTGCCCGTTAACATGCAGCAGGGCAGTGGACTGTGGCACGTCTCCTCCCAGAAAGGACGGAAGGAGTGGGCTCAGCGAGTGCAGGAGCGTCAAGGCCAGGGTGGCTGGAGATGGGACGTCACCAGAGATCTGACCCCGGGGATCGCTGCTCCCTGGAGAAGTGCTGGCATCGACTCAGCTCGGTTCCTCCTTAGCATCTGGCATAAGTCGGAATCAAGGCTAGAGTGTTCTCCGTGCCTTCTCCATGGGCACAGGAAGCAGGTGTCCTGTGGGGTGCAGCCACTGGGACTCTTTTGTGACACCTGACCCTGAGATGGTGGCTGGGGGTTCTGGAGCAGGGTCTGATCACCATTGGGAAGACTCCGAGCCGGAGGAGGGGTGCAGGTCTGCCTGTCGGGGTTGTCCAAGGCCACACATGCCCAGGACATGTCACCTGCCCAGGGAGCCTCTTCTCTTCCATCCGGGAACCGTGCTTCTGCTTCCTGTCCCAGCAACACAGCCCCAGACTCTCTCCACCTCCTTCGGCCCTGTCTCCTCCACCCACACCAGGCCGATTCCTCCTGTCCGGGCCTCCTGTCTGTGCTTGTCGAGGTCCTTGATGACCTCAGCCCCTGTTGGAGCAACTTCACGTACCTCTCAGCAGTGGCCTCTCACAGATGACCACTCACGGCTCTTTGAAACGTCTCCTCCTCTTGGCTCCTGGATGCCCCTCACCCTCTGGCTGCTCCTTCTCAGTCCCTCTGACGGCCACCGTCCCTTCTGCATGCTCAGGCCTCTGAGTGTCCCCCACCCCGGCTCCCTACACTGATTCCCGGAGTGATCCCAGCAGCACGGCCACAGCTTCTGTGGGAGCCCCCGCCTCTCCTTGACCCCAGATTCCATCTTTAACTCTGTCTCCTTCTCCCTGCTCAGCAGCCAGAGTGACCACGTGACACAGACCGAGCCACGCCACGCCTGAGCGGAGGGCTCCCGCTGCCCTCGGAAGGACCTCTGCAGTTCTTCTGGCTGTGGACCAGGGAGCCCGTGGGGCGGGGGTGGCCTTGGGCAGGGAGCAGAAGGAGAGTGGCCGCAGCTATTTCCTTGATACCTCTGTGCCTGGAAGGCCCCTGGCCTGGGATGGTGGTGGAGGCCTTGAAGGTTTCTCAGATGGCCTGGGCCTTTCCCAGTGGTCAGAATGATCGGCCCTGCTCACCTGTTCCTCAAGGGGTCCCTCCGCTCCACCCTTGCATGCCTTCTATTTGCTCCTTCCGTATCCAGATTGCAAATTTTCGGAATCTTCCTGCTCTGCCTCTCTTTGCTGTCCAGGCTCATGGTGATTCTTGCTGGGAGCAGCCAGTAATACCCGGGCCATCATCTGAGAAGTTTCTTCCACCAAGGAAACGATTCTGTCATTCTTAGCCACAGCCTTGGTTCATCCAAGTGTCCTGAGTTGCTATGACAAGGGTCGTCTTTACTCCAATCTCACCCTCGTTTCCATCGGAGACACTTGTACTTGTCCCCTGGCCCTCACTAGAATCAACCACAGGTCACCCCTTACAGCTTTGGGGTTTTTTCCGAGCCCACTCCTGCTCCAAGCTCTTCCAACCTTTTTCCAAAATCTCGTCCACATTTTCAGGTATAGCTATTTCACTGATCCCATTCCTCAGTAAACCAATTTTTTTTTTTTTTTGAGAGGTGGGTATTGGTGATTGAACCCAGGGTTACTTTACCACTGATTTCCAGTACTTTTTCTTTTTCTTTTTTATTTATTTATTTTTTTAAAATTTTGAGACAGAGTCTCACTAAGTTGCCGAGGGTGGCCTCCACCTTGCGATCCTCCTGCCCCAGCCTCCTGAGTCACTGGGATTACAGGTGTGCATCACCACATCCGGCAGTACCAATTTTCTATATTACTCCATTTTCCGTTGCTACAATAAAATCCCTGGTACTGGGTACTTACTTCATAAGAGAAGAGGTTTCTTTAACTCACAGTTTTGAAAGCTGGAAGGGCCCCTTGGCTGTGTCACATTACAGCAGATGGCGTGTTAGCAGCACATGTGAAAACGACAGAGACAGAGACAGGGAACCAGAGAGCAGGGAAGAACCATCTTGCTCTTTTATAACAAACCTCTTCCAAGAACAACGAGAGCCCCATCCGAACTATATCAATTCTTTCTATGGGCAGCACCCTCAATGATCCCCTCACCTCTGGCTCCACTCCTTAAAGGTCACACCACCTCCAACGTCACCACCCTGGGGGCCACACAGGCACCAGCGGGAGAAAAATCATATCAAACCACAGCAAGCCCCCAGCCCATCTCTGGTCCTGAGGGCTCTGCCATGACACCTCTACCCCCACCTCACCCTGTTCTCTCGCAGCACCGGGGATGAGCACAGCCCAGGGAACTGGGGTCACCTGGACCAGGTGGCTGCTCTGCACTGGATCCAGGACAACATTGCCAACTTTGGAGGGGACCCAGACAATGTGACCATCTTTGGAGAGTCAGCAGGAGGAGAGAGTGTCTCTGTTCTTGTGAGTGCTCCTGCCCCCGCCCCACCCCGGACCTCTTGGAGACCAGTGGATCCAGCCGCAGGCTCCTTTGTTACAAAAGACCTAGGTTCAGGGTTGACTCTGCTCACTGCCTGGCTTCCAATGGGGGAGAGTCAGGGCCCAGACCCTCTTTTTGTCCTGGGGCCAGCAGCATCTCCAGCCCAGACTGCAAGAGGGACTTTTCTCCCTCCTTCCTAATCATTTTAATGTTATGAACTATAGATAAAAGGTCAGGAGGAGGGTTGGATAGGAGGTCGTTGCTGCAGTGGAAGCCAGATCTGCGTGCTGAGAGACGTGCTCACCAAGACAGTCAGGCGCTTCCTCTTGGGGGTCTGATGACTGGTCCACGTCCATCAGGGAGGCTAGCAGACTTGAACTGAAAGATCGTGTGCCATGGGGTGAGGTCAGTGGGAGAGAGTAGGGGTGGAAGAGGGAATGGAGAGGGGCTGGGCAGGGCACACAGGACACAGGCACAACTTGGGGACGTGAAATGACTTGATGTGGGGAGTGGGGCTGGGAGGGAAGATCCAGAAGGTTCGAGGAGCCTTAAGAAATCCTCCTGATACCTTGAAGTTGACCCTGGGGTCAACTGGTCGCTGTAGTTTTCAAATATCTACTGGTTTCATAGTTGGATACTCAGAAGAAAATGGTGATATATATTTTTAAAGTAGAGAAAAAAGAAAAAAAAAGTAAATAATCCCAAAGAAGAAAGAAGTCCTCCATATTTCCACTCTGCAAGGAGAGTCACTGTGGAGGTTTTGAGATGCATTTCCCAGTCTTTTTCCTAAGACTTTCTCTCTCCCCCACCTTTCTGTCAGTGATCTCTCCTCTTGGCCTCTGGACCACCTACCACGGGTGGCCTAGGCATCGCCATTTTAGGATATCATGACTGCTTCCCTAAAGGCTAAACACCCTTCTGCTGCAATATTTTGTTTAACTATTGGGTAGCATTTCATGATAAGGCTGAAAAAGAAAAATGTTTATTTCCCTAACTTCATGACATTTAGAACCCCGAATGATTTCTAGTTTTTAAAATTATAATCGTCACGCACGGTGGCTGGGTGCCTCCATGATCGTTTTTAGGAGAAACTCTGCATAATGGAAGGATCAGAACTTGTGGCTCGGAGCTGCCCAGCTCCCTCTCCAGTGCTTTTGCTTGTCCTGATGGGCCCACGCCACTCCCAGTTCTCTCTCTTACTGGGTGCTCCCGTGTCCCCCTGTGGAGGTCCTCCCAGGGGAGGCAGGCCCAGGAAGCAGGTCAAGCCAGGATGGGCACTGAGCTGTCCCATCTGCTGGCTGGGTGTCAGCGTCACCAGGGCAGAGTTGGCTTGGGGGACCAATGTGGCCCTGCTTCTTCCCTGTGAGCATAAACTCGTCTCCCTCCCTCCCTCCCAGGTGTTATCTCCCTTGGCCGAGAACCTCTTCCACCGGGCCATCTCTGAGAGCGGCGTGGCCCTCAGCCCCTGCATGTTCCGGAGGAGCACCAGTGCTGGAGCTCAGGCAGGTCTCGCCTCCGACAGTTCCTGCACAGTTTCCTCCGCTCTCCAGGGGTCCTCGGGGGTCTTTCCGTGGGATCCGGGGGAACATGCTCAAAGAGCCAGTGGAATGAGGAAAACTGAGCAGAGAGGAAAGGGGGCCACCTTGTCCAGCCTCCCGTTTGGAGCCAGGACATGGGGGCGGAACATGGAAATGGTTCCTGGAGCTCAGCAAGTGACCAGGGCAGAGCTTCCATTCAAACTCCGGACACTTGACGTCCAGCAAAGTGCAGTGTCCATCGTCCCCACCTCTCCCAGGGCTCCAAGGCAGGTACGGGGTGGACAGTGAGCAGTGGCCTGGGATTAGGTCATGTCTCCGTCGCAGTCTGAGTCCTAGTGGTTCCGCTTGCAGGATGTGGGTCTGGACTGATTCTTCTCTGGGGACCCTGTGGCCAGGGCTGGTTTCTGGAGAGTTTATTTACTGATTTGTTCTGATACTCCACAAGGTTTGGATATATCCATATACTAGTCACCACTGAAAGATCCATTCCAGCTGGAGAGAGAGCTTAATGAGAATAATGATCACATATTGTAGAAATGATACGATTTCAACTATAACAAGATAATTAAAGGAAGAAGCTGGGTCTGGTGGTGCAGGCCTATAATCCCAGTGACTTGGGAGGCTAAAGGAGGAGGATTGCATGTTTGAGGCCAGCCTCAGCAATTTAGTGAATGCTGTCTCAAAATAAAAATAAAAAGAGTTGGGGGTGTAGCTCCCGTAATGTGAGAGAGACACACACAGTTAGGGACAGAAATAACAGAATCTCATCTAATGATCAAACCCACAAGGAGCATTTAGCCCAGGTGTTATCATCATCCACAGGGTTAGTTCTGAGGACCACCCACTGGATCTCCTGATGTGGCGGGATTTGGAGCTGCTTTTGGCAGAGTGGCTGGAGAGCACTGGATAGGAAAGGGCTGACAAGCAGGAGGGAGGACTTGGAGACACGGAGAGTCTACAGAATGTTCGAGATTTGGTTCAGAGGGTTCTTTGGTTATCAGCAACAGAAGCCCAGATGCCCAGGCTCAATTCAGGAAGGAGGCATTTATTCATTTTTTTTTCAAGGAAATTAAGGGGGCAGAGATGAAGTCGCACTTTGTGAACAAAAAGAAATCACAAATTTTAGAGCAAAGGGAATTCAAGACTCTCTTACTCCTGCCCTTTCGCTCAGCACCAATTCTGTAGCAGGCTCTGTGTGAGGCTCTGGGGAGCCCACACCCCCGACCCACCATGGCCCCATCATCGCAGAGCCTGCCCTCGTCCCTCTATGACTTCTCCAATACGGCACCACCTCTGCCCCCGGGATTGATTAGGAACTCCAGTTTGGCTGCAGACAGCAGAAGATTTCTTCTCTGTTTTAGAAAATGAGTGGCTCCCTCTAACGGCCCTCGGCCACCAGGGGACTGGAAACCAGACTGTGGGGTTTGGGGTCCCATGCTCCTGACAGACCCCCGTGCCTGTTTTAGCAGAGATCAGCTCACAGAGACGCAGCTGTGTAACCAGCTCGTGCCTCGATTTCCACTAGTTAACAGAGGAGCACAAGAGGGGCCCAGAACCCACACCCGCGGGCCTGGGGTGTTTTCAGCTACCTACCGCCTCCCCCTGCAGCCTTCGGGAGTCGGGCAGGCACCGCGGAGGGCAGGAGCACTGCTGTTGAACTCTGCTGTTATCTGTGGTCTCTACAGCAAGTTGCTGCCGCAAGTGGATGTCCCACCCACAGCTCCGCCGCCATGGTTGAGTGCCTGCGCCAGAAGTCAGAGAAGGATCTCTTGGAGACCACGAAGAAAATGGTAGGTGCCTCCATTCCCGGGCCCCCAGCCTGTTCACCAGGCCCCAGGCGCTCTCTTCTTGCCCCCATCAATCACTCAGTTTCTCACCTCTCAGGAGCAGTGTCAGGCTCCTGATCCCACGTGGTAGTTTTGTTTTGTCCTTTTTATGGTCCAACACCTCAAATGTCAACCAGTCCAACAATCACAAGATGCAGAGTTGCATAGCAATCCCCCGGCTTCATCAAAAGTCAATATTTTGTCATTGCTGTGCTCAGATGTCTTTTCAAGAAGTTGAACATTTTATATCCACAGAAGTTACATCCTGCATTTGGGGGTTGAAGGTATTAAGCACAAAGATTTTCAGAAAGGCGGTACATAATGTGGCTAGCATTGATTCAGAAACTATGACCCAGTAGTGGCCCAATCCTCTACGTTTGCTGAGATTCTGCCTCAGTTGTGAGGCTAAGATGACCAGCCATTCATGCATTCCTTCACCTATCACCCACCCCTCCATCCATCCATCCCTCATCTAATTGTCCATCTATCCAGCCACTAATGCATTCAATCCATTGATATCCTTCCATAAATCTAGTATCAATCCGTGATGTTTCCTTGAACCATTTCCAATCACTTTAACATTCTCGCATCTTCTAGCACCGTATATCTACACTCCATCATCCATTCCAACCAAAGCAATGATCCATCCTCCATATCTAGCTGTCAGACTCAATTTGCGCATTCATCTGATTCACCCCCTGAACAACTGCTTGGGGGGAGCGTGGAGGAGGGTGTCCAGGGAGCGATGCAGCTAGGATTGAGCATGGCTCTTGCTCACCAAGAACCATCCCCGAAGAAACATGCCTACGGGTTTCGTGGTTAGATGAGGTGAGAGTATAAAGAGAGGACGCATTCATTTAGCCAGCTGAGTGCTTTCCACATGATACTGGAAGACTGGTGGACCCTCATTGTGGTTTGTCACCACAGAGAAGCTTACCCCGCAGGACAAACGCCCGTGCATCCGGGGCCAGTGGACCCCCTCCCTTGGTTGCATGGTGTCAGTGTGAGCTCAGAAGCAGCTGGAACCCTGGGCCTCTTTATCTGGACCCTGGACAATGCTCTTAGGCCCTGTGGCAGGCCACGGCACGAGGCACTCCCCACATGTCCATGGGGTGAGGCTATTGTGACTTTGGAACTTGGGTCCTGGCTCTTCAGGTTCACACAAGGTACACAGGTTTTCCAAGAAGCAAACAAGTCTACTTTCTAATGCCTTGAAAGAGGCAAATCCACCCCCATTTTGGCACAAGAGGACCCAGCTCATAAGGAGAGGAGGGCACAACCACAGACGTCCTCTCTGGAGCTCCGGTGGCCCTCACTGCAGGTCCCGGGGCCGTCCTTCCCTTGCTGGCACCTGCCCCTGCCCTCTCTTGTGCCTCCACCCTGTGCCCGTGTGCAGCTCAGACCCTGTCCTGCTTGCCTGCTCTGGGCCCAGCCAAGGAGGCCCTGGGCAGGAGGCCCTGAAACCTCTGGGTGTCAAAAATCAGAAAAATCAGGTTTCCCCCAGAAGCCTTTCTCACCACGTCTTTCGCCTTTGTCTTTACAGAAATTCTTCAGTCTTGATGTATCACAAGACCCCAAAAAGGTAAGGCCCTTTGGCTTCTTGATTTCAGGTGCTGCGTCTGAAGACCTCTGAGCTCCAATTCACGATGAATGAAAGAATTCCTCTTTGTGCCATCAGAATCACTCCTTGTGGGTGTGTTTCTGAGGCCCAAAGAGGGGAGGCCCCTTGCTAGGGTTACATGGGCAGGTGGCCCTCTCCCCTGACCAGCTCAGGCGCTCCCAGCCATCACCTCTGGGTGCCCTGGACTCGGCCACCCCTTTTCCTTTATACTTCCTGCTTCCAGAAAGGCCCAGTGGGAGGAGACCGCTCTAGGACATTCTTGGGAGGAAGAGATGACTAGACAAGGACTCAGGAGTCTTTGCTGAGGAGGACACATCCTCGGGAGACCCCAGGGTGATTAGCGGTGCAGGGAGGGAGGGAAGGAGGCCCCAGGATCTCAGTCTTGAGGACACGGCCCTCCTCCCAGTACCTAGGAAACCCCAACAGGATCCTCCCGACTCCTCCTTCTTTCCCTCCCACCTCCTAACTTGTCCAGGATCTGGTGACATCGGCTGAGCACCATCTTACAGCCCTGTCCTCAGCTCCCTCCCAGCACTTCTCTTAAAAGTCAGATGAAATGAGATCGATTCAGACATCCATCAGAGTTTCAGAAGCACTGACTGCCTTGCAGGATGTGATTTGGCAGCTGGGATTTGGCAGTGGCACTGTTGAAGGGACAAACCAGGCAAGGCACCGAAGACAGCAGGAAACCGTTTTATTTGGCTGGAGCCAGGTTCAGAGGGCACAGCTTTTGCTGTAATCCCCTGAACCTCGAGTTCAGGGAGTTTCAGAGTTTTATACCCAGCATGTAAGGGGAGGGGCTCAGAAGTTCACAGTCTGCAGAAGTTCACATAAGAGCAGCTGTTTCTTTCACTGTTCTGGGCAAGTTAACCCTTCAAGGACCACACCTGAGCAGGGGAGAGCTTCTTCTCCCCTTCTTTCCTCCCCCTGCCAGCTGTTACCATGGAGCCCAGTTGTAACTTCTCTTAAAAATGTAGACATCTCTGTGAAGCCCAGCTCAAGACCAGAGCCTTGTTTGCACTTTTCTACAAAGAACTACACTGGATACGTTTGTGAAAAACTAGTCAGGGGCTGTCCAGCACCTGGAGTGCTGGTATCTTCTCGGCCAAGTAAAACAGGGCGACATGGAAATAGGAAGTTTATCTACAATGGTCTCTTTTGCTGACAGTCCTAAGATCAGCCATGGTGAAGAGGCTCTCCTGTGGAGAAAGGGGGTGCCACTTCAGCCCAGGCAAGAGTCCCTGCTTTCCTGAAGCTTTTCCTTCCAGGGGGAGGAGGGCACAATGGGAAAAAAATAACATGAGAGATGTGACGTGTGGCCATGGTCAGAGGTAAGGTAAACGAGGTTAGGAGCTGGTGTAGGGGCACACACCTGTAGTCCCAGCGACTCAGGAGGCTGAGGCAGGAGGGTCCCAAGTTCCAGCTGCCTTAGCCACTTAGTGGGACCCTGTCTCAGAAGAAAAGAGAGGTTGCCCAGTGGTTTGGGTGTAAATCGTGGGGTCAGCAGATGGCTTGATGAGCAGGTGACTTGGAGTCAAGCTCTGGAGAGCGTGCTGTCAGGAGAACTGGAGGAGGAGTGAGTGTTCCTGGCAGAGGGGACAGCAGCTTCAGGGGCCCAAGAGGCCCCTGTGTGTGGAGTGGAGGGGGCAAGGTGGAGGCTGCGGAGGTCCTGGTCATGGGGGTTGGGTGGTCACTGGAGGGACTTCGCGTGTGACCCAGCAGGAGACGGGAGGTGCTCAGAGGGCTCTGAACAGGGATGTGGTCTTCGATTTTACGACAGTGCATTTCACTGCAAGCTAGAAGCGGCAGAGGAGAGGCCAGAGCAGACACAGGAAGGCCGGCTGAGAGGCCCGGCCTCCGAGGGCCAAGGGAGCCTCGTGGTGCCTTGGACCAGGGCCAGAGCAGTGGCGGGAGTCCAGGGAGCTCCGAGAGGAAGTGAGGGAAACGGGGATGCCCCTGAGTTCTCTGACCCACGCTGCGGCCCTCACAGGGAACCAGCGGCAGCCAAGGAGTGGACGGTGGCAATTACCGTGGTCCCCACTGCTGCTGATGTCACTGTCCCCCCACAAGGTGTCCCTGTAGGGCCTCAGGTCTGTCTTCTGGATTTGTACCACTTTCTATTCCTCTTTCGGTCCTGGCGTTCACACCCACTGGTGTCACCAGACTTGCCTTTCTTTATAACGTCCTCTCCCTTCTTAAAAGCCTGGCTTTGTTTGCAAAACAGATTGGCCTCCTTCCATCGAATTGGCCTTCGAAGCCCCTCTGAGTGTCCGAGTGCCTGTGATGTGTCCCAGGGTGGGCAGAGAAGGTGCCCTATGGAGGCCCTGTGTCTAACCCTGCCCCAGGGCATTCCGTGAGCACAGGGACTTTGGCAAGCTCATCTGTCCCCTCCCTCATGCCATTCCCACAATGTTCCACCGAGGGAAACATGGCCCATGGAGTACGGAGCTGGAGAGGGGCACCTGAGGCCGGTGTCTGCTGGGGTCTGCAGTAGCCTGCGCATCAGTGATACCCAATGTTAACTGAGCCTTTTCCAGGTATCGAGCACCTGAGCACTGTGTGTGTTCTGTCTTTGGCTCCCTGTGGGTTCCTAGATGAGAAAATCAAGCGACCCAGGAGGGGAGGTTACTTTTCCAAGTTACTGGATAATAGGCAGCAGAGCCAGGGTTCAGCTCCTGGACCCAGGCTCTTCACAGCTACACCTTGGTGATTGAGTTTGTCATAACCATACCCGGAGCCAGCTTCCCAGGTGGTGACATGTGCATCCACTTGACTGTGACCCTGTATTTTGCATCAAAGGTAAATCAGAAAATCAAGAAATTTATCAACGTAATATCAGCCCACCCTGGATTCTTTAACTCATGCTATTCCATGCAGCGGAGGCATCTTGAGGGCCAGGTACTCTGCTCCTGCACAAAGAAAATGGTTGCGTGAAAACTCATGTTTAAATAGAGATGGATAATTTTCCAAGGCATAGAAAAGATGTTTGCTTAACGTTGTCAGTTAGATAGCAAGAAAGCAATCACTGCACAAACTATTCATCATAAGCTTTTGCAAAGAAATAAATACTTAAAAAATGAATGTAGATAGCGAGGTAAGGCTGGGGATGTAGCTCAGTCATACAGCACTTGTCCATCCTGTATGAGGCCCTGGATTCCATCCTAGTACCACAAAATAGAGAGGTTGGAGGCGGGTGGGAGGGAGAGAGAGTCAATCCTCCTTCAGCATCAATTCTGTCCTTGTGAATTCTCCTGTTTGCAAAATCAAACGCACAGCACTTTGGTGGTTATTTACAGATAGGTGCAGAGTGCTAAAAGTTTGAGCCACATGATAGACATGTTCCCATCTGAAATCAAACAAAACAATCGTGTCTTCTTGTTTCATCTTCTGTCCTAACTAGTGCAATCTATTTCGTGCCAGTTGTGTGTTTTGTTGTTGTTGTTTTGTGCACGTTGGTACTTTTTGTTAGTAATTTCTCTGTTTAAAATGCCCACTCGCACAGTGCAGATGTGCTGCCTGGTGTTCCTTAGCTGGGTGCCTTGGGGAGAAAAACCTGTGACAGACAAGCTCGGTTCAGCCTTGGGCTGTGGTGCTCTTGGCCACGCACCAGGAGCAGCACCTCCAGAGCATCTCTGAGCCTGCCTCTCTGCAGGTGAGGCCATCCTGGGAGGTGAGGCTAAACCTGGGAACTCGTGAAATGAGGAAGGAAGAACATTAAGAGCCGGTATTGGACAGCACGGTTGGGAGGCTGAAGACAAAGCAATTTGCATGTGGGTGACCCAGGGCCAGGGAGATGTTAATCTCTTCCTGCCTGGCGTGTTATTATAAGTTAATACGACACATAACTAATTCCCTGTGAGAAATCCATGTGATCTAAAGCATCTTAAACCAGAGACTTACACATAAACAAAGTCCACGGGCCTCATAGGAACCTTGGACCTCATTTCCCCATGGAGCTGTGGCTCAGTATCCACCGATCCAGGATTCCTGGCACTTTACAGAATGTAACTACCGTGAATAGCAAGAAGCAACCACAGAGGATGTGCCTGGTCCACAGCGCTGCAGTCTAGGGCAGCTGATAGGTCACCAAGAGACAAAGAAAATACCCCACAAGGTGTGCGAGACAGAAAGCTTATTGAAGACCCTTCAGGGGTCGGCCTGGTGCTGACAGGCTGGACAGGGCATATTCACCCCTCAGGGTGCTTTGTCCAGCGGTGGATGACCACCTTCACGTGCTCTGCTCCGTGTCAGTGACCTCGGGGAGAGGGGTTCTGTAGGTTGGGCTACAGAGCAATGGCACATTCACTTCACCTGCCCCTTGGATGACCAGCCTCCCAAGGAACTTGGCAAGTAAGCAGCTTTCCACAGAGAACACTCTCGGGCCCTGATTCCCAGCATGTGTGAGAGCCAGTCAGCATCCTTCAAGGTAATATTATCCAGGCGTCTGGCCTGCTCTCATTGTTCCCTGGACATGGCCGGGTTCTTGGGAACATAAAGGAGCATTTCAGAGACATGGTATTTTACTCTCCTCCTTTTCTCCAAGAACGACACGGATCAACAGACAGATATAAAGACAGACAGACAAATAGATAGAAATATATGCACATTTCAAATTGAATGGTAGATAGGTTTAAGTGTGTATGTGTATCTATCTCTGTGTATCATAGATCTCTCTATATATGATAGGTTTAGCATCCCTGATCTGAAAATATGAAATCTAAAATGCTCCAAAATATTTTGAGGGCTGTAATAATGTCATGGGTAGAAAACTCACACGTGCCCTCATGTGACAAACCCTGGTATAATACCAGGTACGTTAAAAATAGTGTGTTCAGACTTGAGTACCATTTCTACGACATCCAATTATGTCTATGCAATATTCCAAAAATAAAAAGAATCTCTAAAATCAGGAAGACTTCTGGCTGCAAGCAACTTAGATAAACACTACCCAACCTGCTGGGCACGATGGCGCGTGTCTGTAATCCCAGTGACTTGGGAGGCTGAGGTAGGAGGATTGCAGGTTCAAGTCCAGACTCAGCAATTTAGCATGGCCCTAAGGAACTTAATGAGACTTTCTTTAAAAAAAAAAAAAAAAATTAGAAAGGGCTGGGGATGTGGCTCAGTGGTTAAGCACCCCTGGCTTCGTACTCAAATAAATAAATAAATAAATAACCTGTATATATTGCAATTTGAGTAAATATCTCTGCTTCCCCGACTAGTTGTCACCTTATCAATGCTACTAATTTCTATCCTATCAGAGACTTATTCACCTTATTAGGAACCTGCGTTTCTATTGCCACTGCCAATGGCCATATATATGGTCCATGGGGCTGGCCCGGCCCTCAGATAGGCAGAGGGGGACGGGCGTGTTTCCTGGGGATGGAGAATCACAGACATGACCTGCTCTCTACCCTAGAGATACCCTTTCCTCACAACTGTGATTGACGGGACGGTGCTACCCAAGGACCCTGAGGCGATTTTGGCTGAAAAGAATTTCAACACAGTCCCCTACATCTTGGGAGTCAACAAGCATGAATTTGGCTGGTTTATTCCAAAGGTGAGAACATACAAGCCACTTAGACAGACGGACCCCTGACCACCTATCTTCCCTCCAACTTCTGGTCCCCTGAGTTCCCCAGTCTCAAATCTCTTCCTCTGAATTCAGTGCAGCTGTCCCCATTGCCACCAGTCAACATTTCCTGGGAAGCCCCAACTGACCCTGGGGTGCCAGAGCCCCGGCAACCCCTCCCTTCAAACCCTGATTGTTTTCCTATTAAAGAATCCCAACTTGCCCAGGTGGGAGAGCCAGAGTAGAGACAATAATTGTAATAAATAAAGTAAAAAGCAAAGGATGTTTAGGGAGAGGAAGGAGCGGGGGGTTCACAGTGAGACCTGGGCCAGCCCCTTCCACCTTGGGCTTGGACTCATGGGCCCATAGGTCACCCCGTGCGCTCCCAGGCACCACGTGGACACAGTCAGAGAAACTTGCTTCTCTTCGAGTTGAAAGGGAAGAGGCTTTTCTTCTCTTAAAACCAGTTGAAAGCAAATGGAACAGGGTTTCTTCAGTAATAAGCTCTCCGTGGGGCAAATTCCCTGACGGTAAAGGCTGGAAATGTCTCAGGTCTGGGATGCTGGGGAGGCACTGTGGGTGGGGGGTGTGTCACCTGGCTCACCTGTGGCATTTGGTGATCAGGCTCAGCTGCGGTAAGGCCCCTCACGGAGGTGAGGGCTCATCCTTCTACCAGGACTGGAAGAGAGCTCAAGACTTCTGCCCTCAAAGGTTCACATTTCAAAGTGACTTCAAAAAACAACAAAAAAATTTTTTTTAAATGCTCTCAGGTCCTTGAGGAAACAGTTCTGTATGGGATATTTTTATCTCGAAGGACAGAGAAAGAATTGATAATTGCAAACTTTGTAAGGTAAATGCCTTCAAAGAGGGTCTGGGGGCCTGCTTGGCTGGAGAAAAACAAAATTTCCACCTGGAAATATGGCAGGCATTTTAGAGGGCTGGGCTCCTCCTAGGACATGTCCTTAAGCCACTAGCAGCCAGGCTCCTGTTGGGTCAGTGCAGAGGTTGGACAGGATTGTCACGTGCTGAGAGTTCTAGGTTATGCCTAAAGGTCAAACCCTCGTGGCGGAATTTGGCTTCCTTGAGTCTGCGGAGGTGTGATCTTTCCCCTCGGTCCCTAAGCCCTCTACTTCAGCCTGGCCAGCCCCTGCCTTCTCTGGGCTGACCCTTGGCTGGGCTCTAGCCGATAGACAGAGGTTGACCTAAAGATAAAGATCTATTTAAATAGCAAGGACAGCTCTCCTAAACATCTGTTCATCTTCTCGGCCCTCCTTGGCTTTCTAGGTACAAGTTCATTGGATTCCTTTATTTTGTTTAATGCGTCAAAGACCCACACCCTTCAGAGAGGGGCCAGAGGGCCTTCATTCTGCACTGCTGTGTGGTTTGTCCCGTTTGGGTCTTTCCCTTAATTCCTGGTGATTCCCAAATGCTAAGCCATTTTTCCCCCCAACAGGCGATGGGCTACCCGCTCTCTGAAAACACATTAGACCAGAAGACGGCCACGAAACTCCTGCTGCAGTCCTTCCCACTTGTGGTAAGAGTCTAGGAATCGGGGGGGGGGGGGGTTACGAAAGAAAGAAGGGCTGGGGGCTTGCTCCAAAGCAAAGATCAAGTCCAAGGCAGAGCAAAGCGTGGGATCCGGTGTCCAGGATCCATGGGGCCTTCTTTGCTGGCTGGTCACTTTATTGATGATTTCAGAACCTTTCAGAGAAGCAGTCTATTGATGCCATCGCGGAGTATTTAGGAGACACAGAGGACCCTACCAAGAAGAAAGACCAGTTCATGGACTTGATGGGAGATGTCATGTTTTGTGTCCCAACTGTGCTTACAGCCCGTGGCCACAGAGGTGAGTCCCAGAGGTGGAGTGGGAGAGGGAAATGGACTCACCAGCCTGATGGGGGATCCACCTGGCTCCAGCACAGACAGATGTGGGCTCTGTGAAGCTCAGGCCTGAGGGCGGGTTCCACGTGGCTCAGGGGGAGGGTGCTCTCCTGTTGGGTTTCTGCTAGTAGCAAACTAAAAATAATAATAATAATAATAATGGCTCAAGTGCAAGGAGTTTATGTGGGAGGTGATCCTGGAAAACACCGGTGGGGAGATGAGGAAGGGAGGCAGGAAGAAGATAACAGTTGTCATAGTTCAAATTTGAATGTCCCCCAAGGCCCATGTGTTAGAGGTTTGGTCACAGCCCATGGGGACATTGGGACAAGGGAGAACTTTTAGAAGGGACAGCCTAGTTGAATGAAGTTAGGTCCCCAGGGACTTGGCCCTGAAGGAGATTGTGGAACCCCAGACTTTCTCTTTGTTTCCTGAGTGGCATGATTGAACAGGTCTCCTCTGTCACCTGAAGGCCTGGTGTCCCCCGCTGCTGCAGGTCCTAGCAACAGAGCCAAATGACTGTGAACTATAACATGAGTCAGGATGGGTCCTTCCTCCTGGTAAGTCGGTTGTGTCCCATGTTTGGTTTAGCAACAGGAAGGGAACTAACACGGAAGCCAATGGATGGCGTCCTGTCCAGCGATGCCTCCCAGGGACCCCTGGCCTGGGGAGCTCTGAGAAACAGGCCCTCCTTCTGGGTGCAACTGAAGAGCCTCACGGGACCTTTCTTTTCCTACTAATCTGCATCCACCTAATCTGCAAGCCAGGAAATGTTTCCCTGGTCTTGATTTCTCGACCCATGCTGCAAGCGTTTTCAAATTCAGTACACATAGAAATTAAAAAAAAACAGCAGACCTAACATCTGCCCAAGCGCCCCTCAGTACGTCGTCGTGTGCCAAATCCACTTCGCCTCCTGAGGGTTCCCAGGAAGCTCTTCTGCCCTTCCATAAACCTGGGTGTGTCTGCCACTCTGTCTGATCTGTGATGTCCCCACCTGTGTGTCATGGGGCTCTGCCCATGCTGGGCTTGTGTCTTGGCTCTGAGATTTCAGGACTTTTGAGTTCAGGGATTTGCCAGGACTACATGGATTTGGTCAGCTTTCATTTATTGTATTTGTCTCATTCTTCCCCATCAAAAGAGCGCCTCTGAATATAAAATTCATATGTTATAACTGTAGGAAGTTTTGAAAAGAGGAAACCAGATATCACTTAGAAGTCTTCTACTCAGAGGCATCTGCTATAAATTTTTTCTATATTATTATCTTCTGATAATTTTTCTACATCTTATATATAGTTTAAAATTAATTTATATAGTTATTTTGGTCAGAAAGCACTGTATTGGGGAGATTTCCTCAATGTCAATGAAAATCCGTAAAAATATATATTATCAGGTACGTAAAACCTCCTATTTCTATCCTATTGACTGCTTGTATTGTGATGCAACAAATAACATTATGCAGATCCTTATGTGCATAAATGATTAATCGTATGTCTTCTATTTTTCTTATGATTGAGTTTTAGAAGGGAGGTTACTAAACTGGACCACAGGAACATTTTAAAGCTCTTGATATTGCTTTCCAGTGTATTCAAATGCAGATTTCTTTTCTTCTTCTTTGTTCCTCGGTGCTAATGATCAGACCCTGGGGTGCTCTACCACTGGGCCATATCTGCAGCCGTTTTCAGCTTTTATTTTGAGACGGATCTCACTAAGTTGCTTAGGGCCTCACTAATTTGATGAGGCTGGCTTTGAATTTGTGATCCTCCTGCCTCAGCCTCCCAGACCGCTGGGATTACAGGTGTATGACATCACCAAACCCCTTGAAGACTACGGACTTCTTAATTCCTTTTATCACTTGGAATACTGAGGTTAAAAATTAAAAATAGGGGTAAAGATGGTAGCTCCTTGGTAGAGCATTTGCCTAGCACATGTGAGACAAAGGGTTCAATCCTCAGCAGCACATATAAATAAATAAATAAAACAAGGGTATTGTGTCCATGAACAACTAAAAAAAAAATTAATAAAATTAGTGCTGCAATTCCTATAAGCCTTCCCGAGAGAGAGAGAGAGAGAGAGAGAGAGAGAGAGAGAGAGAGAGAGAGAGGGAGAGAGAGAGAATATATGAATCTCTGGGCAGCATCCAGCAAATTTTCCTCTATGATTAGGTCTGAGATCCTTTCTAAAGTATGTGAGTAGCAAAGGCAAAGTTCACCTCTTCTTTCAATGAGCTTGACCTTGATGCTGTTTCATAAGAGGATTATATAGAAGGATACTTGTTCCCAAGATCACTTCTTGCTAAACCTCAGTGATGGGGGCTGAAAGGGCCATAATAATTTATTTAAATTTATTTAAATAATTTATTTAAATTATTCTACATCCTCATGTTGAGATAACCTCTACTGGAAATCATTTTATGGATGAATATTTAATGATGTAAAGAAGTGATTACAGTGTATTACAAAATAACATAGACAGTATTATCCCAATTTTATACACCTAAAAGGGAAATGCACTAAAATATCAAAAGAGAATTTTTTTAATGAATGGTAGAATTATAAGTAATTTTGGGGGTTCATTTTATATTTTTAATTTTTTTATCTTTTATTGATTTTATTTTTTTAAAATACATGAAAGCAGTGGAATGCATTATTATTCTTATTACACAAATAATAGAGCACAATTTTTCATATCTCTGTATATAAAATATGTTCATGCCAATGTGTGCCTTTATAAGGTACTTTGTTTTTCTTTGCATAACAATTCTTAATGTTCATATTTACCACAATTTTTCATATCACATTTTTCATACATGAAAATGTGATGTGAAAATATCAATTAAGTCTTCTGTTCTCATATGTATATGAAAAATATCAAATTTACCACAATTTTTCATACCACATTTTTCATATGTATATAAAACATGTTGTGATGGAGGCACCTGGTGCCTAGTGACGGTGCCTTCTGTAGCCAGCATGGGTGGGCCGTGTGAGCGGTCGCAGGCGCTCTTACTCCAACGTGGACAGAGAGATGGTGCTGGACTCCAAAGCGAGAGCCGTGCTGTACAAAAGCCGAGTTTGTGCCAAAGAGTTCTTTCTGGACAGAAGCGAGAAGCAAAGGTGAACCTCATGAAATCGATCCGTTTGTGAGACCCACGGAAAAGTTCTTCACTGAAAAGAGACCTTCTTCATTCCTGATCTGATGGTATGTGCCTAGAAGTCTACTTTGCCTCATAAACAAGAAATGGAGAGTAGCATCCCAAGTAAGAGGACTGAGTGACATCATCACATACCTCCTGCCCTGGTACAGGGGGAAACTCGTGGGGAGTCTGGATGGTTCTCTGATCTTGCAGAACCCAAGGACTTGTACCTGTCTGACCTGTAGTTGGATGGTCAACACTGGAAATGGGACTTTGTCAAACGTACTCCGTGGAAGCCTTAGGCATTCAGCGGTTCCAAGGGCAACCACTGCGCCTCTCCTCTCTGGTGCCATCATATTCACATGGACCGTCCCTTTGTTCTCCAGAACGACTGATGTGTATGACAGCAAGACTGCAAATCCCCCCTTGACACAGGGATCCTCTGACAGATGCCTCAGAACATCTCGCCCCGCAGTGGAGCTGGGCTTCCCAGGGCAAGCTGTTCAGGCTGGGGTTGGCCTCCGTGTAGCCCAAGAGTCTTCTTTACCATCCTGGGGCAGGTTCTTAGTGCACATCACAGGCAACTAACAGGACAAGACGTACTGTATAAGCACAATTAAGTCTTCGGTTCTCATGGACTTTAAATATTAATGTTTGTTGGGTTGGTTGGTTTGTGTACCGGGGATTGGACTCAGGGGCTGAGGCTGGCTTTAAACTCACTCTCCTCCTGCCTCAGCCTCCCAAGCTGCTAGGATTACAGGCCTGTGCCACCACACCTGGCTCTTGTTTAATTTTTTTGTACAGAAAATGATTTTAATTAATTTGCATTGGCTGTATTCCGTTGGCCAAACCTAGCATTAGAAGCAGAAAAAGGGAGGCTTGTCCTGCCCAAGTTAGGAGGGTGCTGCCATTTCTGTGAATTGGTGTGGTTTTGTTACAGTTAAGAATTGGGGCAGGGCTGGGGATATGGCTCAAGCGGTAGCGCGCTCACCTGGCATGCGTGCGGCCCGGGTTCCATCCTCAGCACCACATACCAACAAAGATGTTGTGTCCGCCAAATACTAAAAAATGAATATTAAAAATAAATTCTCTCTCTCTTTCTTTCTTTCTCTCTCTCTCTCTCTCTCTCTCTCTCTCTCTCTCTCTCTCTCTCTCTCTCCTCTCTCTTTAAAAAAAAAAAAAAAGAATTGGGGCCATCAATGCTATCTGCCCCCAAGGAAGTGTTTTCCTATCTAGCTTAATTTTTTTCTCTGTTTAGTTCTTTCTCATCTTATAGACTTCTATTAAATGTTACCTTAGGAAAGATTGAAATAGTCTTCAATGAAAATATTGTTATCTGCTCAAAAAAAAAAGTATGTTGACCCCCAATTCGAGTCTTCATACTTTGTTTAATGATGTCCATCACATTCCACTAAACCTTGCTAATCCCCTGCCCCTCCCTTTCCCTCCCAGCCTCTTCCCTATGGAGAACTTATCTACTCCTCCCATGCTCCCCCCCACCCCACTGTTCATTTTATTTTTTTTCCTGCATTTTCCAAGTTTCTTGCTGTAACCAAGTGGGGAAAGGCTTGACGTTTGTCTACCAGCCTAACTTAGGGCCTCACCCTTGCTCTCTTAGAGCGACCCCTCCCTCTGTGGACATTATGACCAATGCAACCTGCAGAGGTCTCCAGGCTGGGGGGGTCCCTGGGTTTGTCCTGAAGGACCAGGGACTGGTGGCTTAGATGACCCAATGAGAAGGAGAACTGGAATCTTCTTGGGGCTTGGACAGGGGGCCTTGGTAGGAGATGAAAAGGTAGAGAGAAAGAAAGTTCAGGAGAGAGGCAGAGTCTCACTCCTTGACCCCGTCTCTTCCCTGCCACCATCTTGTCACCTGAATGCACCCTGGGTGAGGACAGAAGTGAGATTTGCGAGGTGGCAGAAGTATGAAACCCCCACTTTGCAGTTTCCTGAGATGCAGAGGTGCATGCTTCTCTTTCTGCCTGTGTTTGGGTTTAAATATCCTCACTTTCAGAAAAATCCACTTGGTTTTTGCTTCCTTCTTCTCTGAGTAGGTGCGAAAATCACTGGAAATGCTCAAAACGAGGCAGAACAGGAGACAACAACCAGGTTCAGCAGCTTCTTGAAACAAATGAGCACGAGTCTGTGTTCGACGATGCACAGTGTAAACTGGGCACCTAAAGATGTTTTGTGTGTCAATGTGTCAGGGGTTTATGTGGATGGGACCAACGTCCCTATAATGAGATTTTAAGTGGATCCACCCAAGGCGTCGACATTCCTTCCTTCCAGCAACAGCTGGCCCATGTCCCATTTCCACTTCGACCAGCTCTGCAGCCGGAGGCCAGTCCCTGGGCGCTCCAGGAACTCTGTCCCTGTCCCAGGCTGGCACCTAGGGGTTTCCTGCACAGCCAGAGACCTTGAGACCATCCAGCTGTGTGTCTGGTGGTGTAAACTGTGCACACATCCATGTCTTCTCAGATGCCGGAGCCCCCACCTACATGTATGAGTTTGAGTATCGCCCGAGCTTCGTATCAGACATGAGACCCAAGTCGGTGGAAGGAGACCATGGGGACGACGTCTACTCTGTCTTTGGGATGCCATTTTTAAAAGGTAACGGCCGTGCTGGCTGCAAGCTTGTGGACAGTAGGCCTGGGTTCCAGTCTTGCTTTGGTGGCCTTGAGCAACTTCTGCTGTCCCAGGCTGAGCTTCTGACTCCCTGGAACAGGGCTGAGCTACACGGGGCAGTTCCCAGCCTCTCTCCTGCTACGATGCCAGGAGGAGGAGGTATGTGCATGTGTCCTGAGCCAGAGCGACTCTCAGAATCCTGACCTGGGTCATCAGTGAGGGAGGTGGTGGTCCACCTGCAGGGCCCTCCTCTGTAATAAAAATGCTGCTGCTTGATTTCCACTTTAAAAGGCATCTTAGAGTGTGAGGAAGGGTGAGGTTAAAACTGGTGATGACTTCAAATCCACTGTCATAGGGAACTGTCTATGTATGTCTCTAAAAGTCATCTATTCTACCTAGACCAGTAAAATAATACTAAAGATAGTAATCATGTAATATTTTTTTAAAACATTTCACAAATGTCTTTGGTACGTGAACTCAGCAGTTGCAGAGGACTTGTGGCCCACCTCATGGCTGCTCATGACACACCAGGCGTTCCCAGCCAGGTGACTCCTTGGGCTCTCAGCGTGTCTGGTATTTTTCAGACTCTCTGGAAATGTGAATGCACACAGGAGATTAAGAAACAACCCGAGAGCTAGAAGTCCTACAAGATAGAGGAAACCCCGGGGTGACTTTTGGACCTTGAGTGCGGAAGGACAGGATAAGTGAGCAGAACACAGAGACAACCAGCTTCCCGATGAACTGCGTGCCCGTGGCTGAGTCCTTTACTCAAGGTGTGTGTGTGTGTGTGTGTGTGTGTGTGTGTGTGTGTGTGTGTGTATGTGTGCGCATGCCTGCCAGGGACCGAACACAGGGATACTTGACCACAGAGTCAAATCCCCAGCCCTTTGGATATTTCACTTTGAGACAGGGTCTTGCTAAGTTGCTGAGGCTGGCCCCCAACTCATGATCCTCCTCCCCCAGCTGCATGTCCTGCATTTCCCACAAGGTGCTGCTGCTGGCCCATGCGGTCAAAGCGTTTTTTCCTTCTTCCCCAACAGGGGGCGCCTCAGAAGAGGAGACCAAGCTCAGCAGGATGGTGATGAGATTCTGGGGCAACTTTGCTCGCCATGGGTGAGGCTGGTGGCAAAGAGGGAGCAGACTGGGTGGGTGGGTGGGTGGATGGGCGCATGGGGTGGGGCCTACCCTTTGGGAAGAGGTGAAAGTGGGAGTGACAGACCCCAGAACTGTGACGGTGGTGCTCTGAGAACTTACAGGCTGCCCCGAGAGGTGGAGAGTTCCCGTCTCTGGAAAGCAGAGAAAGTCCAGGGGCTCCCTGAAAGGTCTCGGAGACATGTTCGGACCTCGAAGTAGCTTTGGGTAATTTCTATTTGGTTCTGTTCTCAGGAACCCCAATGGAAAAGGACTCCCCCACTGGCCAGAGTACAGCCAAGAAGAAGAGTACCTGAAGATCGGCCCCCAAACCAAGGCCGCCAAGGGGCTGAAACACAGGGAAGCGGTGTTCTGGACCACGCTTAAGTCTGGGAGAACAGGACAGCTGCTTGACGAAGGACAGGAGTGTAGGAACGCCAGTGGCCCGAGAGGAGAGCTGTGTATGAGGGACAGAAGCAAGAGGACTCAGAGCACAGAGGACTCCTAGTTCTGGGTGCCACCCTCCAGGAACCCCAGGGGCAAAACAGGTGTGGGTTCTGAGGGGCTGGAGAATTGTGGGATGGGCTGGGCATAGACCAGGGAGGGGGCATGCCTTTGCGGATGACCTCCATTTGTGAAATAAATGTTTGTCCTGTTATCAAATCAGTCTCTGGGACTGGAGCTAGAGATGAGACCTTCCTCCTCAGAGACAGTCTGCAGAGGGAGGCGCCATCAGGAGATAGGGAGGCTTCACTTCTGTTGGGGTAGCTCATCCTCTGGACCTGCCCAGTCCAGCAGTATGGGACCCTGGACCTGCCTCATGTCACAGGACCCCCAACAACTTCCAACAAGAGGATCTGGGATGGTCAGTGTGGAGGGTCTCCCTCCTCAATTTGGAACTCTCTGTGGAGAAGGCCAGGTGCCACGGTGAGCCTGTGGCATAGCTCCATGGCTCCCTGACCGTCCCACAGTTCTGCAGTCCCCTCCTCCACACACACAGTCACCACCCGGGCCCCTCCACGAGATGCTCCCCTCCGAAACCTCTTCTGAGCCCTTCTGGACCCTGGACCACTCCAGGTCTCAGCAGTGACCTCACCAGAGCAAGACCTTGAAAGGAACATTCTAGAACAGCCTCCTTCAGAAGTTGAGGGCTGACTGCTGGGTTCTGCCAGGTTCCCAGAGCTCTGAGGAGTCTCGCTCCAACCCTGACAGCAGGGGACAGCTGGGTTGTCCTCAGCATCAGAACCTTCTGCACCAGAGAGCTGAAGGGGCAAGGCGCGTGGGTACCCTGAAATCCAAAGGAAGGCAGCACTTGGAGGGGAGGTGGGCGTGAACGCTGGCTTATTTCCCGTCGGCAGGAGGAGAATTTGGTTGTCCTGTGTGTGAATGGAAATATTCTGAACGGTTTAATCCAGTGCTAAAGGCTGAATGTGGCCTAGGATGAGAGTTTCAGATCCCTGGAACTCGAGTAGAAAAACCAAACTCAGCCCCAGCTTGCCCCAGACACTCACCACCCAGATCCCTTCTGACTCCAGCTGTGCGTGGTGGGGGGGGTTGTTCCCCACGTATCAAGCAAGCAATTCTGCAGCAGCTGAGCCGCCTCTGACGCAATTGGGTCCTGATGCTGTCTCTAACAAAACTGCCCCCTCCCCCAGATGCCAGGCACAACTCCACATGGTTTTTACCTGAACTTCTTACCGACTGGCTATAAATCGGGATTCCCAAAGACCCTCTCCTTGAGTCTGATTAGTTTGTTCAAGCAGTTTACTGAATTCAGGGAATTCAGAGTGTGTGTGTGTGTGTCTGTGTGTGTGTGTGTATGTGTGTGTGTGTGTGTGTAAAGGATATTACAAAGGATACAGATAGAAGGTGAGCTATGGGGACAGAAGCAGAGACCCCCACCATGCAGGTAGCAAAATCCCTTGAGCTTTCTTGTGAGCCCAGGGGGAGTGGCCTCATCTTTGGGGACTGTAACCTGGGGCGGAACTAGAGAGCTAAGCACACAGCTGGGTTGAGAGTAAGAGGCAGAAGAGACGCAGCCCAAGATCCCCCCAAGGAAAGCTGGGTTCCACAGGGACATGTCCTTAGACAAAGGGGCCAACTCACTGAGAAGCCATGGCAGTCCTCCATGTGGACATACCCAACAACAGCGTCACCGAGGCCAGCGTGATGTCTTGGGTTTGGTCCACTCAAGTGCAGGCCCTGGGTCAAGGATTGGAGTGTGGCCATTGGGGGAAGAGGGTGACCCCAGGAAGCACTCAGAGAGGAGAGGAGAGAGACAGGCGGGAAGCCAGGGGTGTGCGTCAAGCAGCTGGTCCTCTGTCCCAGTGGGGACCCCCAGAAGATGGTCCAACACAAGCCCCAGAGCCGCTCCTGCAGAGGAGGAGGAAGGTGGGTATTCAGGCACCAAAGCCGTCCCTGCTCAGGAGCTGCCCCCCGGCATGACCTGTCCCACGGGGAAGGCCCCGTGGGGTGACTGGTGCTTGTTGAGGGAGGCTGCTGAGCCTCTGGGAGCAGCAAGTGTAAGGTTGATCGGGAAGGGCACCATTGTGTCTGTCAGGCCACAGAGAATGAGAGAGTGCCCCAGAGAGGGGACCGGCTCAGAGCCCCCCAGAAGCCATTAACCAAGCCCCTGGGGCCAAACCAAGGCCCCCTTACTCCCACACAGGGTCCTTTCAGCCACTCTGCCCAGGCTGACCCCTCTCCACGCGGGGACGACACTCTCCCCCTTGACCACACTCTGCGGCCCGTCCCTCTGTGTCTGCCCACAGTTGGTCCCCTCTCCGCTTAGCTCCGGAGTGCGTCAGGGACTGTCAGACACCGCTTGCCCCCGCCCAGGGCAGTCCTCGGAGGCCCGGGGCTCTGACGTGTCTATCACAGACAGTTCCCTCGCAAGAAGGGCGACCAGCCAACCCTCCCGGGAATGAGTGGCTCCAGCTGTGCCCTCATCTAAACCCAGCTGTGACCAAAAAAATAAATAAAATAAAAAGAGCAACCCAACAGAGGAAAATGGAGGGAGGGCAGGAGGGAAGGAAAAGGGGGAAAGATTGGAGATAAGAAGATGCAGAAGGGATTTAAGAAGCCAAGCCCTCCAGAGGCAGGGAGAAGTCCCTGGCGCCGAGGTCCCCACCTGGCGGCTGCTCATTAGTATCACTGGGTCAGTGTCTCAGAGGTGCGCTTGTTCCCTGGTCCATCCTGATCCTGATTTCTGTGGTGCCGTTGTCCGGCTGGGCGAAATAACTGGGAGATGACAAGCAACTTGAAGGTTGAAGCGGGAACTACTTTATTGCCAGTGAACTCAGCGGGAACTGAGCGGGAACTCAAAGTAGCGGGTACCCTGGATAGCAGGCACTGCCGCTCTGCCAGACTGCAGAGGTACATATACCCAGCTGATTACACACAGCTTCACTTAATTGACAGCAGTCAGTCATTAGGGAATCCTTATCATCTTAATGGCTTGCTGGCGTTGGCTCAGAAACCACTCCTCCTAGCAAACTGCCAGGCGCCATCTTGACTTGGTTGTGGCCCTCATCACTGTGGCCCAGGCAGGGACCTGGACATTTTTGTGGGTTTTATTTTAAGCTCATTTCTGGAGTCAAAGGGAAGCTCACGCAGGTTTCCTTTTTCACCCCACGAAGGCTGCAGAGGCTCTGGGGACTGTCTCAGGCAGAAGGACCAGGAGTTGATTCCCCATAGAAGAAGGGGCTGGTGCCCCGGGACCTGTCAGTTCTGGGTCTGGACAGAGCCTCCTTCCCTGGCCTCACTCAGCCCCGCCGTCCTCCACCCCTGGAGGGTGAGTGTGAGCAGCGAGTGGAAGAAGGGGGCTCTCCATCTGGTCCTAACCAGCTCCCGTGCACTCTTGGTGACCCATGCGGCCATGTCCACAACCAGCAGTTCCTTTTAATCTCCTGACCTCCTTGGAGCAGGGCGTGGTTACTTTTATTGACCTGTCTCTGGGGAGAAGGGATGGTCTGTCTCAGGCCCCTCGGCAGGCACAAGGAAGCAGGACAGGCACTGTCTCTTTTCAGATCCTCGTGGCTCGGGCTCCCTGTGGTTTGTGGGGGGCCCTCTGCTCACTTGTATTCATCAATACAAATAAGACAGATAAGGTGGCTAGCGACCAGAGGTTTTCCTGTTAGACGTGAGCTCTCTGGGGTGGGGACCAAGGTCAGATTCATCTTCCTGGTGCCCTAGCGAGTAGTTGTGAAGCCAGAATCAGACCGGCAGTCAGTGTAGATAGGTGAATCGAGTCAGGTCAGATCCAGGAGGCCAATTTTGAGTGAGTCTGGGAAGTTGGAGACTGTCCCCTGAAGGATTGAAATGTTAATTCCTTCCTCCATCCTTATCAAAAACCTGCCCCTGGGCTGGGACTGTGGCTCAGTGGTAGAGTGCTCACCTAGCATGCAGGAGGCACCGGGTTCAATCCTCAGCACCACATAAATGTAGGACATAGTGTCCGCCTAAAACTTAAGAATAAATGTCTTTAAAAAAAAACCAAAAAACTGCCCCAGCTCCAGCCTGTTACTAAGGTAACCTGTCCTGGGAGTTGTCCCTCCCTACGTGGAGTAGAAGCTTGTTAATTAATGGGTCCTGCCTTTTCCCCTTTGGCCCACCTGGTTCCCACCTTTGGGCCATCCTGCAGAGCATTCCTGGGCCTAGTCACACACAGGAAGGAGAAAGATCAGGGGACGAGGACAGGAGAACAAAGAAAGCCTAGGACACATAAAAAGGGCAGAACACCTCCCTTCTGGGGGTACCAGGAACCAACTATGCCCCCCCTCCCTGCCGGGAGAAGTCTATGGGGCCTCTTTTGGAAGAAACCCTGCTTGATATGCCTGCGGGGAGCAGGACTCGTCACCCACGATCGCTGGTATCAGTTGACCATGGAACTAGACTTACTGAAGGACAAGAGGCCAGCCACATAGTTCTGTACACAGAGAAGGGAACATGAGCCTTTGAAGATCTGCCAACCATGCCTTTGAACCCTAGAGTGATAATGATAACTAAAAGTGATCGAATATCTGTTACATACCCTCGTGATAATTTTCATATTAATCCACAAAATCTTCAGAGCAACCTCTGTGGTTATACTTGGTATCATCGCCACGAAATTCAACACAAGGCCCGAGAACACTCAGCTCACCAGTGACAGACAGGACCGGCTACTTTACCTGCTGTGCATAAATAAAAATGCAGGACCTCTTATTTTGAAATTTATTTATTTATTTATTCTAATTTGTTATATAGGGCAGCAGAATGCATTTCAATTCCTAGTACACATATAGAGCACAGTTTTTTATGTCTGGCTGTACACAAAGTAGAGTCACACCATTCCTGTCTTCATACATGTACTTAGGGTAACGATGTCCATCTCATTCCACTGTTTTTCCTACCCCCTGGCCCCCTCCCCTTCCCTCCCTCCCCTTTGCCCTATCTAAAGTTTCCTCCCACATTCCCCCCCACCCCATCCCCATTATGGATCAGCATCCTCATATCAGATAAAGCATTCGGCCTTTGGTTTTTTTAGGATTGGCTAACTTCACTTAGCATAAAGTTCTCCAACCCCATCCATTTACCTGCAAATGCCATGATTTTATTCTCTTTTATGCTGAGTAATATTCCA